TTTGATTTCGGTGATGACCCTGCACTGGAAGCTACAGGAGCCGGAGACGAAGTGGACTGGTTTGACAGTGGCAAGAAGTCTACTAAAAATGAGGACCCTCTTGACATACCGGAATTCATAGATGAGGCTGCCGAGGATACCATGAAAAAAGAAGAGGAAGAGAAGAAGCCTGCCGTGAAAGAGACCAAGCTGTCCAAGAAAGAGAAGAAAAAGAAAGCAGCAGCAGCAGCTGCTGCTGCTGCTGATCCGGTGCCAGAGGAGCCACCGGCAGAAGAACTGCCCAAAGTCGACTTCTTTGAGGATACCAAAGAGGAGCCTGACCTGCTGGCTCCTCCACCTGTTGATGACTTTGACAGTTGGGGTACTGGAGCTGGGGCAACCACCACTAAGAAGGACAAGAAAAAGAAGAAGGGGGCCGCGACAGCTCTCCCCGACCCGGAACCAGAGCCCGCACCAATAGCAGAGCAGACAGAGTCTAATGACGTGGGTTTTGGATGGAGTTTTGGTGGTACGACGAGCAAATCGAAGAAAGGAAAGAAAGGAACCACTGTCGAAGCAGACACGGCCAGTAAGGCGCCAGAGAAAGATCCGTTTGCGTTGGACGATCTGCTCGACCAACCAGCTGCGGACACAAAGAAAAAAAAGAAGAAGGGTACAAAGTCAATTATTGATGAACCAGCGGTTGCTGCCCCGGACCCTGAACCGGAACCGGTAGTCGAGCCCGAGCCCGAGCCCCAGCCGGAACCTGAACCCGAACCCGAACCCGTTCAATCTTCATCCTGGAGTCTCTGGGGTTCTTCGAAGCCTACAAAGGAGAAGAAGTCTAAATCAAAAGCTACTGTACCTGAGGTCAAAGAGGAACCTGAAAAAGCAGCCAAAGGCAAGAAGGGTAAAAAGGTTGCAGAAGAGGTCATTGACACGACCCCACAGGATGATGGTGTTGGTTCAGGGGAGTTGGTGCCCGTTCCCAAAACCCAGGACGAAAGTACCTGGGACATCTGGGGTACGATCACCAACAGCAAGAAGAAAGGCAAAAAGGGCGCCAGCGAATTGCCGCCGCCTGCGCCTACACCCCCAGAATTCCCACCTGAACATGGAGGGGATGGCATGGGCGATACGTGGGATGATATTACTGCTCCCTGGCCGACTTCTATCAAGAAGGGCTCCCTTTCACGAACGACTACATCAACATCAAAAGCGTCACACATTGAAGAGAGCAAACTCAGTAAGACCAGAGGCAAGGGGCTTGAGGTTGTCGATGTATCTGAGACTCCCAACCTCGACACTCCAGCTGAGGACGTGTCGGCCGCAAAAGCTGCCAAAGGATACTGGAGCAGCTTTGGGCTGGCATCAGGTGGCAAGACCAGCAGCAGCAAAGCTGCCAAGGGAGGTGAAGATGCACCAGCAGACGACCTGCTCGACCTTGTTGAAGAAGAAGAGCCCAAGCCCGCCGCTAGTAAGACGACTAGTAAGGCCAGTGCCAAAGCCTCGAAGAAAGAGAAAAAGGAGAAAGATGCCAAAAAGGAGAAGAAGATGGACGTTGGTGATCAAGAAGTGAAGGGAGACGAAGGTTCGCTTGAAGCGGCTAGCGCGCCTGCGGCTGACAAAGCGACCAAGCAACCAACTTCTTCTGCGACTGCGACCACCTCAGCGCCCAAAGCACCAGGCAAGTCGTCGGTTGCTGAGCGCATCAAGCAGCTGGAGCAGAAGAAGGCCGATAAGGAGGCCGCGAAGGCGCCCAAGACCAAGGAGAAGGCCAAACCCGAACCGCCCCCGCCCGCCGAGCCTGTTCCTGAACCAGAGGTATTAGAGCCGGTGGAGGAGCCCGCAACCAAGGCCGCAAAGCCCTCAAAGAAAGACGCCGCGGCTTCAAAAACCAAGACGTCCTCCACGTCCAAGACGAAGACAAAGTCCAAGTCAAAGAAAGCAGCCGAAGAAGACCTGGCGCCGGAACCCGTTCCTGAGCCTGAACCTGCAGTGGTAGCTAAGGAGCCGACCCCACGTGATTCTGTGCCTGGAAGTTTCCCAGGCGCATTCGACGAGCTGGCTGATATCGAGGAACACGAGCAGCCTAGCAAGGCGGACGAAGAAGCACCGCCTCCGCCACCTGAACAAGAGGCAGCTGAGTTGAAGGAGCTTCTTTCAGACCCGGACGCAGGATCGTCACAACGTCCATCAACAGCAAAAGCCGACGGAGATGTAGCCGATGAAATGCTAGGTGCAACACCAAAGAAATCGGCCAAGAAAGAACGCGCTAGGATCGATCGGAGCTCCGGAGCTGCATCTTGGGCTCTCTGGGGCGCTGCCGGGGCATCGGGACCCGCTCCAAAGAAATCATCAAAAAAGGAATCCAAATCTAAGGATCCCGGTGAGCCTGTTGTTAAGAAGGAGAAAGAAAGAGAAAAAGATAAGGACAAGGAGAAGCCTTCTGGTCTGAGCAGGTCGAAATCTTCAGCTACCAAGAAAGAGAAGGTTTCCAGCTTAGGGGCTGAAGTGGAGAAATCCTCTGGCTCAGACAAGGATAAACGTGCTTCGCGGCCCTCTAAACATAGCCGTGGGATGAGTTTTCCCTTTATGCTCTCGGGACCGCCACCGCCGCCTGTCCGGTCGAAAAGCACTAAGCGAGCGTCTGCATCGAAGCCAACCTCCAGAAGACACTCTGTTGAGCTTGACGATTCAGGTCTTTTGACCCCTCGCGAGAGTCCCGATATTCCAGACAAGGCTGCAAGGATGATGGGTGTGGAGTCATCCAAGCGCGTCAAACGCAGCTCCAGCCATAAAAAGAAATCAGGTAAGGCATTCATCTATGTCGTACGGAGTACTCCATAGAGCGCAAGCATGAAATTACTAACATTATTCTCTCAGTCCCACGCGACCCATATGCACTCGACGATGACGTAGAAATGTTGAGTCCTGATGATGGCTTAATCTCCCCTCCAGGCAAATCTTCAAAGGACCCAGAGCGGCGCAGATCAAGGAAAGAGGTCAGTAACATACTAAAGCATCTCTTTTAACTCTCTAACTAAACTAACCGGTTTGACCTACCAGTCTAAGAAACACAGCAGTGACCCGGCTTTGGCTCCATCAGGTGAAATGCCAATGGGCAGAGACGACTTTGGAGTCATGAATCATTCTTCGAGAGAACCGGCGCCCCTTCGTCGCTCTAACACATCTCCCAAGCGTCCCGAAGGACTATTTGGCTTCTTGTCTCTAAGGAAGCCTGGAGCCCGGGCTCCAGAAGTCCGCGAGCGCCCCAAGTCTCGCTCTCGTCATGAGTCCTCAAGAAGAGAAACAGACAGAGAAAAGGATGAATCCAGACGCCGAAGAAGATCCGTGAGGCCGGATACTGATGGTGAAGGCTTCACTACCGATGCAATGAGAACAGGCAACAACAGCCCTACTGAGGAGGCTGAGGCTCGGAGGGCAAAACGCAAGGCAGAGCGGGCACGGCTGCGTGAAGAAAGGGATGAAAGAGCTCGTGAGGCTGAGCGTGAAGGCCGCCGACAAAAACGACATGCCAGAGAAATGGAGGACCTCCCCCATGAATCTAAACGAGACAAGAAATCGGATCGCCGTTCTCGTTCGGAGAGACCACCAAAAGACCCTCTCTCCCCCCATGAAAGCCGTCGCCATCGCTCTCATCGTACTGACGATGAAGGCGGGAAACCTAGGCGGCGTCGATCCTCACCGGATCACCACCGATCTCGTCGTGAGAAGTCATCTCGTCATGAACAAGCTGTCCCCTACCCAGCCATGGTAAATGGAGGTAAAGATAAAACCTCGTCTTGGGTGAAATCTCAGATCTCAGACCCTCCCGAAGCTCCTCCCATCGTGGCTACGGTTATTGATGTGCCTGACCCTGCGAGGGAGCCTCAAAATGCTTCCTTATCATCTGATGAAGAGGCACGAAGAGCCATCCATCGTCGTTCTCGAAGGAAATCCCGCCCTGTTGACCCAATGGATGTGGATTTCGACAGACGACCTCGCAGGCGTGAATCTCGTCGCGACGGCCGCGACCCAGTCCGAAGCAATGAAAGTAGCGGCGATATGGACCATCGTTACGGTGGCATGAACACCAAGCGAACGAGCTGGTTTAAGAAACTCACCGGTGGCTTTTGAATGCCTTCTCTTTCCCACTTTGAGCGAACAACGATTCTATTTCGCGTTTCCTTCCCTCCGTTTACTTATGCATCTTTTTTTTAATCGTCGTGCGTTTGGTCAAGTCTCCTCGGGGCGGTTTCGGATGATTGACATACTTGGCTGGAACTTCAAGGAACTGGCGGTCTTCTTTTTTTTTTGGTAATTTGGTTTTGACTATTTAATGACTTTGGTGACGTCTATTTATGCCTTTCTGATATCACTGCGTTTTCTTTTAATATACCCCAGCGCAATGAACCTTTTATCCTGTTACGAGCCCCTTCCCCTTGATCCTTTTCTGACGATATTACGCTTCGTTTTGATTAATGATGATGACCTTGTAATCTAGCTACTCGTGTAATCATTGACCAATTTGTATGGTGGTCGTTGATTAGTATGTTAGGACGATCTTGATCAAATCATCAAGTAGTTACATTTTGCAATGAATACTATCCTTTGTCAATATTTATTATATTTGGGGGGGTTAAACGTAGCCGTGCATTATAGAGCGTATATTAACCCCTCAACTTGCTAACCCCGGGTACCCCAGTGGAGCTCGGACTTCTAGCCCAAGGTCCTCAGAGATTGTAGTTTAAGGACGATAAGCAATGTTCGGGGAAATTTTAGGGGTGCAAAGAGCGAAGGAGTAGTGCGCCAGCAACCCCCCATATACCATTGCCGAGTCTGGGTAGAATACATTGAATGAGAAACAACCAACCGTAACAGTGACGATACAGGACGATAGGAAAAAGGACAGCAACGACTAATAAACTGGCGAAAACCAAAACATTGGTACAGGGAATAAGGGGAGAGGCATGTAGAACGAGTCATGGCACGATAATAAAAGGGGAAGAAAACGGCGATTAAAGATCTTCAGCATCACTTGACTCCACCAGCTTGGGTTCTTCCCCATACGTCGACTTGTACTCGTTGATGTACCTCTTTCGATCCTCCTCTTGGAGAGACTTATATTTCTATAACTGCTGTTAGTCATTGTCAAATGCTACATTGAATGGAGAAATATTTACCTCTTTCTCACTCTCGCTTGCGTTCTTCCAGCTGCGAGCAGTTTCAGCTATCCGCTCCTTAGCAGATAGATGTCTGAGCTCCCCGCTATTATGCATATCGAGGGAGTAGAGCAGGTAAGCGTTACGTGGTCCCTTTACCTGCCTGTAGTCTTTAATTGGGCCGTAAATTCTGGATTTCTTTGGTAGGATGCGGCGAAGCTTGCGGCGAGCAGCATTGGCATTCTTTATCTCGAGAGGAGTGTGGGATTCAATCCACTGTTCAAGATTGTGTCGGTTGGTTTCTGCATTCTTTTCAGCAGTTTGCCCAAGCTCCTACACACAACATTAGCTTATTTAACCACTTTGGAGACGGCCAGCCTATTATATAAATCCGGGTACGTACGTCAACATGGAACTGAGATATCTCTTTGAATGCCTTTACCGACTCCGCAAGAGGGCCTTTTCCAGAGGAAAAGATCGCGATCTTCGAGGTTGGTAGAGGTTTGGGAGGTGTCAGCGCAGCCTCCTTGAGGTTCTCCAGATCCTCCCTTGCTCGGACCTTTGCTTCTTTCTTTTTCTCTTCGGCCCTCTTCTCCTTGTTACTCTTCCCAGGACGGCCACGCTTTGGGGGAGGAGTAGGTTTCTTAGAAGCCTTCTTCTTCTTCTTTACAGTCTTCTCTGCCTTGGTTTTTGGCTTGGCGGCAGTGGTTGCATACGAATTGCTCAGAGATAACGACCGAAAGAGGCCTTCGACACTGGGCCTTGCCGCGAAAGAGCTGGCGATGACTTTAGTCCGCAGTCCCGAACTGGGTACGTAAAGCACGCGACTATTGAAGCGTCGCACCGCAAATCGTCCGCATTGAGCAAGCTTGAACACCATGATGGCAGCTTAGGACGGCGCTTGCGATCAAAATCCAGGGAATTAACAAACTGTCGGTGGCCTTGTTCTCCGTCGTCCTGCTTCCTGTCTTTGACCCGTCCTTTGAGCTTCGCTATTTTGATATCCAGGGTGTTTGTTTTGGGTTAGAAGGCGCTAAACCTATTTTGGAATCTTACATAAGCAGTCTAAGCTTATCAAACTTTTTGCTTCTTTTTTATCGATTCCTCAACGTCAACTTTGCACCTTCAAGCTCAACATCCACTTTACGGCCAAAAAGTAGTATTCGCAGCATCGAGGTCGTTTAGACGGCCATGATATCGCCTTGTCTTGACAGTTGGTATTTATTTCAAGTGCTGTCCTTCTGAACCGTCAGTTTGTGGTTCATTCAACTACGGCAAAGAGAAAAGGAATATAAAAAGTTAGATTTCGGCCAGTTGACCATGGCCAGGGATACTCGCTCACCATCACCTGTAGGCAGCACGTATTCTTCGTCGAAACGAAGCCGGAGAGGCGATGATAACTACGACAAGAGCAGACGCCATGATGTGAAGGGGTATCGGAGGTCCCGCAGTCCCGAGGTAAGCTTGTCCTGCCTCCTTTTATGACACAGCTTTATTAACTGTTGCTATTTCCTTGTTTTAGAGACGCCATCGTGACAGAGGCCGGGACCGGGATAGAGACCTTTACCGACATAGAGATCGCTCTGTTGATACTCGAGACTCTCGTGACAATACCTCCTATCGCCCCAGAAGAAGCCGTTCGCGACCTAGATACCGTTCTCGTTCGCGAGAAGATAGTCGTGGCTACCGATATCGAAGCAGGAGCAGGGATAGAGCCTACCGTAGCAGACGAGATGATTCTCGCGATCGGGGTGGTAGACGAAGGGATGGCTCCGCTGACTCCAGACGTGCTTCTCGACGGGATGGGAGTAGGGATCGAGGCACGAGGGAGTCTAGCGGAAAGTCTCGTGAGGTATGTCATACCATAACAGGTTGTGTTGTTCACGCAGGGCTACGCTAACTTAGTTCAGGTTTCCAAGCAGGCATCTACTGCATCCCCTGCCCAAACTGATGAACAAAAGAAGGCTGAAAGACTAGCAAAGTTGGAGGCATGGAAGCAGAAACAGGCAGCAGAACGTGAACGAAAACAAAATGAGCTTGCCGCAAGTGGACCAAGAGGTATTCTCGATGAAATTGACAAGAAAGTTGCTTTATCGCGCGGTGTATCCACGCCTACCACTTCGACACAACCGACCGCTAGCTCACACTCTGCTGGAACAGCAAGAGTTACGGATACAACATCGTCCCCCACTCCCGAGCAACTGAAGAAAACAACCGTGGCTTCTGGTAGTACTAAAGTGTCCGAAGCCTCTAATCTTTCATCTGCAAGTGCTGTGGCTAACAAATCTTCAGTTGGTGCCAGCTCTTCGTCCGGTAAGCACAATCTCTACTTTGCACACCACCGATGAAACTGAAGGCAATTACTGATATTTTATTTAGCTGCTGCACCGCTTAAAACATCAGGCAATGTCAGCGGATTTGGCCTAGGGACCAAAAATCTTAGCGATTCAAACAAACTAAGCGTAAAGAGGACGCTCAATTTTGGAGAGGAGGAATCCAAGGGCACAAAACTTTTAAAACTCCCTGACTCGTCCCTAGAGGAGTTTTCTGCCAATACCACCCCGCAAGACGGTGATGACGATGACGATGATGACACTGTTATGCAAGATGGTGGTACCGAAGAGGAGAATGCCGCTGCTGCAAGAGCCGCTGCAGAACGACGTGAACAGAATCGCGTACAACCTGAAGCACCATCCGACGAAAACAAACTTGAGGAGCCCCAACCCAAGGAGCCTTCCAATGATGTCGCCATGACCGACAGTGCGGCTGAACCAGAGGCAGAGGAAGAAATTGATCCGCTTGATGCTTTCATGTCGGACTTAAAACAAAGCACATCTACACCGAAGCAAAGTGCCAAACCCTCTAGCTCGAAGCTTCAACAACCTGAAGCAATGTTTGGAGACGAAAATGACATTAACATGGACCCAGTTGAACCAGAAGCAGACGATTTTTTCGCGTTAGCTAACAAATCAAAACGTAAAAAAGATATACCCACAGTCAACCATTCAAAAATAAACTACGAGCCGTTTCGAAAGAATTTCTACACCGAGCCTGTTGATCTTGCTGGTCTAACCGAAGCAGAGGTTGCCAATATACGCCTAGAGCTGGATGGGATAAAAGTCCGAGGCGTCGACGTCCCGACGCCCGTTCAAAAATGGTCTCAATGTGGTCTAGGTGTCCAAACACTAGATGTTATACGCAAGCTCGGCTATGAAGGACCAACTTCAATTCAGTCTCAGGCAGTTCCAGCAATTATGTCCGGCCGGGATGTAATAGGAGTAGCAAAAACAGGCTCCGGGAAGACCATTGCTTTTCTTCTCCCTATGTTCCGGCATATCAGAGACCAGCGGCCATTAGAGAACATGGAAGGCCCAATAAGCCTTATCATGACCCCAACTCGAGAGCTTGCCACCCAGATTCATCGGGAATGCAGGCCTTTTTTGAAGGCCTTGAACCTTCGGGCTGTCTGTGCATACGGAGGAGCGCCGATAAAGGACCAAATTGCGGAATTAAAACGGGGCGCGGAAATTATAGTCTGTACTCCGGGCAGAATGATTGATTTGCTTACTGCAAACTCGGGGAGGGTTACAAACTTGCGCAGAGTGACGTATGTGGTCCTTGACGAAGCTGATCGTATGTTTGACATGGGATTTGAGCCTCAAGTGATGAAAATCCTTGGTAACATTCGGCCCAATCGTCAAACTGTTTTGTTCTCCGCCACTTTCCCTCGAAACATGGAAGCGTTGGCCCGAAAGACCCTGTCAAAGCCTATTGAGATTATAGTTGGCGGAAGAAGCGTTGTTGCCCCGGAGATCACCCAAATCGTCGAAGTGCGGAACGATGACGCCAAATTTGTTCGTCTCCTAGAATTACTGGGAAATCTTTACTCTGACGATGAAAATGAAGACGCCCGAACGCTGGTGTTTGTTGATAGGCAAGAAGCAGCGGATCGCTTGCTACGGGATTTAATGCGCAAGGGCTATCCCTGCATGTCGATCCACGGTGGAAAGGATCAGATTGACCGCGATTCAACTATCGATGACTTTAAGGCGGGCATATTCCCAATTCTGATTGCCACGTCAGTAGCAGCACGAGGACTTGATGTAAAGCAGCTCAAGCTTGTCGTGAATTACGATGCTCCAAACCATCTTGAGGACTATGTTCACCGGGCGGGTCGCACCGGACGGGCAGGTAACACTGGTACGGCAGTTACATTCCTAACTGAAGATCAGGAACGGTATTCGGTTGATATCTCAAAAGCCCTCAAGCAAAGTGGTCAACCAGTTCCTGAGCCAATTCAGAAAATGGTTAATGCATTCCTGGATAAAGTAAAGGAAGGCAAAGAGAAAGCGAGTGGATCCGGATTTGGAGGTAAAGGACTGGAGAGACTCGACCAAGAACGTGACGCTACTCGTAACCGAGAGCGAAAGACGTATAAAACTGGAGAAGAGGGTGAAGATGAAGATAAGGAGGAAGACAAGAAAGAAAAGGAGGCTGACCTGTTCAGCAGAGCTGCCTCGGCCGTCCAGTCTTCCACCGCAACTCCAGCTTTGGGCACACCTGGAGGTGTGGACCTGGACGGGAAAATCACCGTCCATAGGACACAAAAAGATACAAGCTCGTCTGCCGGCAAAAACACCCTTGATAAAGTAGGCTCTGCTGTCGCAGACATCCATGCTCGCCTTAACAAGGCTGGTGTCATGAGATCCGGTGTGCCGATTGATAACAAAGGCCCTGATGCTGGAGCTTTCCATGCTACCCTCGAGATTAATGACTTCCCACGTAAGTTTTTTCATTTCCCCATAAAATTACTTGTACCGATAAGTGAAGGGATAACTAACTATATTATAGAGAAAGCCCGATGGGCTGTTACCAACCGGACCAATGTTGCCAAAATACTGGAAGCAACTGGGACTTCGATCACGACCAAGGGCAGCTTCTACCCAGCAGGAAAGGAACCCCAACCGGGAGAGAATCCGAAACTGTACATTCTTGTCGAGGGTGATACAGAGCTGGTAGTTACCAACGCCATGCGTGAGCTAATGCGGCTATTAAAAGAGGGAACTATTGCCGCAGCTGATAGTGATGCCAGGGCGCCGTCTGGCCGCTACAATGTGGTATAAACTAGTGATTGCCTTCGTGTTTCAACCGCAGAAATATCATATGCCGTGTCATCTAAAATAGCATGGGTGATTGTGCTTTCTAACTATATAGGCTAACGATAGTTGAAATAATATCATTATATAATACAACAACGCTGACGAACACAAACGGCTATTGGAAGTAGATACTAGGTATGATTGCCTGCTGCCGATAGCTCTTCAAACTCAGTCGGGGAATCGTTAAAAGGACATTAATATATAGACACGGAAATTGAATCATACGATCATTGAATCATAAACGAAACAGCCGCCAAAACAAAAACAAAGGAAGAAAGAAAGTTCAAATCATACAACAGTAGCCGTGAAATCTAGGGGAAGCCTTCTCTTCGTCCGGAGTAAAGCGGGACAGAGTTCAGTCCCACCGTCGAGATTCCTCAGCACTCTGGGCATCTCTTGCTGCCCTTTCAGCCCGACTTATATCATCTAGTGTATCATTTCTGGACCTTGATTTTTGCGCTGCGAGCTGGGAGCTTAGTTTCCCCTTCCCGGCTGCCGAGTGCTTCGCGGCACGTTCCTATTGATCAAAGTACACAGGTCAGTCTCGTCTGCGGTCGTTTATTGGTACGGAGTATATACAAGGTGGTAGTGGTAGGCCGAACCTCAGCAGCCCTAGCAGCAGCGCTGCGGGCGTCGCCGTCTCCATCTGCATTATTACCGCCACCTCCCAAAACCCTCCCACCTGACGGCTGCCGCTGGGAGGAATTGGTATTCCGTATCAGAGGTGTGCTCGAATTGGCTGGCGTAGGTTTCGTAGGGTTTGTTGACGCTGCCTGTGACCCTAAGACGCGCCCAGGCTGCGCAAACGGGTCCGGTCGATTTGATGATTTAGAGCAAATATTCCCCATTGTGGTAATATAACCGAGCAGCGTGCGGTATGATATAGAGCCTATAATCTGTCAATCGGCGGGGCTTGGTGTATCGGCTGGCCCTTGGTTCAGACACTCCCAAACAGGTTTTGCAGATGCATCCCCGGGGAACTCCCAGCGTTCGTGCTATTGCCCTTTATAGTTAGATGGGCGCGCGGTCTGCTGCTTGTCGCTCGCCCTCCTTAAATCCGTCTGGCCCTCCCTTCTTCCGTGTTTCCGCCTGAGCTTCCTCTCCCTCGTTTTCGTGTTCTCCTCGTCGGCTTTTTGTTTTGCTTGTTCGTTCGTCGCCTTTTTCGCTGGGCCTTTTCACTTTAACCTAGTCGTCTTGCTGAGTCACGCCTGACTAAGCCGCGGGGTCATATGACGAAAGCGCGCGGCTCCCAAGGTCCCCAAATGCGGTAGTCGCTCTTTCCTTTCGTCGTGTGGCCGCGGCTAAAAAAATAATAACACTCGCAGCGAAAAAGAAGCGCCCTTTTTCCCGTCGCTCCTTAACGTCCAAATTGCTTCTTCTCGCTGCATATCCGATATATCTGCGAGACACTGGACGATCAAACGTTCCAGTCCTGGATGGAACTCCAATCATTCCCACACAGTCAGCCACAGTCTTGCAGGCCCTTAGCTCGCTAGCCCGGCCAAGTTCTACCAGTCCCTCCGGGCTACGCGCACATTTCCCGAACTACAACCGCCTTCCTATAATTAAGTAAGGACGGACTCGAAGATGGCCGACCAGTTCGACGAGCGCTCATTCTGCTGGGAGTGCTATTGGCCGAACCTGGACACCGACAACAACACTGCGCTGTCGTCCGGATGCGTCGATGCGAGCTGCTGGAACCAAGCCGACTTCTCACACCAGTCTTTTGATCTATGTGGTACCGGCACAGAGTGCTGCGACAACGATCAGTGCTCTCCCGGCTGTGCCACCATATGCGACGGGTTTGTGGACTGTGACAAGTCAACAGCCTGCTCCGAGCTTCAGTGCAACGACATGAACTGCAACAACCAGGCAACGGCCTGTTTTGATATGAACTGCGTCACAGAGGGTGAACAATCCCTAAGGTCCCTCGATCAGGGCCACTTCTTCAACCAGGGCATACCGCTCAACTGGGGGTGTCTGGATCTACAAAACACTGCTGCTGCTGCTGCGGCGACACCCACCGTCACAACCTCCGCCGTCAACGATGTCTCCTCCCTACAACATTGCAATCTCGACAACGATAAGCTTCGATCGCACTTTCATTTCCACCACGTTGGATCTATAAACTCATTGGATATAAATTCAGCTTCAAAGGGACTCGGCAACGGAATCATCGACCCTAAACACTCCCGACCTGTTATTGGAACACCATGCTCAAACCATGCAGGAAACGTATGGCCCATGGCCAGCACCGCAGGAGATTGCAACAATAATCTAAACAATCATAATAATACCCATCACCCTTACCTTAATCACATTCACCAAAGGGGCAATCTCGACAAAGCTTTTGACATTGTCCAGTGGTCCTCTCAAATGCAGCGGCACCGACACGACCCATCCTTTCATTCGCAAACAAGCAGTGCAGGTTTCATACACGATGTCATGACCAATAACTCTACTGTTTCCACCCGTTCCACTCCTGGCCTCAGCCTAGAGTCAAGCCCAATGACTGCCCTAACAAGTCGAGAAGTTAGCATACAGTCAATGGACTATAGCGGTGATGAGCTGCATATTTGCAAATGGGTTGCAAACGGCGACTCAGGGCTTGTATGCGGTATCACCTTTCCGGACGCAAAATCTCTTCAGGAGCATCTTGTCCAGGAACACGCCAACCAGACTGAAGGTGCTAAGGGAACCGGGTATTATTGCTGCTGGGAAGGCTGCCATCGTCCGCATGAACCTTTTTCACAAAAATCAAAACTCCAAGGCCACTACCTCACACATAGTAATTGTATGCAATTATCTCATACCCTCTCGAACCCAAACCACCCATGTATGATGGTACCATGTCTAACTATTTTTTACAGATAAAAACTTCCAATGCTCTATATGTGGGAAATCATTTGCACGACAAGCGACCTTGGAGAGGCATGAACGCAGCCACAGGGGAGATAAGCCGTATAAGTGCAAGATATGTGGAAAAGCTTTTACGGATAGCAGTGAACTTAGTAAGTTATCCCTGTTCCATGACCACGAGAAATATCCCGGAGAACACGAAGATACTAACAGGGATCAGAAACTCACAGGAGAATACACACGGGAGAGAAACCGTTCAAGTGTAAACATCCTGGCTGCACTTTTGAAACTGGCGATGTAAGTTACATATTTCCCACTCACCCTCTCCTTTGCTGCTCGTCACTAACTTTGTTCGATGATAGTCATCCAATATGTCAAGCCATAAATTAAGTAAGTGATATTACAATGAACCATGGTAAATCAACTCCTAACAATGGTATTTTCTTCTAGCGCATGGAGAACGGCGACACAAATGCCCATTCCCTGGATGCTCCAAAAGTTTTACTAGACCAGGTATTATCCCCATATTCTACACTTATATCTTTTATTTACTAACCCGGTATCTAGATCAATTAAAAAGACATGCAAAGACCGCTCACAAAGACGACCTTTTTTCACTGCAACGGATGGCTAGTCCGGTCACTCATAGCCTACCCGTAATATAGAACACTGTTTATAGAATTTTTGTGGGATAATTTGCCTTTTGCTTATGCGTTTTCACCCCCTCCGCATTATTTACGGACTTGAATCAAATCCCAACCCGAATAGACCAGCATCTCACGATGGGTCAGGCCGCTGGTCGATCCCGGACGGTCCACAGGACGATCCGACAGCATCATGCTACACACCAAGCCAGATCGGGGAATCATGACGGGGATTTCTCGGGGGAACTGGCATCTACGATATAATGGCTGCTTACGATTTTGTTGGAGTCTGGGGGCATGCGTGCTGTTTGGAGAAATCATAATACGTCAGTGACTTGATTTCCAGGCTGAATAGTTGTTACTCATCCGTGCAGTAAATTTTACTGAGCGATGCAGATGGTCCTTCGACCGGGCTAATAGTACATTAGCTTTGAATACTTCTAATGAGGAACTTTCGCCATATATCACACCTACTATCATTCAGCCTTGATTTGCATCATACACAGAACTTCAAAGGGTAATATCACTATCTGGCCCACATATTAGCTTACAAACGAGTTATCTACTTTTTGCGCCCCATAATCGACCGAGGTATGTATAACGAAGTCACTCGTGCTGAGCACTCTCTTCTAGATTTTTAACCGCATTCTCTATCTCCCTTATCCTATGACCAACTCTTCTCTTGATTTCCGCTCGGACATCTGCGGGAATATTAGTCGGGTCGTAGGATGTGGAACGCACTTCTGCAACACCAGTACGGTTCTCCCCGTCCTTCGACTCGATATCTTCTGGCGGTGGGTTGTTCTCGGCATAAGCACCATATGCATGGTTAAGATCGTCAAAAGCTTCGCGCATGGATATACGGTCCGATGCAGCATATATCGTGGCCGCGGCAGTAGACTCAGCCGCTATCTCTAACTAATTTCAATACTACCGTTAGATTCATCAGATGGCGCATACCGAGGGAATTAAACAGCGTGACTGTATGTACAGTTGTGTTCCCCGCTGTATCCAGAAAACAGGAACTCCAAGAAGTTCTAGTTCATACCTCATCCTTGGCGATTGCGTATCTATATAATATAGTATTAGTTAATTAAAATGCCCCAGTTTAGATGGTGGTTCGGATAGTCCACTTACAAGTCCTCTATCTCTTGAATATAATCATCCACCGTCACTTTTTTTGATGACTGGCTCGTTGAATAACTCCGGTCATATGACACTGGGGACGGATGTCTGTGGACACTGGCAGTCATCGGACCTGAATTCAGGAGCTTGTGACGAGGACTGTTTCTTGATCCAGGCCAGCATATCGGGACGCACGCCAAAGGCCTGCCAGTGACATCACCGCGGGGTGAATATAGCTGCCGCTTTTGTGGTATATTTGCAATGCATGCCCCATCTGTATCCAGTCGACGGACGGACGGAATTTTCGATAGTCTGGTAGTGGTCCTCAGCCTGCAACCTTGTCGTGGAATAGGTAGCATTATGGCGGTCAGATGTTCTGCATAGGGCAGATATTTGTTGCAACTTGACCGTCACCAATACGAGGTTGCCTTGAGCAGTGTGGCTATCAAAACACAGTAAGCATCCGGTCTAGCAAGCAAATGCCAATAGAGTTTCACCTGTATCAGAAAATACAATCTCCGGCTTAACGATTTAAGTCGTAGTTAGATAGTTCGCTGATAGTAACTATTGTCTGGCCTCTTTACTGGATGAAAAGTTGTTTGGAGATGAAGTGACGTCGCAAGTGAGTTGTCTCTAGAGCAAAATAAACTTTCCTCGTCCAAGGTCAATAAGCGCCTCTGGCTTGCTTCATGCGGCTAATAATAATGACTGCCTGGCTCTGGTTCAAGGCCATGGTTTTTGGTGACTACAAAAATAATCACAGCAGAAAGGTTCGTAGCCAGCTAGTTACCCCTAGGCTGGAAAGGATGTTGAGGCTTGTGGATTTCGCATAACCTCATTGAAAGCAATACGCAGAGTGCCGCAAGAGAGATAGGTCATGCCACTATGGATACAATTATTGTATAAAATTAAACATCGCAAGACGAGGAATGTGATGCGTTTATCTCAACATGGAGATAAGCACTGTGGCGTCAGATGTATGGTTTTTACCTCAGGTTTACAGCGGCGCAAATCCCTAAACGGCTATTGAGTGTTATCGCAATATGTTGACCGTGGAGCCAGAGCACACTCTCGTAAGGGCTATCGGTCTCCTTTGGGTAGTCATTACTTCATTGCCTGATTATAATTACGTGGCCGAGATTGTTGGAATTCATATGGACATTCAGGATCTAGAGGTTATCGTATTAGATCGTAACTATCTAGCTACTCGCTTTTTGGGGTTCATATCAGCTGTGGAGTGTCTAAGACTCAGAGCCTGGGATATCATGTTAATCATAAGTTTGGAAATCATCATGGTTCATTCAACATATCCGAAAATAATTTTGACTGGGACAAAAAGAAATCACAAAAAAGTTACCAAACAATCATCATAAGCATATACTCGTAAATATGTCGTAACCAAAACAATGTGCAAAACAGTTCAACTATATCATTAGAGCTAGTACCGGTCGTGATGGCGCTTTGTGTGGCGAGGTCTGTCGGAGTACTCATATTCGTACTCAGATGGAGGGCTGCTATACCGACTTCGGTGTCGCCGATGGCTGTTGCCATGGCCACTGTCACGGCCTCGCTCATCTAACCCCAGAGTAGCCATTCCTTTGGCAACATAGTCGGTCAGACTCTTGCTTCGCTTCCTGTTCGATCGCCCAGATCTGCCTTGCCGGCCATCATCACTGTAATAATCGTGCCTTCCAGACTCACGAGATCTAGATTGATAGTGTTCGAAAGCCTTCTTGCCAGCAGCAGCAAGCAGTGCTGCAGTGGCACCTGGGTTAGCCCTTCCATGGCTTTCTGAGTGTGAACGGTGTCGTCCCGACTCTCCCCCAACTAGGTGGCTTGTCGCAAGGCCCGCGAGGGTCGACTCTATAATATGCCTCTTGGTAGATTTGCTAGCGCCCCCGCGGTCGAGTACTTTTTCGGTACCGCCAGCGCTGGCAACGGCAGCTAGGACACGCTTCCCCTTCTCACCAGTCCAGTCTCCCGGGTCGTTGCGGGCACGATACGCTTCTAGTACTCCTGCAGTCAAGGCGGCGGTAATAGTGTTCTGTAGAGCCTTGTTTGGATCATCTCTATAGCCGTGAGCCCGAGGATCTAATGAGGAACTCCTGTTGTGATTTCTGCCCCGGCTTGGGTCTTGACGGCGGTCATCATAATCGTAACGATGATTGTCATAGCCCCGACGATGATCCTGACCTCTACGGTCTCTGTGGTCATCGTCGTATTCATAGCGGCGGCGTTGCCCGCGGTCGCCCTGTTTGCGAGATCCATCCATGGCTCCCACGAAACCAAGAGCCTCTAAGGCGTGATCACCAAGCGACTTCCGTGGGCGTAAGGGGCTGGGTGACCGTGATGGAGGCGACACTGAGTAGCGCGACGAAGTTTTATCTATCTTTAATGTTAGCATGGAGGTTCCAGGAAGAAAAACTATGATGACTTCTAAGTTGGAACGCCTCGAGGAGATGAAAGACAGGGCAACGTACGGCGATGTTTGCCACGGCGAGGCTCCTCGTCGTATTCGTCATATCTGCTTCTTCCGCGATGCCTGCCTTCTCCTCCAGTAGAGTAGGATCGCCTATGTCGTCCGCTTTCTTTTGGTCTGGGTTCACCGTAGGGTGCACCTTTACCCTGACCGGGCGGATAGTAGGCAGGACCATAGCCTTGACCGGGCATGGGCTGCCCCGCGGGAGGGGGTCCATGATGCCTTGACGAAGCCCTGTTATAGGGGTGGTTGTTGTAGTAGTCGGCTGCCATGGGAAAAGTGTCGTCGTGAGCTTGCTGTTATCGGTTATGCTAGAACTGATGGGTTCGGCGTGCGAGAGTCCATCAACAACGGCTTTATATCACCACCAGGCGCCTGTGACGTATGAAGTGGGTGATTGTGGCTTGGTTTTAATCATGGAGAGACGGAAGCAATAATAACTAATACAACGCAGGCTCAGTGCAGGTCACGTTTTGCTTGGCAGATGACATCATCAGCAGGGATGGCCCGTGTAACCCGAACCCTAACTCAGTTCCGGCGGGCCGGGTCCATGGTTCAGGAAGAGCTTATTGTCAGGGGCACGATATTTAGATAGAGAGCGATCCACCGATCGTGAGGGTGGGAGATGCTGTTTTGACTCCTGTCTATAGCCTAGTGTTTATATTCCTGGTACTTCCATGAACAGGGCTTGAAAGTTGTGAAAAGGGAAAAAGAGGCAAAGTTAAATACATCCTGAACCGATCCTGAAAGAGAACGCTGTAAGAAATGAAAGGTAGAATAATAGAAGGTAAGCCTCATCTCCTCGATATGTGTCTGCTGCTATAGCTTGACTTGGTCGATGCAATTGCCAGTGAGTCCAGTCCCGAGGAAATGCTGTCAGAGCGGTACGCCGGGGAACGCGGCCGTCTTTCATCCTCTGCATCTTGCGGATCTGGGAGCTCTCGGGATAGGTATCGAGGAGAAGCCTCATAGCTAGTAGTGGAGCGGCTTGAGTGTCGGCGAGATTGGGAATGTCGCGGGTCAGTCGGCGCTTCTGTATCATACGCAGGGAAGTATGCGGTAGTTGAGCCGGGAGACTGGGAGTATGCGGTGTCGGAAATATTCTGGTCATGCCCGTCAATATCAACATCAATGCCTGATTCGCGATGAGTCCTTTGGTGCTGCTTCATGTTGTCTTTCCTGGTAAATGCCTTATTGCACACCGGGCAGTGGACTCGTTTTTCACCAGTGTGCTTTTTGCCGTGCCTTGCGGCGTGTCCCGAGGTCGTAAACGTAGCCGAGCATCCATGGGAGGCAGCGTATGGACAGGCATGCTTATGCTTTTTGGTGGTAGGTGGCGCCGCATACTCTGTAAAGTTGCTGTAACTTGATTGTGGTGATACCCTTTCTCGTTCTCCTGTCTGATGCTCATGCTGAATATGTCCCCCTTCTTCGAGGTCATACCCATAGGCTAAATTATGTGGCATGACAAACTGAGGAGGCGAGGAGCAGTGAGGCGCTGGCCCGTAGGAGTAATAATGTGACTCAGAAGATGATGACATGTCCTTCCATTGTGGCCGGCTATCTCCATGGAGAAAGCTGGCCGACTCCGGGTTTCCCTTTACTGATGCCGGCCACCCGTGAAGTTGTGAAGAGTGGTCAGTTGGCTCGTGCCTGGATTTAGATGATCTCGAAGGTCGAACCGCAAAAGAGGGGTTGTCGTCATTGTTCAATATTGAAACCATCCTTTGTTTCTCGGGAACTCTAGACATAATTTCCGCAGTCAATAGGATGATTGGATATTGGAGCTCGCTAACAGGGAGAAAGAATGAAGTCTCAGAATGACAAGCAAGTATGTTATCTCCTTTAGTGTCTGTCTTCACCGCGATATAGTTTGGAAAAAACAAAGGGGTGGAAAGGCGTTTGGCAGAAGCTGTGATATATAAATGGTCCGTAAGAGCTCCGACAGGGGCTTCCGCAGGGTCAAATATCGGCGTAGTCGACTATACGAACGTCAGCCTTGTATAGGTATTACAAGGCGGCTACTTCCGGTAGAGGAAGCCAAAATATCGATATGACCGAAGGATGGTGGATGTGGGGTGGCCCGACAAGTCACAAGCTTCGCGTAAGTGTAGGAATTGAGGCTTATACGTAAGCTCCTAACCGACGGTGGGGGTTATGCCTGTTAGCTTTATTAAGAGAAGCCTTTCTCTACTTTCCCCAGCTTCTTTAGGTGCAGGTCGGGGGAATAACGAGAATAGGGAAACGTGTTATGGCGTTCGCTTTTGTATAAAAGAGAAAAGGAGGCAGGATGCATATATGTATATATAGCCCAAGCAAGCGAGTAAAGCTTTTGGTAGATATATACTGCACGGACCTGGGGGGAAGAAATAAGTATCAACCTTTATGTTAAAGGCGGTTTGACGACCGGAGATTCCAGTATTATAAGCCTGGGGTGAAGTTTCAAGCCCACTGGGTAGAGGTTATGTTCTCTTTTTCTTATAAGCAGTTGCCAATAGCACATGGAAACTGCAAGTAAAAGAAATCAAAATAACATAAACGATATGCAAATAATATTACACCTTTGCATATATTTTGCAAAGACGAATTTAGACCTAAAGATGCTGAAGCTCCTGGCCCCCCACCTCGCGGACTTCCCTACTTGCTGAACCCGAACCGAAATAGTGACGTTACATGCACGTTTCCAGTGATTCAGGTTCATGATAACCCCAATCTGGAGGCCCGGGCCGCATTATGAGAGCGGATGGGAAGAGACCTCCCACGCTCTATTCCCAAAACTGGGGCCAACAGGAGGGAGAAACGGGCCCTAGTGCAAAATCTTTGACCGGTATTCCATATTTGGAAGAGGTTAGAGATTTCCAGGGTCCGGTCGTAACTCTTTTGGACTTGGTATACATGATCCCTGGAGCGAGGGCCAAGGGTAGTGATCCCACAGGCCAGCAGAATCAGTAATACCGGGGGCGTCTGAGAGCCCAAGAGGAGCTTGTGCACCCACCAGGTGCATCACAGACAACTTGATCCGAGCCAGCTTGCTGCATTGACCGTATACAGAGCAGTCTTGGGAAGAAGGCGGTCCGGGACAATGTAAATCGCTACCAGATATAAATATTTTCTGGCCCCCTTTGCTAAGGGAAAAAGCAAATACAGACAGTAAAAGCAAGACGAGTCAAGGATGTTTTGTACCTCCTTTGTCATGGTGGGCCCAGCACTCGAGGCTGGATATGTTCTCTTTTTGCTCGCCTTTTCTTTTTTTTCGGCTTCTCGTTCTGCTTCTTCGTCTTGCTTTTTCCAAGATCCCTTGCCTGGGCTCTCGGGGGTTCCTGTTGGTAGGGTTGGTCGAGCTGAACGAGCTTGGTCCATTCCCTGATACCCCGGTCCATAGTTGTGGGATGGGATGTTCTGGTTAGCGGTAGACGCTTGTAGCCGTCCAGGGTCCTGGACATCTGATTGCATAACGGCGCAGCTACGCCGTCTCGAGAACTGCATCTGCGCATGGCTCGAGGGAGTACTCCGTATAGGTGGATAAAATGGAAAAGTGAAAAATATAAATCCCCCTTTCTAAAAAAAAAAAAAAAAAAAAAAAGACGCTGATTGACTGACCGCATTAGATAGCGAGCTTCCCATGTGTGATTCGTCTTCTTGTCTGCGCCATCCACGTTTCAGACACATGGTCAATCTGAGCCAACAGGTCCGGGTTGCACCATGGCAAATAAGTAAATATGGCGGTTTTAAGTGGCGTAGAGCGCGCCTTCGAGGTACGATTGGGCGCGGTCGAGAATCCCAGGGCAAACAAGCGTGGTGCGGAAGGGTGAATGACCGCTTCTCCGTGACAGAGGATGAGGGTTCAAAGGGATCACCAAGGACAAGGCAGTGGGATCTCTAGTCTGGCACTCGGCCCCCAAACTCGAGCAAGGGCCATCTTGGTGCTGGTGGGCTAGCTGATGTTGAAGCTGAGCATCAGCCCTGTCTGCTCACTAACCTCGCTCCGTCATGTATGCATATATACTCTGTACACGTCAACGTATATATGTAGGGAGCGGAATCGTCGACGGTACCTCTGCTCTCGTCCCTGTAGCATCCAGGTCGCTTCTCGCGGACCGAACGGTTGAAAGGCCAGTCGAACGGGCAGGGAGCACAGAAGTGCCTACAAGAGACTGTGCAACGGAGGCGTTTTTGGCGAAGACCCCATCAGCACTCCGTACAGAACACCCTTTTGCCTTCGTCCAATATCTCGGCAACAGAAATCAGATGGATATTCAACTTTAGCGAGTCTCGGATTGAGGCGTCCTTTAAAGACACGATGGATGACCCGTCTTTGTTTTTTTGAGGTTGTTTTCTTTTCTCTTGCCCATCTCTTAGTCCCTCTCCTTCATCCGCGCCCAATAGACGATATCAGATACACCCCCTGATTTTAAACGCGGCCAAAGATATTAAGCAAGGACGAGAGAGCCGACTCGAGCTGTCTAAGCCCAGTTTCATCACGAGAATGTCCCGTAGCAAATATTCTCTCGGCCCTCGGCTCCATGGCTGCCGGCTGCCTGTTTGCCTGTCTCGCCGGCTGTTGACGAGGGCATTGCCATCTGGAAAGACACCATGCTTGTATGGATGAGATCCCGCCACTCGACATTCAGCACTGCCCGGACCGGGAGGACGATCCTGTCGCCCAAGACGGCCCATTAGTTAACCGCACGACTCCCTACACTTTCTCATGCAAGCAGCTCGGGGAGACGCCTCCTTTCCGATAGGACTTCACCCATCCCATTCGCGCCTCGTCCATGCCATGTCCCAAAAGTGAAAGTTAATGCGATGTCATTGATCCCCTGCGGCATAACTTCCTGGCTCACGCATAAACGCATGATCATTTGAGCCCTTCCTCATCTCAGGCGGTTGGACAGATTGCTGGCAAATTTTCTCATGCAAAGGCTAGTTGGAATATTCTCCACTGAGAAACGCAGGAACCGGGTAACTTAGTTAACAAGCTTGTCGGCTAGTTAGTTAACTAGTTAAGGGTGTTCGCTGTCTTATACGCGAAGGATGGGGATGCTTGGGGAAACAAATTTCACGGTGTCTCGGTGAAATTAACGTATCTGTTTGGAGAGATGCAATGACACCCTAGGGCGTTTCTTGGATCAGGCGCCGGCGTAAAAGATCAGAGCAATCCCTGGCGAGATGTGGGATCGTTACGCTGTACAGATGTACTTATAAGCATAACTAACTCGGACGGAAGATTTCCAGAACTGATCGTGCAGATGTGGACCCCGAAAAGCTCCAATCCAAGGGCGTCCACAATTATATATATACATGCGTATGTACGGAGGAAGTATGTCGAATTATGCTATGCCAGTGTCTGGTCAGTTATGGGAGGCCGTCTTGGGCGTATATACCCTGGCAATCAATATTTAAATTGGCATGCTTGCAGCCCGGCGTAATCTCAAACCCTTGAACAGCAAGGGTTAGGCACCCCTTCCCAGTGACTGTCTCTCCATATTAAACGTATGAGCTGGCATGGACAAGACGGAGTGACGCGGGAGCCGCATAACTGGGCAAACAAGTCAGTATCATGTCTTTCTCTGTCCTGGGTCCCTTCGAGTGTCTGCTTACTTCCTGGCGGGTAGGGAACAGCGCCGAGATCGAACCGGGTTCAATATATTAACTGCATCAGCGACAGCCGGCAACTTCTCCCGGTCACTAGCTAGTCAATAGTGTGCGGTATCAGACTCGAACACCTTACGGAGTATATGCCACTGTGTTAGGAGGCTCGCTGTGTGGATGTTCCAGGGACGCTCCACAAACCAACAGAGCGGGATGGTAGCGCGCTTCTAGTGCCAATAATAAGTAAAACAACAGCCTAGAGATTGGTCCGGAGAGAAGTAGCTAACTATGGAACAGCCAACAGTTTTATCCCTGTACAGCGTTGATTGACACCATGCGAGTGCTGCTAGCAGGCAAGGCAGGGTCTTCAGGGGCTTCTCTTCCCTTTTTTGTCGGCGCAGTTAGCCTATTACCTGCTCGGATGGTTATACTCCGTACAAGACAAGCCGAGGGTAGAGAGTCATACCTCAACAGGAGCAGGAGTCGCTAGACACCTTCACTTTGACCTAATAAGACGCCTGCCTGATCGTCTGCGTGGGGATCTGCTCGTCGTGTGTACTTTCATGCACTTATATTTAGCACACCATTTAGCCCCCAACCACGGTCAAAGTGCAAAAAAACGAAGACAAATGAGACGTCTTATTTGTCAATCGACCAAGGAATGACATTCCCTGGAGGGATATCTTCGTTTTCCTTTTTCTGTACAAATCGAATGCCTCAGTTACTGTGGTGTGGTTGGGCTATCAATAAGGGTATCAACATGCATGTCTATGTGGCAGTCTTTACGCATAGAGGGTGGTAGTGATCTCTCTTTTCTTGCTGCCGTGCATTTATCCCACCTGTGTACTCCGTACGCATATGTGTATGTAGGTGTCGGCGTCTCCTTGTGTTTTGCATGAACAAAATAGTTAGCTAAATGCTAACAGTTGAGAGCCCCTGAACCGTTGGCTTCCGGCATGACTCCCACTATCCGCTTCCCGTAGACGTTCCAGGAACCGCTTCTTCGATACTCCAGATCACCTCGTGTCTCAAAGGGTTTTTTTCAAAACTAAAAGCTCCAAAAGCGTTGGTATCGGCTCGGCCTCTCTAGTATGTACGATAGTGTTCAAAATACGGCACTGGGGTAGGCAGATGGTAGATGTCTAATGAGTCACCACAGCCGAAGTTACAACATGATAGGGCTGGTTGGCCATGGGACGATGAATGCTGAGGAACGTTGAGTATATATTACTGCAGAGCAGTCCGTAAATACATACAATGAGGGGAATGAAAACTAGTGAAGGGACGGATGTTGCTGATATGCCAGGCAAGCAAACAGGGTATGGTATAAATAACAGATAACAGGTGAAAAGAAGAATAAGACGAATAATAATAAGAAAAGAAAAGAAGACAGGAAATTGTAAAGGACCAGATCCAACGCATTAATCCAGCCAACAAAAACTGTTCAACAGCCATCAATCATGAATGGAATCCTGCCCTTGGAAGTGGCTCAGATCGGGTATTATATTACATGCATGCATGTTGTTAGAGCCCAAGTAAAGGGGAAACAGAAGGAAATCAAAGAAAAGGGGATCAAACGACTGGTGCCGCGCGCGACGGTAAAAGAATATACATGAAAGTAAATATTGAGGACCAAACGGTAGTGGGACTCAAGAGTGAGAATCAGTCCATATAAACCGGATCGCAGAGCCATGGTTTTTTTTCAGGTCGCAAGCCAAGAGAGGAAAAGAAAACAAAATATGGAATGGGAACGGGGCATGTACAATGGAAGTTGAAAAAAAGGCGATAGCCAATAGAGTCCCCTACCTCAAGGGTCGATAGGGTGATCACAGTCCGAAATTGGACGGCTTCCGCCCCCATAGATGCAGGTTATACGAAAAAGGATGTCAAAACGACCGTTATCCGGCCCCATTTCAGGGTATACCAGAACTCAATCGATACTTTTTGCCCGAACAACCGTCCCAATCGGGAGCGTTGAGCAGGCAAAAGCAGAGAGCCTGCAGGCGAAAACCTAGCCCCAGTTGTTGGCCCCAATCCCAATCTGGTAATTGCAGAGTTCTTCGGCACTGACGCGTCAAAGGGTGCCAAAGAGACACAAACAGTCGAGGGGCCTTTATCTGTTGCTTCCAATGTTGAGCCAACTGATATCTGAGCTAAGTATTCCTCTGCTCGCCGAACGGGTATTACGCCCGTAATATGAGGAGGGAGCACGACTTTCAGGATGCATTGGATTCAGATATCGGTCCGGACCCCCAGCATGCGGAGGACCCGGGTTATCGTAGTATACACTGTTCGAGTAGTTACTACTGGGCACCCGAGGCTCTCTCGAAACCCTGCCCCAGCGGTCCACGTCATGGGTGCTGCCAGGGGCACCTGTCGAAAAGGCATCACTCTTTGTGTCCCTTAAATTGTCCCTCCCTGTGTCTCTTCGATCATCATAGAAGTCGTCCGAGTTGATGCTAATCGAGTCGGCACTGGATATCTTGGCAGCCATACCTTGATGCTGTGTGAATGGCCATTTGGGAGGGGTTTCAGTGCTAGGGCTACCACTTGAAACCATTCCTAGGGGTTGTGGTCCGCCAAATCTCAGGGGTGGTACCTCAGCTGATACGTGAGGCCATCCGCTGCCTCTGTAATCTGATTGGTAGTCTGACTTGTAATCCGATTTGGAGTATTTGGAGTCAACAGAGGAGGCACGGGATTTTATCGATCCATTGTCCTTGTCACGCTGGAAGTACTTGCTCCAACCCTCATCCGTCAGCCTATCGTCAGCCTCACTTTGCCTATGATCAACAACTGCCCCAAAAACAGGTTTATTAGTTGAAACTGGAGGATAAACATCACTATCAGGCCGTTCTTCTTGAGTCGTTTCCATAGCCCGAAGTGGGCTTGGACTTTTCTCGGATATAGGCATACCCCTGGTTGGCGGTGGCGCCGGCGGTTGTGGGTTTAAGGATGCCCGGGAATAATCGTCGACTTGACCGGCGACATATGCCCAGGAATCCGTTGAAGGAACGGGACCTCTTGCAATCGGTTGTATTGATCGTGTAAGAGGTTCCACACCAGCGTCCTGGAAGCTGAACCTATCCTTATCATCTGAATTCATGTGCTTTTCCTTAGCATGTTGGCAGTATAAGCTGGTCCGCCGCCTCCATGCAAGGACAAGTAGGATGATTATGATTATAGCCCCGATACCTAAGAGAGTACCCAGGGTGGCACCAATTATGGTTAAGGTACGACCATCTGGAGGAACAACGTCGTCAACTCGGTCGCTGGAGGTAGAGGAAGTTTCTGTTTCGGTTGGGTATGGCGTGAATGTGGGCGCAGAAGTAATCGTGGGCGTTGATGTGCTGCTAATGACGGTCATGGAAGAGGAAGTCATCGTTGAGGAAGAGGCTGAAGAGGTGGTAGAGACAGAAAAGAAATCCTTGATATCCAACCAAGCATTATCATCCTGATTAAAGATGACAATGGGTTCTTCATTGTTTCCACCAGAGATTACTACTCTATTATTATATCCTGGGTCAGCTGCAACGGAAGCTCCAGTACGGGATCCGGTAGGAGCTAAGGTAGAATTATAAGCAGGGTATGAGTCTCGTTTCTGTATAGTCGCATGGACGTGGCCGTGATGCCGGGAATGGATGGACCGCCTGTGAGGAGCGCCCGGTTGGACCAAGTTATCCGTGCGGACAGTGACTGGGGATGCCGCTAAATCAAAAACCTGCAGGGCCATGTTTCCATCTATGTAAGGGTTTGCGATAATGGGGGTATTAGTCGGGTCAGTAATTGGACTCTCCAAAACATGGTCAAACATATGCCATGCATTGTCCTTGAATTCGTAGACTTTGTTATCCCCACTGCCTGCGACAAGTAGTACAGAGTCCTTTCCCCAGGGTAGAAGCACGGGTTTCGTAGATGGCGCGACGGGTCCACCGCGAGACTCGATGTGATATAGATTGGAATTCATAGAGATCATGAACGTTTCCGTGGATGGGGTAGGATTCCCATTCGTAGAGCCGGCGAAAACGAGGATGGACGATTGAGACTCGATGAAGACTGCATCGTGGTCGAGTCTGTTTTTCATATTGTTCCCATCTAGGGGCGGGAATTTCCATTTCTTATCTAAAAACGAGTAGCTCTGAACGCCGAGATAGTCATCCGGACCACCAGTACCGCCGACAACGTAAAAGGCTGGGTTATTCAGGTCTCCATCAGTCGGACCTTTAAAGCAAGATGCTCCGGTCACAGACCTGCCCATTGCTAGCTTGCTCCACTTCGCATTTGGTTCCAGGGCAAGTGACATAAAGCCAGCCGGCGAGTAGACATAGAGGACATTTTGGTGTATGAGGGAACAGTGGTCTTTGAGCTCGAATGGAGGTTTCGGGGACGGCATGACTGTGGGCCGTGTAAAGATCGATAAAGGTCGCCGTTTGATTGATGGCGGCGATAAGGAGAAAAGGGACAAAACCCGTTATATCAACAGCGCCAGCCAGAAAGTCTCTAGAAACATTCTACCGCTAGCTAGAATGGTAGATGTACAAAAAAGTTGAGCGAGGAGTAAGTGTCCTACCAGAGGTACCCCGTACCGCGTCAGACAAACGGACAAATGGCCAGTCGTGGTGCCTGCATCCAGAGAGGACTTCCGCTGGTCTGTCCGTCTGTCTGAGCCTGAGAGACAAGGCAGAGAAAGGTCGATACGATAGACGATAGCTTGTGCTTCTCCAGACAGAAACCCGGGGCTGAATCTGCACTTCACCAAGCGTCACTCCGTTGAACCGAGCTCGAAACTCGCAGCCTCGTCCTCCGTCTCGACAACGGAAATAGAAGACCGATATGATCTGTCCTGCTCGTCGAGAGAAATATTGAACGCACGAAAGAACAGGTCAACGGCTCACAAAGCCAGTAAAACCTGGAAATCAAAAAGGAATGAATGTATACACCAGAAGGTAAAGAAAAAAGAGAAAGGGGAAAAGAACGGCCAACAGCACAGCTTTGCAAGCCGGAGGAGAGGGAAGAAGGAGAAATAGGAGATAGATCTCTGCTCGAAGGATGAAGGGAGGAACGGACGATGAGACCAGGGGCAGAGATGGGATGTCTCATGCCGCGACGCTTATCCCGGTTGCAATGGAGAGCAGCCGTGCCTGAAACCGACGATGGATAATAATACTAATCAAACGCCCGTCCCTGGGCCGTATTGGGGCCGTATCAGGGTGCGTACAGCCGATACACAGACGCCAGGTTGATAATGGCTCTGTCCAACCAGAGCGCAGGAGCAGGGGTACCTCCGGGCCGTAGAGTGGAGCTCTCCTCGATTCTCCGCCAATGGCAGCCTGGAAAGCCCAGGATGGTCCTTTCCCCAAAGCCCCTGCCAAGCCACTCCCGGTAAATTACATACGAGCGCTTTCGTGCTTTTCCCCATATATGCTGGTTTTTGATTTTTCTGGTGATCGATCGCTTGTTTCTTGTATATAAAGGTCGCACTGGGATGGCCAGTTTTTTTGAGTGCCCGGAACTCTGGAGGAAAAGGGGGGAGGGGAGGAGTAGGATACAGAGTATACGCTGCTGATAAATGGTGGATTGTGGATGATAAAGAGAAGAAAAGAGGTCTCTCGTTGTACGGAGTACTGTCTAACTCTGGGTTTGCTGCTGCTGCTGCTGCTGCTGCTCCTTCCACCGGCGTGCCGTGGACAGCAGGTTCGATATCATTGCGGTCGACTCGTCGTCCGCTGGGAAGATATAGTCTATGTACTCTTCGAACCTGTCGTCGTCTACCTTGCGCTTCTTCTTCACCTTTCTGGGCATCTGCTTCTCGATGCTATTAATATCGTCAGGGGATCCGTGAGTGTGTTCAAATGCTTTCCATGCATTGAGGAGTGCGACACGCTAGTTCATTTTGTCAGCAGGTGACCACAAACAGGAGATGATGATGATGATGTAAAAATAGCAAGGTTGGGAACTGACCTCTTCTCTCATGTCCTTCTCCTTCATGACCCGGTTAGCCCGCTCAAAGACCTTCCTAGCTCGGCTCTTCGCTTCCTCAGACACCGGCCGCTCTTCATTGTCATCTTCTTCCTCGTCACCTTCTGGAATATTGATCTCGAACCGAGCATAGTTGATCCAGACCTTGACATGGTCGGTCTTCTTGAGTAGTCGCTCATACAGATTCCTGGTGCGCTCGTACTCTTCCTCGTACTCCTCGAAGTCAATGTACGCCTTCCAAAGTAATTCCGGCATGTCAAGTGCCGTCTGGTTTATACCTAACTCATAAATAGCTCTAGCACGCTCCACATCATCTAGACCCCTTTCTAGCTCGGCAAACTTGATCCATGATTCACTTTGAGATGGATTCCACTGGATCTGTTTCTCGAATAGCTTTCGGCATCGGGAAAACTCAAACAACTTCCGCTCAATATCGATGTAACCCCTAAAGAGCTTGTCCTTAGGGCACATTCCGATGGCTTGTCCTAGTGTCTTCCGTGCTAGCACTAGGTCAAGCTGCCGAATCTCGAACTCAGCTTTCAGGAGCCATATCTTTGCAAACGTAAACTTCTTGTGCGGGATCAGTTTCAGGCATTCTGTGTATATCTGCCGCGCACGCTCGGCATCTCCATTCTCCATCTCCTCCCATACAGCGTAGAAGATCCAGAGGTAGATGTAACGCCGCCAATGCCGCTTTTCCTGTGATGGTGGTATCTGAGCAATTGCTCTTTCATATGTGTCTCGAATCCGGTCTACGTCGCCGGATGTCTCCTCGAGCCGTGTGAGGTCAAACCATAGATCATAGTTCTTTGGGTTTTCTTTGATCTGTTCTTCATACTGGACTCTCCGCTTAGATAGGATCACGTCTTCAACCCCTACGCGGTCGCCAAATTGCTTTTCAAACACGGTGTAGGCACTCTGTAGAGCAGCAGACTTGGAGCGGGGCAATCTGTCGAGAGCAAACTTGTATATTGCTCGGGCACGCTCGTACTCTTTCAATTTCGTCTCATACCGCGCGTAGGCGATAAATAGTTTCTCGTCCATGAAGTCGGTGCCAAGAGTCTCAATCGCAGTGCCATACACCTCCCTGACCAAATCACTAGTGGAGTTCTCCTCCTCGAACCGTGCCCATTTTATCCAATTCTTCGTTTCCGGATGAACGGTAATGAATCTCTGGAAAATAGCTCTGGCACGGTCCAGCTCATTGTACCGCTTCTCCAGCTTGATGTATGCATGCCAGGCCCCCTCATCTGGTTCCCACGACATCCACCGTTCAAAGACCTGTCGAGTGCCCGCAATATTGCCTAGCATTTCCTCCATGTACACGTATTTATACCACAGCTTGTCCACACGCGGCAGGATCGTAACAGCACGGTCAAACAGGTTTCTGGCATGGTTGATATTACGGTTCTTCATCTCCGCCTCTGCATATCGTATCCATAACACAACGGATGTAGAATCGACGTCCAAGGCACGTTCAAATATCGACCGAGCACGGCGGAATTCCTTCTGCTCAAGCTCCCATTGCGCGTATCTCATCCAGTTGTTCATGTTAATCCTGTTGCGGCGGACATAGTCTTCGAATTCCTTCCGTTTCCGGCCTTGGTATTCATGGAGTTCCTCTAGATCGGCAAACCGCTGTGTAGGAGCTTGCAGCGAGGGTTCCTGACGGTCGACAGCTTCGCGGAGGAGCTGTTCAGCAGAGATCTGCTGCGGCGCCGGGGCCTTGTTCTTGACCCTCGGAGGGCCTCGTGTGGAATCCATGGTCAGCAGCTCAGGGAGCAACGGCGCTAAATATTGTCTGCAATGCAAATCTGAGCTTCTTTCGCTCTTGTCAATGGCTGTAGATGTGGTTGTTGTTGCTGTCAAGATATCAAGATATAAAAAAACCGAAAGCTTCAAAAGTTCCATCACGCCAAGACTTTTCCTCTTTGGTCTCTACAGTCCGCCGTTTAAGTTGCCCAAGTCAACTTCATCATCTCACAAGAAACTTATTATAACTTGAACTTCTCCTTGCCACGAACATCGTACCAGCCGCTTTCACTCTTCTGCCGTCAATATACTGCTGCAGACAGCTCCAGGACACGATGGCGACCCTAGCAGATGAGCTGATGAACGATTTCGAGGACTCCGGCAGTGAAGGTGGCCTCGACGATGCGCATCTCAAGGATCAAGATGACCGCGATGAAGATGCTAGAGATACATCTATGTTGCCAGACAGCGTAGATGAGGCTGATGAGAACGATGAAGGACAGGAGAAGATTGAGAAAACCCAGTTCAAGGGAGTTTCTGATGTTCGGAGCGTAGCATGGCTCATGGAGACCCTGCGGCCTATTCTCGAGGTATGAACTTAACGGCCCTTGCTCTGTACAAGACGACTTATGCTAACACACACACCTTTAGAAAATTGCCCATTATAAGCAGTTACCTGGACGGGAAGAGGCAAGAACTGGCTCAGTGGAAGATGATGAGGAATACCATCTCCTGACACAGTCCAACTCACTTTCAACATCGATCGATAACGAGATCACACTCGTACACAAATTCATCAGAGACCACTATTCGTCACGTTTCCCAGAGTTAGAAACATTGATTTCAAATCCGATAGACTACGCAAAGACTGTCGCCATCCTGAAGAATGGGCCGTTCGACGATATCAAGGCTATGGCATCGTCGACAGATAACCTGGTCGGACAGACGCTGCGAGCTATCCTTGACGGCCCTTCGTTGATGACTGTTGCTGTAGAAGGAACTACTACACGGGGTAGCCCGTTACCTGCCCAGGAGCTGGAGTGTGTCTTGCGAGCTTGCGAGATGATGTTTTCACTAGAGAAAGCGAAGACGGTACTTACGGAATACGTGCAGTCAAGGATGACGATGTTTGCTCCGAACCTGACGGCGCTGGTAGGGTCGTTGACTGCGGCACAACTGCTTAATTACGCAGGTGGATTGACGGGACTGGCCAAGATGCCTTCCTGCAATATATCACCACTTGGCTCTAAAAAGCAAGCTCAATCTGGGTTTGCAACCAATGTTGGAATACGGCATCAAGGTTTCCTCTATCACTCACCTATCATCCAGGACATACCGAATGACTACAAGATCCAGGCGATGCGTATAGTTTCAGCTAAAGTGGTGCTTGCAGCTCGTGTGGACAGGGTCCACAGTAGTCGAGATGGTTCGACTGGAGAACAGCTAAAGCAAGCCTGCCTGGAACGGCTGGACAAACTTACTGAGCCTCCACCAAACAAAGGCACTCGTGCTTTGCCTGCGCCAGATGACAAACCTTCAAGGAAAAGAGGCGGTCGAAGAGCGAGAAAGGCCAAAGAAGCCACTGCAATGACTGATCTACGCAAAGCCCAGAACCGACTAGCATTTGGTAAGGAAGAGAAAGAAGTAGGTTACGGAACAGGAGAAAGCACCAAGGGCCTCGGTATGCTCGGACAGGAGAACCAAGGGCGAATTCGTGCCACACAGATCGATCCACGAACAAAGGCCAAACTCAGCAAGTCGAACAAGGGCTGGGGAACAGCCACACCCGCACCGGGCCACGCATCCTCTCTCCACCGACTCGGTAACGCCCCTGGGAACGCATCGGTGTTGAACGCACAAGGTCTCCGTACCACAGGCGTCGGCCCTATTGCAGGCTCCGGGACAGCTAGTAGTATCGCCTTCACACCCTTCCAGGGCCTCGAGTTGGTTGACCCTAAGGCCCAGGCAGAGCTCAAGAGGAAACGGGCAGCAGAGGAGGACCGATGGTTCAAGAGTGGGACGTTCACGCAGGTGGGAAACCAGTCGAGCACGGCATCCGATTCGGGGACGTTCAAAGTCCCTCGTTTACCGACCAGCAAGACTGCATCGGGAGGATCTATGGCACCTCCTCCGAAGCCTCAGTGAAAGTCAAGATGCAACTTTTCTAAACATGAACCAAAAAAAATATCGAACCATCTGACCCATCTTACAGGTCCAACCGCTATCTCACGACTCGGAGAAGAGACTGAATGACTAGCACCGGTAAGTAGCCGAGCTATGTGATCCTCTTCCTCGTTCTTCTGTGCGTCTTCAGTGTGAATGCTGCCTATCCCCGACCATAACAGGTTCTACGAGCACCAGAGAGCCTCGAAACCCCCGACTCGCAGTACTACGCTTTTGCCAGACCGCTACCCAAGTCGGAGGATGCGCTGAACTCTTGCTGTCAGCCGTGATCTATGCGAGCATCCAAGGGTCCGATTGGATACGAAGCCGCAAGGGTTGTCTCAGCTTCCACCTCAACAGCATCTGTACTACTGCCCTGCCCAAGTCTACCTATTAGACTATGTATGATAACGACAGTATCTCATCAACGACGTCTTCTTCTTCTTCTTCTTTCTTGCTCATCTTTTCTCGATATATCAAATATCAAATATCAAGACTCAAACAATATCCTTTCCGCAGACGCTGGTTTACCCCTGGAGGAGAACCAAGCGGAAAAACATCGGCCCGCTTCCTTCCCGCGCCAACTTTTTCCCCCACTTCGGAGACTTTGATAAATTGACCAGAAAAGCGTTCGAAGCCGACTTTCTCTTCTTCTTCTTCTTCCTCCTCTTCCTCCTCCTCTTCACCTTGATATCTCCATCTCCATCTTCATCTCTGCTTCTCCAGCTTCATCAGCTTCATCGTCTTTATCGGTATCTTCACCGTCTTTGAGTCTCCAGGTTTATCCATCTCCTAGAACCCCACCATGGCTGCTCCCGCTACCAAGTTCAAGGTCGCCGACATCGTAAGGAATCTTCTGTCGACACCTGTTCTACCGTAATATTTGAGAGATTCCATGGCTAATTGACACGCGTAGTCCCTCGCTGCCTTCGGGCGCCGCGAGATCGAGATCGCCGAGATCGAGATGCCTGGCTTGATGGCCATCCGCAAGAAGTACGCCGCAGACGCCCCATTGAAGGGTGCCAGAATCGCTGGATGTCTTCACATGAGTACGTCTGTCTGCTGAGACGGCGAGAGTCCCGATTATGACGGTGTATGGCTGACAATTTTGTAGCCATTCAGACTGCCGTGCTCATTGAGACCCTCACTGCCCTCGGTGCTGAGGTTACCTGGTCCAGCTGCAACATCTTCTCCACCCAGGACCATGCTGCTGCTGCCATTGCTGCCTCTGGTACCCCAGTGTAAGTGAGCCTTCAATTGGCATTTTTCTTGACTCCCGGCTCTTCTGACATCCGAGTGTATAGCTTCGCCTGGAAGGGTGAGACCGAGGAAGAGTACGAGTGGTGCCTTGAGCAGCAATTGATTGCCTTCAAGGACGGAAAGAAGCTCAACCTCATCCTTGACGACGGTGGTGACTTGACCTCCCTCGTCCACAAGAAGTACCCAGAGATGCTCAAGGACTGCTATGGTGTCTCTGAGGAGACCACCACCGGTGTCCACCACCTCTACAAGATGATGAAGAGCGGTGAGCTCCTCGTCCCCGCCGTCAACGTTAACGACTCCGTCACCAAGTCCAAGTTCGACAACCTCTACGGATGCAGAGAATCCCTCATCGACGGAATCAAGCGTGCCACCGATGTCATGATTGCCGGTAAGATCGCCGTCGTTGCTGGTTACGGTGACGTCGGCAAGGGTTGCGCCGAGGCCCTCCGCAGCATGGGTGCTGCCGTCATTGTCACCGAAATCGACCCCATCAACGCTCTCCAGGCCGCCGTTGCCGGTTACCAGGTCCTCACCATGGAGGAGGCTGCCCCCAAGGGCCAGATCTTCGTCACCACCACTGGTTGCCGTGACATCCTTACCGGCGAGCACTTCAACGTCATGAAGAACGATGCCATTGTCTGCAGTAAGTAGTCCTTGCATGTTCAATATGTATATATGCAACTGTGTGCATTGCTAACAATACCTAGACATCGGTCACTTCGACATTGAGATCGACGTTGCCTGGCTCAAGGCCAACGCCAAGTCCGTCCAGAACATCAAGCCACAGGTCGACCGCTACCTCATGCCATCCGGCAACCACATCATCCTTCTCGCTGAGGGACGATTGGTCAACCTTGGCTGTGCTACCGGCCACTCCTCCTTCGTTATGTCCTGCTCTTTCTCCAACCAAGTCCTCGCCCAGATTCTTCTCTTCAAGTGCAACGACCCCGAGTTCGGCAAGAAGTACGTTGAGTTCGGTGCCACCGGCAAGCGTGACATCGGTGTCTACGTCCTTCCCAAGATCCTCGACGAGCAGGTCGCTTTCCTCCACCTCGAGCACGTCAACGCTAAGCTCTCCAAGCTCACCCCCAAGCAAGCCGAATACCTCGGCCTCGACGTTGAGGGTCCCTTCAAGAGCGACATGTAAGTGAAATTCCTTATGTTTCTCCCCCCTGAAAATCAATCAAAAACTCTCAATGCTAACCAATTGACTGCCTACAGCTACCGCTATTAAGTTATTGAAACGTGAACATGGGAGCGTGCTTTTTTTGCTTGGTTTAGCTGATTTCTTTTTCTTCTTTTCCTACTCCGTTTATTCAACATCAAAATCAAGGGCAAAAAGGGCACAGGTATGGTAAATGTCATAGACTTAATTTCAACATTACGAAACGAATAATTCGCCCCACGTTAATCGTGGAGGTTATCTCAATGCCAGCATTGACTGGTAGAGATATACTAGATAGTAAATAAAAACTCTCTGGTTCTCTTGACAGTGTTTATTGTTTTTGATAACTAGTTGTATATTTACGTGAAATCATCAATCATCCCATCAAGCCACGGGCCTAGTACTCCCGTCCAAGGGCATCCTGAGCATGCTCATGGGCCTGGTACTTCACCTTCTCCTTATCAATGTAGTCAAGGCCCTTGGTCTCGATGATGCGGTCTGTGAAGGCTCCAGCGAAGCCAGCGAGGATCTCCTTGGCCTTAGCATGGCTGTCTGGCTTTCCTGTGTATCCTGTAAGCAACTAGCCAGCTATACTAAATAGGCCGGCATTCTCCTTACCATTCTTCTGGACGTGGTCCTCATAGGCCTTTGCGGCCTCGTAAGCGGCGGCACCGGCAATCAGCTCGTGAGACAGGGAGGCCTTGTGAGGAGCATTCATGACCTCATTGTGAGCGTCGGCATGGTTGGAGAAATCTATCAAGCAGTGTCACTTAGTTAGTCTCATCCTGCAAGTCAGCCGGAGAAAAGGGGCTATCTTACTCTCGAAGAAACCCATGATTGCTGTGGCTCGTTTTGATCCGTAGGTAGATTTAATGAAGTTTGATATTATTAAATCCAAAGATACAATGGTTCATCGGGGATATAGCGGTGAATTTATAGACATGTTGCCAGCCATTGATGCCGTCCGTGATATCCGTGTGGGACCCCCTATTCTCAACCCGCCTGCGTTTCGGGATGGATCTCAAGCACCATGGAGGGGCGATGATGTTATTATTGCTACAGATACCTCCAATGCCATCGCAGCATTCTATCCGTTCATGGTTAAAGCGGATCAGTGTAATGTCCTGTTCGCTCTGCAACCCCGCAGCCTGTCTACATATACCGTTCTCCTCTATGTACTTTGCGTATGCCATTGTACCGTGGGCCGCCCTCTCACGATCTAAACCCCACTATAGGAGTATATACCATCTCAATGGTGTCCGGTATACCTAAATAGACCTAGAAGTGCCCTTGCGGATATTAAAGAGGGATTTGGCTGATGTCGTTCAGGTATCTCAGATATCCGTGGCTGATGCTCTTTAAACAGACCAGTATATACAAAAACGGTACTCGGTTTGATATTCGACTCGATAATACAGTATCAATACGCCGTGCAGGGTCTAGTGATGAATCTATACCATCCCCCCGCTGCTAAGCTGACCCCTCCCATGATGGGTCTCAAACTTTGAGCAAGCGAGTGAGTTGATTGCTGTACGGAGTATATATTTCCAAATTCTCTCATTTCGGCAAGATATATCATCTGCATAGACCTCCACTAGCAGCCTGTTGAAAGCTGCACAGAATATAAAAGGAGAAGGGAGGGAGGCATACGTGGCGCCCTGAACCTTTGGGCTAAGCATCAAGCTTGCTCTTGGTTGCTCCACACCCTGTTGCTTAGCACCAACAAGCCATTGTGGCGAAAAGCTAACTATACTGCACCGCTTCTGCATGGGCTCGGACCCATCGAGGGGCAAGCCCGAGATTGAGGGCTTCGTGGTGAGCATTGTTGTGATGGTGATGGGCGAACGTAGTTTGTCAAGTTCTGCCAGGGAGGACCGCGATGAGACAGTAACTAGTTGGCTACGCCAAAGAGACAAACGGGAATTAGTTGCAACATCCCATAACTAAGTCACGGAGACCTTAGAGAGTAAGGCCTGCTCAAGCAAGGGTAGACTGCGGGGTCTCAATGAAACTGACTTTCTTATAAGTTCCACTGATGCGATCCTGATATTGCTCCAGCACGTTCGACAGATTGTCAGTTATTATTGGCAGCCAGGTCCTGGTGGTGACTATCGTAATGGCCCCTCGAGCGCCCAAAATGTGCTTGAGCTTTTAGCCCTGTCCAATAATAGAACAGGTTATTGAAATTAGTGGGGGAAGAAGCTTGTTGAGAGGCATTGTAGTGGCTCTCTCGCGTTCTCGTTGGTGTATGATGAATATGGGATATGCTTGTTACGTACGTGGTATTTGATAGTCAATTGCGAACCGTTGCGGCCCCAAGGGCAGCTCTGCGTCACCAAGTCTGAGGAGTTCCTTGAAAAGAGCTTCCGTCTCGTTAAAAAGAGCCAGCCGTTTGAGAACGATGTCAGGGACCAGTGAGGGGTCATTGCCGACGCCAGAGGGAAGCCAAAAACCAAAAGGTGGTGGGGAGTATCCAGCAACCATCTTGGGATCACACTCAATCGAAATGGGACCGTTGTTTGTATGGAGCAATTTGTTTACTTCACTTTCGAGCAACGGGCCAAGAATCCGTGTATAATGGATAGTTTCGAAAAGTCGCTGTGGCTCAGCGCATCCTCGTGATATCATTACTGCAAGCCATTGGATTGGAGTAGTCAAGCTGGTGTTGAAATTATTTGGTACACAAGCATCAGCTTCGCACGGCTCTTTGAAGCACAGTAGTAAATTCAATACATTGCACAGCGACTCAGGAGTTGAGTAGAAATTTATTGGCTGTTCCAAGCTTGCCTCAAGATTGAGAAAACCTCGTTCGCAGAGGATAAGGAATAAATCCCACACTGCAGATTGTACCCTACCTCTATAGTAAAGCGCGCGTAGTATCTCATCATATGGGGTATTCGGGTACTCTAGTCGTCCCAAAATCGGGCCGTCGTCCCTCAATGCATTATCAAAGTCACAGTCGGCAGCAGCTGCATGGACATGCTCCTGAATTCTCCTAGCTAGAGAGCCACTAGATGGAGGTATGGCCCTGCGTATTTGCTGCATTAGTTGAAGGTCAAGGGTAGGCCACTCTGAGCGTCGTCTTCTGTGGGCATTCTGGCTAAGAAAGACAACATCAACATGATCACGCAAGACCAACTCTTCCAATAGCGTTACCGATGCCTGGATCTCGGGTGACATATAGGAAGTATAAGTTTCGGCTTGACACTCCCGGGTGAGTGATGGAGTGACTCTTCGTATTGCCTCCCTTAGAGTTGATTCAAGTTCTGCCATACGTACAGGCAGATGGGCCTGTCGAGGCAGCCATGGGAAACTAACTTGGGCCAGAGACTGAACGAAGGGAAGCAAAGAATGGGAATTCCTGATTCTGTTACTGACTGAAGGGGTGGTAGCGAAATGTACTGCTTCCTCGGGCCCACAATCGGCAATGGCATGACGTGGTATCTGACCATCAGCTATGATTATATTGCGGAACTGTCCATAGTAGCAATGACGTCCAACCGCATTCACTTGACAGCCTGTGGGAAATTGCGAGAGTAAGCTGGCCACTTTGGAAGTCTCGAGGTATTTAGATCCTAGGCATAACTTCCCATTCATTGTTCCATGTGCCTCGAAAAATATGTTTACCACATCATTTTCGGCCACACTATGTGCCTTACCTTCTATCCAGGCTGTGACTCTTTTAAGGATATCTTCTGGGCTAACATATTCGAACCATTCGTGAGACCTTGTTATCCATTGTGTTTTAGAGTATGTAAACAACGGAGTCTGGTTAGGCCCCAATACCCCCCATTTGATAGTAGTTATTGGAGGAGCCTTAGTTTCCAAAAAATTGAAGTGTTCACCCAGTTGAAAACAGGAGAGGGCCGTTATTTCAGCGCCCTGAGCAGCGTGTTCCAGGGTCATTGAGATACCCATAAAATCCGAAAATATGGCCGCGTCGACGGGGGATTGCGCATCAACGGCACCGCAAACCACAAGATTGTGCGTTACACATTCTCTATTGACCCTAGGATATGTCATTGCGCTTATTTCTGCACTGGTTTGAGGTTGAGGCTGAATATGACCTATGGACGTTAGGAACATGGCTGTGAGCATGATAAAGGGAGTCGAGTCTTTCCTGACCTTAAAAAATCTAACTGCCCTGGCTTGCCCATTGCATATATGAGCCCTAAGTTAGGTTTAGTATCTCGGTTGTGCGAATGATTAAGACCTATTTTTTTTTTTTTTTAAATGTAGCTGGGATAATAGCTTTTAAGCCAAATGCAAGGGGCCAGTGAAATTTGACCGTAAACTCCTTTCTGTCCTCTGACTGGTGAATTAGCTGCAACCCAAAGAGGCCCTTGGAATGCCACCGATAGATTGTAGGTGCAAAATAGAGTAGTTCTCGACTACCTCTATAGTGCTACTAGATATATTGCGGTTATCTAGGCGTTAATATAGCTCTCGGTCTAGAAGTATCAGAGAAATACCCAGAATTAGTAGTAGCGGCTTTAAGGTATTTGTGAGTGCCATAAAGAGTAAGGAAAGATATAGGTAGCGTCTGTAGGGTCAAGAGACCTTGTAACAACGCATCTATTTCTCTCCCTGAAGCGGTATTGCATGCATCCACGCTCTTGACAATCGACTATCAGAGCCTGTGCACTGGCGTTTCTCTGGAGGGGTGGGGGAAAGCACCCTTCATAACCAAAGTATAGGAGTGCAAAGGGGAAATAAAATAGTCGTAGGAGGCCAATCCTCCCGGGTTGCCACCTATTCACGTAAATTTCCATATTCCATGGTTGAAGTGAATGGTGACATAGTGACTGACTATCGGGTATTGGGGACTACCGGTGGCTAGGATTATAGTTTCCGAATGATTCACGGGCGGGCAGTAGCCTCTGAGCTTAGAGGTAAAGTAGTAGATGTCGTTGCAACTAACTGTCAAACGTTTGTAGCTGCAGCTGTAGATGTCATCTTTGGATGTCATCTTAACATGTCGTCTACAAATGTCGCTTGTCGAAACTCTCGGCAAAAAAACCTAAAACCTTATTTGTCCTCCCCTCGAGAGAGCCCGTTTACATCGAGAAAAAGGCCGTAAAAAGGGCGAGTAACCGGAAATGAGCAGTGAGTAGACGAAGCAAAGCCCTGTATCATACGCCGTAGCTGACAACGAGATGAAGAGTTTCTCCAAATGACTTTTCCATCGTACAAGTGCTCCCAACAAATATTGAGCGGTGAAAACCAAGTTGAACAGAAAAGAAATACAAGTGTATGGAACGTTAGTAGTACATTGTAACACAGGTGGGAGTAAAGTAAATCTGATATAAGAAAGACAACGAAGCAGCCATGTGGTGTCGTAGTTAGGCCGGTAGACAACCAACCTTTCTACCGGTCTCGGTGGCTGGCCTGTTCAAATCCGCCGAGAACGCTTTCCGCTACTTCACTTCGGGCCGTCCCGCTATTATCGGTTGATGAATGCTCACTCTCTTCGAAGCTGGTAGTTTTGCTTGTAGCAGTGTGCACATCGGATGTAGTTTTCTGCTCAGTGATTGGCTCACTAGATTGGATGGCTTTTGCAGCAATCGTCTTAGCCTGTCCCTCTGAGACCTTTCCGTAGACTGCCATGGCACTGGCAATCATACCACCCATATCACCAACATTACCAGGCACAACAACAGCGGTGCCCTCCTTTGCAAGCTTGGAGAATGCGTCGACATATTTCTCAGCCACAGAAAGGCTGATTGCGCCACTAGCCGCTTCCTGTCCCTCCCGGATGGCCGTTGCAACGGCATCAATTCCACGAGCAGTAGCCTCGGCTCTTAGGCGGATAGCCTCAGCCTCACCCATGGCTTTGTTGATCTGTTCTGACTTCATAGCTTCTGATGCAAGGATGACCGACTGTTTACGACCTTCAGCTATGTTGATTGCGCTCTGACGTTGACCTTCGGAGTCTAGAATTTCGGCACGTTTCGACCTTTCGGCTGTTACTTGACGGTGCATGGCTTCGACGACTCCCTCGGGAGCATGAATATCTCTGATCTCGTAACGAAGACAGGTCACACCCCAATCCTGTGCGGCCTCGTTGATGGCTTGTGTGATATTCGTGTTTAGAACCGCACGCTCCTTGAGAACGTGGTCGAGAGTCAGTTGACCGATCTCGGATCTCATTGTCGTCTGCGCCAGTTGGGATATCGCGTATTCGGCATCTTCCACGCCATAACTATAGATAGCATATCAGTATATTCCCCCGCTCCAGTATCAATTCCGTGATCACGAACCTAGCTTTATAAGCATCAAAGACCCGAGTGTAGAGCACGCCGTCCAACTCCAAAGTAACATTGTCTGCTGTGATGGCATTCTGGCTCGGAATCTCAATGGCAGCTTCCTTCAAACTCTTCACATATGCAATTCTGTCAAGGAAAGGCACAAGAATAGCCAGCCCAGGCTCCAGGATACGATTAAATTTCCCCATTCGTTCCACTATCCATGCTGTCTGCTGGGGTACAAATCTGATTATAGTGTTTGCGGGCAATGAGGGACGGCTAGAGAAGTACGTCGTAGGAGTGCCCATGGGCGGCGAACCTCCAGCACCGAGGCCAAAGAAAGGCCCATGGTTAGGGTCTGCCGTCCTCCGCGGTGTCGAGCTGAAATGTCGGTGCGTGATCGGATGAGCATAGGCTGGCACCGAGACAAGGCAGGGGGCTGTTCGCCGCAGTGTCTGGGATTTGAGAACAGTCCTCCGCAGTATCGATCTGGAGGCTACCTCCATGATGTCAGACGTAAGCGCATTCACTTCTTAAAGCTGCTAGAAACAATCATCCATTCGAGCTCGACTTCAGCTTTGCTTGTTGCTAAAGTTTTGACTCCATGGAAGTCTGGGCATGGAATAACAGTTCTTCCGCGGAAATGCCGAACCTTATGGATCCATCCATCCACCGGTGGCCTGGCTGGAACTGAGGTAAACTACCTCCTAATCTCTTATATCTCTCCTATTCTAAACTACCTAATAATGTATCTCACATCTGATACCTTTTTCAACGGCATCCCAATCGGGACTAGCGTCATAGATTAAATATAGGGCTGAGAAAAGGAATGGCGCTAGTCCTGATTGGGACGCCACCAACCCCGTACTCAATCCAGTCATCATCCATCATCTATCAGCTTTACACCTGTTTATCTCGAATTCATTTGTCCATTTGGGCACTGAGGCATCTTCTTGTGCCTTCTTGAAGCTACGATCATGTCTTTTGCCACTAAGTTAGCTAGCACTCGACAGGAGCCAATCACGACATAAAGTAGCAAAAACGACTCCTTCAATTCTTTTCAATTTGATGAACGTTGTCCTGCCTGAATACCACGCAAGCATTATACCAAGTCTACAAAGGACTGTTTATACCTGAGCTAAATAAATATAAACAGTATCTTCGTGTTAAAAAAAAAAAAAAAGGACCATTTGTTATTATACCCCTTTGTTCTAGAAGCTAGTAGTATTAGTATTCGCTTGTCTTGCGGGTGGTCGGCAATCCAGTGGAAATCTGCGTACATCAGGGGCATAGACCAATCTCTACCTAGGTTTTATCATGTCCTTTGTATAAAAGTTTTCCCTGTTTGTGTTTACTCGCAGTTCCTTTGTTTGGCCTCTTGCCTGGTCTTCCCGTCCTGTCCTTCATATTGGTAGTTGCCCAGGTGACTCTCTCTGGCTGAAAATATGAAGAAGCCTTCCTGAGCTTTCCATCGTCTCATTTTCCGTCTTTTTGTCAACGTCTTCTTGCTTTGTGGTTGTACTATTGGCTCTTCGCAAACGTTCCCTGAACCGTCTGCTATCCTGACGGGCACAATATTCTCTATTCTGATAATTGTCATCTCTTCTGATCAAATCTCCTTGCAGCGATGTTTCTACACTCTGTTATTCCTCGAATTTGCAGGCTGAGCTCAATTAAGCCGTTTTTATTGTTGCATGCAAGGCCTCCATGTGTTTATATGCCTCTCATTTCTTCGCGGGTGAGCCATGGTTTGAGTGTAACTGCAGGAACACGTTGTCTCCGGTTTTACACCCCTGGTAATGCCAAAGTGATGGATATGTCGATGGACGATGAATTCCTGAGCCAGGAGCAGCGAGACCAATTGTTTCGTGGAATATTCCCTGCTGACTATTCTGGCGAAGTGATCTCGATTAAGACTAGCAGGGCAGAATACAGCAGACTCTTTGAAGCTTTCGAAAAGTCAACAAACAAGTTTGTCTTCCTTTTCCTACTATCATTATGTGCTGATGCTTACGGTGAAATATACAGGAGGAGTCAATCAGCTGTTCTGAAATTTGATAAAACATTTCACACCACTTCTATCCAGCTACGACAGGTCTCCATCCATGAATGTGTTATCAGTAATGTTTCAGCTCAGCTACGAAACCTCATGCCACTGCGCCCTAAACGATTCTCCTTTATGAAGAATACGGAAATTGATGATGACCTACCTGACCCCGACCTACAGATGGTGTGGCGCTCAAATATGGGTGTTATCCCAGTTCTTGCAATGGAAGTAGGGTTTTCACAACCCAGCCTGGACCTGGAGATGACAATCAGAAAACTTCTGCAAAAAGCTTCCGTAAAGGTTGGAATTTTAGTCGACATCAAAGAAAGCCCAAGTTATAAGAATCCGCTGAGGAACGAACAGAATATTGAGATATGCAAAGCTGCGATGCAAGCGAGCACTGATAAACCTGAGCTACTTATTGAGCAATACTGCGCCGGACGAGAATTGTTCAGTCCTGTGGTTCTATACGGAATTCAATGGGTAGGAGAATTGACTGCTGCAGTCCAGGTGTTTGGGAAGGACTCTGTGACTGGGGAAGTAGTTGCAAGGACCCCGAGAGTGGTAAGAACTATGAATCATCTACTTTGTTGTACGCAGATTCAACTGACGGATGTTGATTCTAATTATATATAAGACATTTTTCGGACATCCCAAGCCTGCAAAGGGGATCAAGCAGTCAGGGGCACCCATCTACGAAGCGTACCCCAGCCTCAATACCAAATTCTCAGACTGCGTGGACTCAGATGATGAAGCTTACAATGTCGACTTAGCTTTAACGTGGGATGACGTCCGAGATGATCTCGATATAGCGAAACGCATGCTAGCTCGGAAAAGATGCTCCGCCGCCGTTTCCCAACTGAAAAAGGAAGGAAAAATTTGACCCTTGGTTACCACAAACTACCAAGGGGTTCGCAAAGTATCGGTACATACCTCTTTTTTACACCAAAAATAGCTAAAAGTAGTACTTTTATTAGCCGTCAAAAACGCTGTTATTAGGGAATTTCTGCTCTATTTCCAAGTAAACATCAAGAGTGGTTTCGTCAGTCTCTCCCCGCTACACTTTGTACTGGGGTCTGAATCTTGTCCCTTTGCCCCGAATTACAAGCTAAAGAAGACTGGTTTTCAGCTCCTAGCTCTCGCTGGTGTGCGGATTGGTTATACATAAATAGCCATTCTCTCTGTTCTTATCCCTATACAGGGCTCGAGGCTTGATTAGCACTGCCCTGGTTCTGGCCATTGCCACACCAGCTCTTCTACCCCTTGATCAACAGTAATGTTATTCACTGGCCTCTGAACATGGTTTTTTTTGATGTCCGAGCAGTTAACTAACTACCCTTTTATAGCCCAAAAACACCTGGAGCGAGGAATTGGCTCAGGCTCTCTTCTCCACAGGCGAGATACTAGGAGTGTGTATGCGTAGATACTTATGTAGTACAGGACGAGTTGTCTCCCTGCCGGTAAAAGCTTCCCAATATCTGGCCCTGCTGTCGAATTAATTGCACGGTTTATCAAGAACAAGTCTTAGCGTTTACCGAGGGATCTTCACCCCATATTTAACTAACAAACTAACTAAAAAGCAATTTGGATATCAAATTACCAGTTATCTAAGAATTTCTGCTCCAATATTTCTTGAAGGAACCTCCGATCAAAGCCGATCGTAATCTTGAAAAGCTGATTGCTGACCTACATATTTCCGCATATACTCCGTATTAAACTTGCTAGCTAGCTACTTATAAGTAGCCAACACACGGCTATCGAGACAGTTAAACACTAGTTATTCGCTTCACCTCAACGACCGGACATTTCCTCTACCAGCAACAGTATCTCCGTAGGGTCATACGGAGTACACTGGGTACGGCATCTCCCTTCAAATCGGAGCGATCGATCGATCGTCCTCCTAGCTCGTACTTCGCAGCGCGCAAAGCATTCGTGGCTTGCTCTGCAGACCGCAGGGGCCTGGTCGTGGCGCTCGATGGCAAACCCGCAGCCCAGTTTACGGCCTGGGCTTGGGCTCAAGCAGCGGCAGTGGCAGTGGCAGCACTGACAGTAAGGCGGGTAAACTTGATTAAATTAATATTATATTCAATCGGCAGCCGCATAGTGATAAAGTCTACGGAGTACCTGCGTCTCAGCTGAGACAAGCCCTCCCGTGTCCTACCTTGCCCCTGAAATAGCTGCAAGGTACGACCAACTCAAGACCAAAGTGTTCCTTGCGACTATCTGATGATCGCCTCTGTTGTCCAACCAATACCCCAATATATCGAACCCTACTTTGTTGCACAGGACTGAACTCCCTGGTGACTACCGGCAATCGACTGTGACCGTCGGGTGGTCAATGGTAGAACAAGCAGACTCTACTCGGACAATCTGCCTGTTATTACCATGGAGATCAAGCCTGCAGAGGATCCCCCGCCTCCCGGCTGTGCGGGAAAGCGATATCACAAAGTATACTGGGTTGGGGACGTCTTGCTTGTGCTCGATGAGGCACTGTATAAATACTGCCACGGAATACCCTAGGCTCAAGATCCTCTGACTGTCCCCGTCATCCTCATTCTGACTTGTCTTCCTGTCATCTAGACAGTCAAGCCAGACAAGCCGGACGAAAAACTCATCTGCCATGCGTTTCATCTACTGGGCCGCGGCCACCCTTCCAGGGGCCCTTGCCGCTCCCCTTAACCCCCAGAACCTCCAGAATGCAGTTGTAAGTCTGTTCTTTGCATAGATGAATCATCTGATTTCTTTCAACGAAAGAAATTGTCCTCTTCCCTGGAAAGTTTGAACTGACAGGCGCCATAGAACCCGAATCAACTGAAGAACCCCCTGACTATTGGTACTGGAACAGACCCAATCAGCGAGTTCCTACGGAAGTTGAACAGTGGCGAGCCCTTCACGTCTTCCCCTCCTAAGGCAGCAGGCGGCGCTCCAACCGTCCAAAAGAGGGAGCCCATCAACCCTCTTGAGGTCGTCGATGGCCTCGCTCGGAAAGTCACCGGTTCTTCCACCGGCATAGCACGTCGTGGATCGTCCGGGGATGAAAAGGCAGCAAAGAAGAAGTTCGGACAGAGACGCGGCCTTTTCCCCTTTGGCGGTGACGTGCGAGGCGTCCATGCAGGAAACGCTGGCCTCGATGCTAACAATCTCGGCCGTGAGAAGCGAAATGATGATGAGTTCCCATTCAACAACCAGCAAAATGGCCAGCACTCCGTCATACTTAACCCACTCCTCAATACCCACGGAAACGACATTAACCGTGGATTCGGACGTCGCGACTCAGCTGACGAGGTTGCGTCAAAGCAAGTCAAGCGAAATGACGATGAGTTCCCATTCAACAACAAGCAAAATGGCCAGCACTCTGTCACCCTTGACCCCCTCCTCAATACCCATGGAAACGACCTTAATCGCGGATTCGGTCGTCGTGACTCAGCTAACGAAGTTGCGTCAAAGCAAGTCAAGCGAAATGACGACGAGGGCCCATTCAACAACCAGCAAAATGGACAGCACGCCGTCATAACCAATCCAATGATGACCACTGATGGAAATACCAACAACCACGGATTCGGCCGCCGTGACTCCATCGATGAAACCGAGCCCAATGAAACCGAGCCCAAAGAGATCAAGCCCGAGAAGACCAAGCCCAAGGAGGCCAAGCGAAACAACGATGAGTTCCCCTTCAACAACGTGCAAAACGGACAGAGCAGTACCGTAATCGAGCCACTGCTCAACACCCACGGCAACCTTAATAACAAGGGCTTCGGTCGTCGTGAGGTAGAGAAAGTCAAGCGTAACGGGGATGAGGGCCCGTTCAACAACCAGCAAAACAGCCAAACCAGCACTGGAACCGACCCCTTGCTTCAAACTGGTGGGAATATTCACAACGAAGGCTTCGGTCGTCGTGATTCAGCGGATAATTAGGGGCATTGAAGTACATCGAGCGAGGTAGCCAGTAATTGATATGCTTGTGCCGTCCATTTCACAACGGGTGCGTTATGAATTTGGTATGTATCCATAGGGAAGAGCAGTCTGGGCAGCAGCACACTCGACTAGGCGTTTCTTTGCCTTTGTTGAATTCCCGCCTTTCGGCACATGTAATTACGCGTTTAATACTTATTCCCTGGTACACAGTTAATATAATAATCATCAACTTCACTGGTTCTTGAAAACAAACCGAAATTCATGCTATGTGTCTTCTATTCCCAACGGGCTTCCCCCTGACTCTGCTGCACGAAGAGTGGAGTCCCATGGGTCGGACAATATGTTGGTGAAACTGCATGGGCCGCTTGATAGTTAGCCAAGAATCGCACAAATAAAATGAGATATCACAGAATAAGTAAGGGAGATAGTTAACCGTATAGTTATTGGTTGGATAAATGAGTTACCCCTAAGGCAATGTGAGTCTGTTGTACAAGGAGCTGGCGGACACCTCACTTTGTATATCGGTAAAGTGTGAGGCATCCTCGTTGGCTATGGCGTCGTACAAAGGAGGGGAGACGAAAATACCTGTCTAAAGACCACTCAAGTATCATATATGCAGAGACCTGAATGTACAACTGCCGTCATGTCCAATTATCTTGAGATGTCGAGGCCAAACGATGGTAAGGGGTCAGAATGCAACCATGGATAAATACCACCTCTGTAGCCTGATCCCTTCTGCCTTCTTCATTACCTTGATACAGCCCAGCTAACTCCCCCACGGCCCTGCTTACATACAGTTAACCAACTGCACGCCTAAAATTGCCATCCATGCGCTTCCTCCACTGGATCTTCGCTGCCATGCCATTGGCCATGGCAGCCCCAGTTGCTCTCCCAAATGAAAACGCCCCTGGAATGCTGAATATTGTAGGTTTTTCCATGGCAGTTTAAAGCTCAACTCATATGCTCCATGTTCAAGTAAATAGTCTAATATTGACTCTTACTTCCTTTATAATTAGGGACCCAGGGCGCAAAATAAAGCCTCGGGTATCACTGATATCCCCATTAGCAGCGTTGAAAACCTTTGCTCTGAGAACGAGCAGGCCGATGAATGTGGTGGTGACCAGGCATTAGGACGTAATGAGATGAACAACAGGGAAAACTCTGTCGGGAAACACAATAGTGGCCTCGAAAACAACTTGAGACGGGGGTCTCTTCTCCCCCGTCAGTCAAAAGGACGTCTGCTGAGTGGAGCACTCATTGACGGCCTACCACTTCTTGGGAGTGGAGGTCAATGAACCTGCAATGGACGTCCTCTGTGTTCACCAACTGCCGCCGCAAAGTTCCTAGAAGCTTATTAGCACTAATACTATATTACTTTATTACCTCTATGCCCAATTATCTTCGCTCCAAAGATCGTAGGCTATCAATATAAGAGATTTATAAGTGGAGTTGTCGTTAGTTGCGATGCCATGCCCAAATGGTAAACTAATAAGAAGACGAGAGCCAGCAGTTCGACGTCGCTTGAAACAAGCGCCCTCGCAGAGCCCCATCAGGTGACATCATCTGGGCCCGGTCGCGACAAGGGTTCATCAAACCCCGAGGTTCCAATTTCAACCGCGACATCAACACCAACATTCAACAGCTTCAGCGCGCCTAAAGTACGACAGTGGAAGAATAAAGGGCTAACATCATGTCGTCGTTTCCGGGTAGCGCTTCACAAACGCCCCTTCAAAACCCCAGGACTCCTCCTCCACCACCACCAAAACAGCCACAGTTAAGCGATGGCCATCCGCCCTCAACACCACCAAAGGAGCCCATACACTTTCAAACACATCCAGGCACCGACGTAACGGACCCCACAGCCCCGGGGTCGGGGCCGGCATCAGGCCGCTCATCGGCTATTCCAACCGGTCAGCCTTTATTTGAACAAGTGCCGACACAGCCTACTCCGCCCACAGTAGAAGACAGATGGATTCCAGACATATTACAGGATAAATCGTATGTCGCAACCCAAAGCCAGAAAGATGATAAGCTGCTTGTATTGACCATATGATAGTACTGCCGATCTACATGCCCTATTATCGAATTCGAATTTGATATCTGCAATAGCAGACACACATCCGGCATCAATCCATGCTTCGAATAACATTGAAAAATTGCTGGCTACCAACACCTCCCTAGCTACACATCTTCTTGGGCTACAGTCGCATTTATCGGCCCTGCGAGCATCGACCGAAGCACTTCTTTTACAGCATCAGTCGCTAGAAGTATCATGGCGTAAGAAGCAGACGGAAATGGACGCTGCGTTGGATCCGTGGTCGCCAAAAGCGCTATATCAACGTCTAGTCGGGGCTGTAGCGGAGCAAGAGGCTGTTTGCAGAGCTGTTGAGGAGAGTTTTCTGGAAGAAGGACAGCGTGGAGGAGGTGTGGCGGCGGAGAGAGAGGTTGCAGAATGGATTAGGCGGATTAGATCTGAGGGAGCCAAGTTGGAGGCTAGAAGAGAGGCGAGAGCGCGATGGGATGAAGGGAGAGTAGGAGGATGGAGATAGGTGATATTATTTAATTGTATATTTTTTTTTAAGTATTATAGACGTAAATAGATAAATGGCGTTAATCAGGGTATTCATGCATGATTCGTTAAAATGCAAATATGCGCGAAAAAATGATTAGATACTGGGCGGGTATCATTGCGGAATAGATGTTCTTGCATGCTCATGCTTGTCCATGGCACATCCATAAGTCGGGAAGCCGACTCCAGCAAAGAAGGCAAAATGCCTACTCCTTGGACCCCATGCCCAACCAGCACCTGATGCGAGGGGGAGGTGGTAGAGACTAAATCCGATCCAAGCAAATAGTGTGCCAAGCACGGCGCCAAATATGATATCAAATCCAAAGTGCCTGTTGTCTACCCATCTGCTGCTGGCGATGAACATGGCAGTACAGATAGGGATGGCGGCTATGAGGATGAGGTATGTTGGCGGAGCAGCTCCCTGCTCACGTAGTGGTATTTCATCTGGGCAGGACTGCGCTTCGCAGGTGTCTTCGCCTTCTTGGTGTGGAGGATGTGGATGGAAGGAGGAAGCGCGGATGTCTCGAGTGAAGAGATTCGGAGATATGTTGGGGAACGCAAGGAAAAGCTTGGAGCACATCCAAAGAGTCAAGTATACGAGGCCAGCAAAAGACACTAGAATATCGGTTAATACAGTCGTGATGTAAGACTCATGAGTGGAGGAAACGTACTGGATGAATGGCCGCTGGGGAAGCTGACGAAGCCGTCACGAAGCAGCATGCTCGCTGTATTACGACATATTGTCCAAGTAACCACCTCTGGCGCGCCATCGAGTCTCTGACCCAACCCGCTGACAACGTGTTTGGAAATATCAGACAAGTCCGGGTCACATCTGCTAAGCATGTCTGGCCTGGGCTTTCCAAAGAGCACTTTCATCCCTTCCGTCGCAGCATAAGTGCAAGCGTATGCAATTCCAAAGCCCATCCAGCCCGCATTCCACTCCCACAGTTTCCGTCGCCATACCAGGGAGCTGGGTGCCCCCGCAGCAGCAGTTCGACCCGGTATGAAGAGCAGGCTGAAAAGCGCAATCAGAACGAGCGGTGCGAGAAGCGTGACCAGGACAAGCACCTCAACGGAGACGGTTTCCTTGACTGCAAATGGATACGATATGTTGGGATCTCGAAGGCTGAAGGAGTGTCTGTTTGGATGTGCAATTGCAAATATGCGACCCAGCGCACCCATCAACCTGTAGCCATCAGTTAGCGCCCTGTACAGTAACCGCTGCATGCAACATGCGCACAAAGGAGAGAGAGACGAACAAGATAATTATCCAGTCCAGGACATAGGAGAGGATGACCAGCTTCGAGATGCGGCCTGCAGACGAGACTTGATCGGAAGAAGATCCCATCATGACTTGAAATCCGCTTAACAGAGGCCTCATAGCACGCGGTCGAGCTCGGACCAGGGTTATTCTGATCCTAGACAATAGCTATGTGCAGATATATATGGTGGAAGTATATGAGCAGCAACCAGAACTCGGTTCAGCTTGACATGGCAGAATATACAAACAGGCAGAGAGACGATGAAGCTGAAGGACGCTTGGAGGACGAAAGACGTTCGAACTCGCGGGAAGTCGAAAAGGCGACGAAGAAATCAGGAAAACGCCCCAAAAATGGCCAGGCTTCCCGATCCGGAAGTGATCTAAGGTGACGTAATCAACTGCTAGTCCCGAACTTTAAGATAATTTTGAGTTATGTAAGCCGAAACTATATGCCGAGCCACGTCGACCTGCGTCGGCTTTAAGGTTTGGGAGCTTCTGGTTGGACAGTTTATTTACGAGCTCCGTGTGATCACACCTAAAATAGCTTCTTTTCCATGCTGACTAATGATCAGTCAAAGTCAAAGCGGACGACCAGCCTCCGCGTCTATCAAAACGTCTTTCTTTTTCTTCCTAACGGCGTCTTGCTTGCTGCTGAGGTGTTAACGGGATACGTAGACATGCATTACTTCCTACGGAGCACGCTGTAATGGATTAAGGCGACGCTCACACCACACCGGATACCTTGCAGGCAATTTCTTGGGGACTCCTCTTGGGGGTCTTCTTATCAGCCTTGTGTTTTCTTGACTATCATAAATCTCATTCCATCTACCCGAAAAGACTCACGGCCCCGGAAGGGACACTATCTAATTGACAACGCCATGTGTGCTTCTCTGGGCACTCTTGTTTTCACTCCTGAGTGAACCACCAACTTGAGAGACGATTTCAGCCAAGAACGACGGATACCTAAAATATCCCCAGTACGGAGTACTCAATCCGAGACGCCCTTTCGTAACGAGTTGCCAGAATGCAGCCCCTGGTGCAATATGACCCTCGCATTACATTCATGGTGATACCCCATTATTTGTATTTAGTACTTCCCGCATGGAACTCCTTCCATTCATGAGCGCTCTTAGCATCATCACATATTTCTGGATCCTTCCAATGCTCGCCTGCCGGGTACGGAGACTTGTCAAATACCAAGCGATAGTTATAGGGAGACATGGCACGCCACTTCATTCGGCCATCAGGGTCTTTATCCAGAGCGGGTATGAATTTCCCCTTCTCCAGGCGTACCATGTATTTCTTTGGTTCAAAGGCTTCCTCCAGAAGCCTACCATCCTTTACCGCCCCGAGGTGGGGATGCGGCATCTCTCGTGCCTCTTTAGGTCCGCGTTTCGTAAGTGTGATTTTTAACTCAAACTCGGACAGAAGCTGTGCGTCTGCGCTAGAGGTTTTTGCACCAACAACCTGCTTCAATACGCTAGGATCTGTAGCCTCCCACTTGATTCCCGTATGGATCCATATCTTAGCGTCATCACTAGCACACAATAGCTTAGGATACTTGGTCAGTCATGGACTTTTAGGGCTAATCCTAAAGAAAGGGGGACATGCTCACCGAGCCGGTGCCATTCTGCTTGAAGAGTATGTAATTGTTGGAGAAACTGTCCCGCCGCCAATTTTTACAAAGAAAGGCTCGTACGGTATCACCCATTTTGACTTCTTCTAGAAGTAATCGTCGATAGGCGGTGTGATAAGGTATGTTTGTTATAGCTATCAAATGTCAGAAGCTCGGGGTGCTTATAAACAAAACAGCTACTTGTTAGTTTGGGCAAACCCCAAGAATTTATACCCCTTTAGCACCAGATAGTGATTGCATATGTACTTGGTTTGGCTATCCTATTTGACAACTTCAAAAATCGTGCTCACCCATCATATTTCACAAAACTCGGTTCTTTGCTGTACGTGATGGACGACACGACGTGACCCAGTAACCAGTCCATTCATCAGCATATGGCTGTTACTCCGGGAATTAAGTTATGTTCATACAGTGATCAACTTCTAGTCAATGATTTGGTTGGTATTCAGCATTGGATAGTGACTGCTACGCCAGATATCTAGTGGGAGAATTTATTACAATCTATTGAGTTTGAGAAGAGTAGATAACGTAGACTCGACGTTCCGTGGTAATCGTACATCTGGCTGGTTTGAAAAGAAAACGACGGTACAATTCATAAAAGTTTGTTGAGCCAGTATCAGCAGCATGTGCAGCTATCGACAAACCGGGAGGTCATGACTGGGGCAGATCGGGTATAAAACAGGGGATGAGAGCCTGAGTTCATTCAAGTAATTGCTCGCAGTATCTTTTGTGGGCATCTTACAGTTTCTAGCTTCTGAAATCTCAAGTGTACAGGATGTTTCCAATTAGCAAACTCGTGGTCCTTGCTTTAGCCTGGATTGGAGGGACCATAACCTTCTCGACTCAAGCTGGAGATATAATCGGTTACCGAACAGTTCGTGATGCATGCTAGATGATTTTGTTTCCCCTGCAGATGAATGGAAGTTGCTTGGCTAAACGGTATATAGAAACAGGCAGCGCATTATGAGGCAGCTGGCACCCTTACTTTTGACGGGAATCACCATGAAGTACAGCTAGGGAAAGGAGTCTATCTCACAGCACGAGGGGGATATTGGCGGAAGGGGCGCGAACATTCGTGCGTTGCTCCTTCAATACCCCCTTTCACATGAATCAAGGCCGCGAAGTGGAATTAACTTCTTCATGTTGGCAGGTGTTGCGCTGTCTTTGCAAATCCAGCGCAGCTCTCCGCTATTCAAAAGGCGTGGGTACCCGAAAAGTACGGTAGATCCAGGCTGTGGTGGAATCAGATTAATATCAGCAAGTATATCAGTTCCTTGGATAGAAGATGGGATCCAACTCGAGTCATACAGATATCTTATATCCAGGGGCATGGGCGCGAGCTTCAGATGCTAATTCCCCCAAATTTGCTAAATCAGAATGGAGGTGGGCTTGAGATTACTGTGACTTGCACCAAAAACCGCCGCGCGATGACCAGGATGCCGACCATTGACTGGATGAAGGATTCCCGCTGGAGGATGAATGCGAAGGGGCAACCATGATGAATCTGGCCTTGAGTAGTGACCTATCCTCGCTACTCATATCTTTTGCTAAAAAGACGGTGGAGCCGGAGGTGAATGGGGTGTAAATTTAGGGGTATCAAAGATTCCGCTTTGTATTCACCGTTCCTCGCATATGCTTAAAGTCAAGAAGAGGTATGATAGAGTTCTTAGAATTAGAGAGTTCTTAGAATTAGACACATTTCATTCAATCACTTGGGCTATAATAGACATGATTGATGCCTGTTATTTGGGGGTGTAATTAACTAGTCGTTAAGTCTGCCTGCAGCCAAAAGGGGCAGTCATTCTCCCTCCGTTCAATTATTATCTGGTTGGTGAGTGACGTGGGGACAGTTAGAGAGTCGGGGCATATGAGGATTCCGTGTGGAATCTTCACGGCGTCTGCTATAATTTCCTACACCCAGCCTTTAGGCATCATTATAACGGTGGGTAAATAACTGACTGGTGAAGACCTTAAAACATAACTAATCCTCATGAGTAGTCACGGCCAGGCAGTTGAACAAAGAGCGAACCTGGCCGTAAGCCTCAACTAACTAGTGAAGAACAAAGCGCTTATCCTAATTGGAACTAGTAGCGAACTCGTCCTTAGGCTAGTCCCAAAGCGGACATAGTTCCTGATTTTATTTATCAAAGTCGATGACATCACGTTTCCCAAGTATATAAACGAACCTCTTCTCTCTTCTCTTCTTCAATTCTTCAATTTTTCTCAGCTCGTCTACCAGCTCTTCTACAATCTCTTCTACCAGCTCTCGGTTCCTGCTCTATAGACCTTTATCCTCGATTTTCATCAAATCGTCAAGCAACTTCCTCTAAATACGAGTTTTCAGGACCCCTTCAACAAGACGTCCTGTGGGTGAATCGTTTGAACAACCTTGTTTTGACGGTATGTTACTCCAACTTGGAAGACATGCTTGGAAGACATGGAGGATACCCAGCAGGTCGCAAGTGCGGCAGAAACCCAGGGAACCCTGGAACGATATGTCCAGCAAAGACACCGCTACTATCAACATCTGAGTGCCTTCGCAATCAGGTTTGAGGAAGACCACACAGGTGCAGAACAAGATCTTCCTAACTTTAAAAGTCTTGTTCGAGCACTAGGCATTGATTCCGTCGAGGAGTGCGTTCTCTTAGCTAGTGATAGAACACCTGGGTGGACTATTATAAGCAAGCTCCGCGAACACCTTCTGGGTGGACTGCAGCAATGCCTCCACCCAAAATTTGGTCGCTATTTAGTGATCATCCATTACTCAGGGCATGGCACCTACAAGCCAGAACAAGGACTATGGTTTCATGCTAATCCTCAATCAAAGCCGTTCTTTACCTTAAACACACTTACAGAAGCTGTGTCGATAAACTCTCAGCAGTCCGACGTGTCTATGGGCGCCGTATTTATTATAGACAGTTGCGAGATAGGGTCTGCGAGACTCACTGTTCGAGTAGATGATACCTTCGAACTCCTAGCCGCCGTCCCCGAGCAGAAAACGACGTTTGCTACCTCAGGCAGACAGAACCAAAAACAAACCTTCACCGCCAAATTAGCTAATGCTGCAGCTATTGCTCAAGGCAAAGCACGATCAGTCGACTTTGCAGAGCTCCTTGACTCGGCTTACAGCCTCTCGTCCGCGAAATTCCCCGTCCACAAGCTCCTGTCAGGTTCCGTGTCTATACGAGTCAAGTTTTCAGGTCTGGCACACTCCAGTTTACCGCAGCCGCAGCCACCAGCCTCCCTCCCACTGTCAATGAAGGTACCTGCTAAGGTCCTTTTCTCTTGTCACTTCCTAGAAGACTCTGCCTCGGAGGCGACAAAAAAACTGCGTTCCTGGATAGAGCTTCTTGACCCAGAAATCGGATTGCAAGTAACCGGCGTATTCCAGACAGAATCCACCGTATTGATACTCCTGGCGCCGTATACGGTTTTCTGCACGATGCGAACTCTTCTTCCAGGCATCACCCTAATTGCCGGGAAAGTGTTTATCCCACAGAGTCCAGCTAGTACCATCGAAGACCCCGTCCTCACATCAACCCCACGGCAGCCAGAACGAGTCCCCGTATAAACAAAGTTTATCTTATACTACGATAGAGAAAGACCTTGAGCATGAGCATTAAACAAACCCGAGCAATGATTTCCGCAAGCAATGACTTCTCTAAGCAACGACCTCCATGACCAACGACCTGTTATCCTTGTACCATTAGTCTTGTATCTTTAGCCTTGTACTATAAAAAATTCAACCGGTTTCAAGCGATTGAAAATGCCTTGACTCTAACTAATGAAATAGCACGCATTCGATGTCACCTAATTGCTGAGAAGCCACCCTTTTATCATATAACTAGGGGAAAGCTCCTGTATATACGCCCTGTTTTATACCTGTATCCTCAAACTATAAGTTATTTCTTTAAATACTACTCTTCTCTCTCTCTCTTTAGTCTCCTATCTAAACACCCTCCTATTAAAGTGCTACAAACGGGTGGCGTGGTTCTGGATGGAGGACGTCCAGGAGTACGGAGTACGTGCGGATGCTTCGTACGCTGCGATCTTCGAAGAGCCGAGGCCCAGCCAGTTTTCTGATTCCCCCTTAACTATCGTGACATGCGAAACCCATTCAACGACAGCTGGGAGTTCCGAGAGTCAGATAGCGAGGAGTTTGCCTTTTGGCATGGAGATCTCTCAAAAAATATCATCAGGGATCCGAAGTTGTTGAAAAGAGCGATTATTGATTGGGTGTACTCCGTAACTAGTTATGCTAGATTCTATCCTGCGCATTTTGAGAGCTGGTTCTTCGGGCGTAAAGGACCTCCGTGGCAATTGGAGATGAAACAGATAATTGGGATCTTCTTCTTGGATTTCTCCAGTCACGCCGGCAGCGCAATTCAGACTAACCAGCGGAGTCTGAAGCGTGGGGTGTGGTTAGTTAAGGGGCTGGAGCCACAGCCACACGTCGCTGGAGATCGTCGTTAGGAGCTTTTGTTAACCCTTTTTTATCCCATATCAATCTAACGCAACTGTTCAAGTTCTGGACGCATCTGAAGGAATCATGTTTATTTTAGTCTTAAGTTGACAATTAACTAGTTCCTGCATATTTCACTGGATTTTAAAGCAAGCTTTTTAACATGATGAATTATATTATCGGAGAGAGACTAGTCAAGGTCGGAAAAGAACTTGTAGTTGAAGGACTCGCTGGCGTCGTTGAAGCGCCTCTGTCTGTCCATCTCATGCACCAGCTGCAGATCTTCGGCTTTGAGCTCAAAGTCAGCCTGGAAGTTGTCCTTGATGCGCTGCTCCGTCTTTGACTTGACCAGCACCGAGTGGCCTTCATTGATACCCCATGCTACCCAGCCCGTTAGTTGATCAACTACTTTTAATTCAAAGTGCGTAAGATCACCACTTACCAAGAGCAACTTGAGCAGGGGACTTGTTGTACTTCTTGCCAATGGCCGTGAGGGCAGGGGCCTCGAGCAACTTGCCGTCCTGCTTGTATGATTCGTTCTGATTACCTAGAGACGAGTAGTGCGTGATGTGGATACCCTTGGTCTTCAGGAAGGTGACAAAAGACGGCTGCTGGAGCCAAGGGTGCAGCTCGAGCTGGTGGACGGCTGGCACGATGCTGGTGTTTTCAAGCAGCCTCTCGGTCTCTGCCTTGGAGAAGTTGGATATACCAATGGCTTTGGTCTTACCGGCCATGGCCAACTTCTCCATCGCCTTGTAGGTCTGTGGACATCAGGTATTAATAATTTTACTAATTAATGGACAAATGAATGAAGTACAAGGACGTACGTCTACATAGTCAATATCGACCACCTTCATCTTGCCGGAGCTGTCTTTGGGGAAGGCCTCGTCACCTGGTGCAAAGGCGACGGGCCAGTGCATCAGATATAGATCGAGATAGCTGATGCCCAGGTTCTTCAAGCTGTCGTCAAGTGCTTTCTCGACGTCTTCAGGCTTGTGCTTGTTGTTCCACAGCTTGCTGGTGATAAAAAGCTCTTCTCGGGGGATGCCGGACTTCTTGATGGCTTTACCAACTGCAGCTTCTGTGCCGTATCTATCATTGATATTCGGTATTAGCTATCAATTACTTTAAAACCTTTCAATGAAGGGGAAGGATAACACACATGGCAGCGGTGTCTATATGACGGTATCCCGCCTGCAGTGCGGCCAGGACGGCCCCCTCCTGCGCCTGTTCATCCTGCCAGGTCCCAAACCCGATGGCTGGTATCTCGGCGCCTGTATTCAGCTTGAATTTGGTATTGCGAGGAGGCATGACGGCGGTAACTTCACTCAATAACAGTACCGTTCAAATAAGTAGATGTGACGGCGGTGATTGATCGAGTCAACATCCCTTCTATCGACAGCGCTGTTAAATATCTACATCTATCAAACTACGGTTCAACAACGTCAATTCTTCCAACGTGACGTCACAAAATGTCCTTGCTCGAAGCAACTTTTGACCAGGAATTATCTACCTCAACAAACAACCTAGGCTTCAGCAATCCTCGGAGTATCTTATCCTCCAGACTGCCCCATGGTACTTATTTACACTGTTCGAGAAGCGGCTTAAGCTGTCCCCATATCAGCCAGGGGTCCCCGACATCTGCCCTTACTAACTGGCTAGTCGACCAGCTGAAACATAGGGTCCAGTCAAGCTGATCACCTCCGTCTCATCTTCTCCCAGGCCCCAGCCAACGTTTAAATAGCCTAATCTGGCTGATTCTATTTTCAGGTCGAGAGACATCAGACATCTCCCACCCTCCACCATTACGACGAAGGACGACAGCTCTAAAAATGGCCAGGACGTTGTCTCCATCTCCAACTGCCATAAGGCATGGTGTGTGTGCCCTGCCACATCCACGTCAGCAGTGCCAGCAGCCATGCATACCGTTATCATGCTGAAGGGGGAAGAGACTCGACCTCTGCGCTCGCTGCACCCAAAAAAAGAGACCAGGAAAAAAGCAAAGCCGACAGACGCGGGGAGGCTGAGCAGGCTCGTAAAAACGGTGCCAGCTCACTTGCTGCTGGGCCGGCGTCATGGTGACCGTGGCTGAAGCGGCCTGTCGCATGTCGCATCGTCCTCGACGCCCCCCTGTCGCTCTCCACACGCAGACCGCAAGGCCCCAGCTAACAAAGTCAAAGTGCGAGGTCCTTTAATCCCAAATGAGGTATTTCGGGTAGACGAGCCCCCTAATCTCAGGGCTTATAAGTACCTATCGCAGCCCGCTGCTGTGCCTCGAGATTTCTCCCAGCATCAACCAGCAAACGCTTATAACATCATATTCTCGAACACAAGATACCACTGTCTACCAACATATCCACCAATCTTCTTCCAACCGTCAAGATGCAGTTCAAGACTCTCTCCATCCTCCTCCTCTCTGCTTCCGCAGTCATCGCTGCCCCACAGGAGGAGAAGCGCGATATCATTGACCAAGCGTATGTCTCCTTTTGCCTGCTCCATACATGAATGAATACTCCAAGTACAGATATACTAACATATACCAGCACCTCTGGCATTGGCGGCATTGGCTCTGACATCGGCGACATCGCTACCGACATTGGCAACATCGGCAAGAGTCTTACTGCTCTCTTCCCATCTGCCACCGCCATCCCAGCCTCCGTCTGGAGCAGCTTGACAGACGCTTCCCACATCAAGTCTTTCGGCTCTTCCCTCCACAGCGCCATCTCAGACCACCACGCTCCCGCATGGTTCTCCAACCTGCCTGCCTCTGCCCAGAGCGCAGTCAGCAGCGCCGCCGCCGGCATCACCAGTGAAATCGGCGAGCACTTCCCCAGCGCTACCGGTACTCCTGGCGCTACTCCTACCACTGGCGGAGGCTCCCACCAGACCAACACCCCCAACGCTGCTCCCCGCGCCACCGCTCTCGCAGCCAGCATTGCTGGAGCTGCTGGTCTTCTTGGTCTCGCAGTCGCCTTGTAAATAGGCTTTTCGCTTCTTGGTTCTTTTTTTCTTCTTCTTCATATATAAATTTACTTTTCAAGACCGAGTTTTGGCTTCTGGAGTTGGTCGCCCAGCCTGTTGTATTATAAGTTGGGATGCCTGGCATGTCTTCTAATATGAATATACCACCTTTTCGCTTTGTTACGTATATATATACATCGTTTCTCCATCTTCTTCCCCATGTTTTTCCTCTCCCCCTGCGCTATAATTTCCCCCTTTATATCCATGTACTTCATGCCAAGACAAGGAATTTTTTCCGGTCAGGGGTATCACGTGAATTGCGCTTTCTGCCTTTCCCGCGCGCCGAAGAGTGCAAAGCCGCCCACAAATAAAAACCGGCAAAGTTTCTGTTTCTTCATTTTTCTTCTTCGTCAACATCAACATCACGCAGCAACAGCAACTGCTGATCATTTCTTTTCATTTCTCTTACCAGGCCAATTGGCTTGTTTCGAGGTTAATGATGGGTAAGCTATTCTATTCTCCTTTGCATGCACTGTTCTCCCGTGCAGGCTTTACCCTGATGAACAAAATTTTCTTCTTGAACAATCCAAATCCGACAATTCATGACGGACACACTTAGTAGCATCCTCTGATACAAGTTGCCATGGGAGATGTGCTTGCACTCTATCGTACTGCAATTGAGTACTAACATGTCGTCCTTAGAGCTTTTGCTACTGTCTTACCTTGGAATCCAAGCTATTCAATGAATGGATTATTCAAAAGGTGTGTATTAATTGATTGTTTATTGCTACTCCCCGCGCAACACCCCCTTTATGATGACACTATGACATGCAAAGGCATTCCTCAAGCTTAACCAATAATGTGGAATTTTGTCAGCTTCTAAGTTTCAGCCTTGTCTGATTTTATTCACCTTCATATTCATAACATCCACTTCGATTCTTCAGTCAATCAGTTGCTAACAAGTCTCGAATAGGTACGCTATTTACACTTCTGCACATGCCCTAAAAAACAATACACCTTGCATGAGGAACATTTGAACGAACGGGCGGACAGATCGCGTCTTTTCATCGCTATCCACTACAACAGGACGTACAAATCTGTTGGGTAGTTGATGGTTAGATTGCTTGTTGAGATTTCGTCACCTGACTATATGCTACACACCTGCTTAATACCATCTTTCCTGTCACTGCGGCAGTTCAATGGCTGAGAGTGAATGCTAACATCGTTGCCGTTGATCAGGTATATATCTCTTTTTCTGTTATTAGCTATGTTACTGGATACATCTCTTCCATGATGAACATTATTCACACTGTTTGATCTGTGCATTAAACCGCCAGAGGTGAAACTTCTTACACTGAAAATTCTGATTTAATGAGGTATGTCTGCCATGACTTTCTGTCGATGATGTACTTGCAGTGACGCTGACTGATGGGCGGGAAGCCTGATGATAGATGATTCCATTTTGTCTTTTTCCAAGCATATATTTCCTGATCATGACGGTGTCGACAAGTACTAATGTGGCCTCGTGGGATAGGTTTGATATCACACCATAGACGTATACTGTATTTCACACAGGTTAGTTTTCTTTTTGCAGTCTCCGCTTCCCATCCCAGTCCTATATTTGCCTGATGAAACAATGATTTTCGCTGTGTTCTTTCCGAGTCTTACTTTGACGATAACACATCACCTTGGAGACCTGACCCTTGCACGAAACACCGCTTTAACTATCCATTGACTCTTCGGTGTTCACTGCTAACTAGGGTATACTAGACATCATACTCGACACAATAGATAGTTATTAGCATTCAATATGACTACTCTTTTTACTTGCACAAATATTAAAAGCTTCCACTCTCGTCTACTCAACGTACTTCCCGTTCTTCCTATGCCAGCCTTCCAAGCTATCTCCATACGTCTTATGCACGACCTTCTTCCCCTCCGGCCACCGCGCCCACTTCGGCTTGGAGTCAGCTAGTATGCACACCATCTCCTCTGGCTCAGGCAGCTCTGTATCAATGGCCGACGCAAACGGATGGATCAGCTCCGGCCAGCTCTTGTCATATACCCAGAGCATGGTGCTGCAGTTTGAGCAGAAGCTTCGTTCGGAGCTGCACTTTTCCTCCGTCGGCTTGCCTCTGTCTTTGATGGCGTTGTATTTTCTATCGTCGTCAGCAGTAGCTTAGTTAGTATAATGAGGGGAGAGTGATATATACTTGATTAGGTCTTTCCCCTTGGCGATGTTGAGGGAGCTGCTGATGCCGCCTAGGTTGACGCTGCCCATGTATCCGCCTACTTTGCGGCAGATGCTGCATGCACACAGCTGGTATGGGACAGGCGTGTTGGAGTCAAGGGAGAACTCGACGCCGCCGCATTGGCAGCTTCCTTCAAGTTTCCTTCATCGATGCTCATGGTTAGTATGTATCTTTGTATCCTTGTATTGTTGATAGGAGTGCTTCTGTACGAACATTGGCATCTTGGTTAGTCTGTGGGTAGAAGTAGATGTGTGCTGCTGGTATCTTGTTAGTGTCGAGTAGAGTAGACTGTTGACTGAGCGAGCGGGAGAGCAGTGACTCTTTATATGCCTGTTCAAGCACCTCAAGGACAAGGATACAGTCATCTACGGCTATATTTCTTCTCCACGTTAACCATGCCCGTCTCTTCTTCTCCGTCCATCCCATCCCATCCTCGCCTCATGTTTGCTTCAGACGTCATTTTGCATAGTTTGGCCTGTTTGCATCGATGGCCAGCTTTGCGCTGTTTGCACAGTTTGCATCTGTCTTTCTTCCCGTTGAGAAGAAGAAGCGAAAGCGAAGTCAAAGCCATCCCAGCGAAACGGCCAGACGAAGGAAGACGTTAGGATCTTTGGATCTGACAGCTGAGCAGTAAGAGAAGTCTCAAGATGAGTTTCGGAAGTCCCGGCGGCCGCGCAGTTAACATCAAGCCTACTCCGTGCGTCACCCAATTCTGACCTGACCGTTTGATTCTAACTGCAATTCGACTAACTGATGCCGATGGCTCAAACAGACCGGAGCGAGGCAGCTTCCCACTCGACCACGACGGTAGATCTCCTTACTCCATATAATGATTGGCATTGCATTGATTACGGGGCTGTTACTGACCGCGGCACAGGAGAATGCAAGTCGATAATAGCAGGGTACTTGCAATGTCTGAAGTCAGCGCGCGGCGTCAACGACGAAGCCTGTCGAAAGCTCGCAAAGAGCTATCTAAGCTGCCGAATGGAGAAGTGTGTATCTACCTACTACACTTTCTAGATAGACATAGACGTTGATCGTGGTGTTGGTGGACTGACGAGGACAGGAACCTGATGGCGCCGGACGAATTCAAGAATCTCGGGCTAGTATTTGACGACGACAAGCCGGGAGAGACCACGACGAGCAACGCGCAGACAGACCCGGACAAACCGCCGTTGAGCAGTAAGAAGTGAAGTGATTGGTGAAAGGGGGGGAGAGGAGGAGAACTGGCGAGAACAGCCATTGGTTAGGCGTTGGATGTGATACGACTGCATATGTATTAACTAGTTAACTAAGGCATGCACTGCATTGCGGCTGATGCATCAGCTAGTTGTCTAGCTACTGCCAGCTAGCACAGCTACGACGACGGCGTTTGGATGTACAATACTGTATATATATAAGAGACTCCCACTTCAATCGTCCAGAGTGTACGGAATAAACGTTTATTGAGGCCAAGCTCGAGCTCAACCTTAGTCTGTTTAGTGAAGTTAATATACCCCGGATAAGAAGCTAGTTAATAGGTAGCCATGCGGTACCGGCGACGAGTGTACATCCCACCGACCACCATCAGCATCGCCGACTCGATGTCGTCCGTCATCCGGCCGCCAGACCCATGCCTGATCGCGATTGCGCTGGTGGTTCGATCTCGCGCCGGCCCGCGGTTCGTCTACCACTATCCTCCCAACCCGACGCTCGCCGAGTCCCCCTCGACCGCGCCGAACAAGTACGACGGACAGCAGCAGCCCAGGGACGAGCAGGAGCACGAGCAGGCTGATCCGGACCAGGAGGTCAAGGGGACTGATTCGGGGGCGTCGGTGGACGAGGACGGGGTGACGTCGGAGGAGGAGTCGAGTGTTGTTGATCGAGGGGAGAGGGAGCGGGAGCGGGAGAGAGACCGCCGCTCACCGAGTCGGCAGCACTCGCAGTCCCACTCCCAGTCACAATCACAGTTGCAGTTACAGTCGCATGTGAGGAAGAAAGTAGCTATACAGGGCCAGGGAGCTCCGGGCGAAGAGGGGGCGGAAGACAAGAAAGGCGAAGGAAGCAGTTTGCAAGCGGACTCGTTCCTGGGGCTGGGCTACGGGGTGTGGGAGAAGTTGCTTTCGCCGTCGCCTGCGTGGCACAAGCGGCGGTTTGAAGTTGGCGTGAACGACCTGACGTTTGTGGGCTGGCCGGTGTTTGTGCGCAAGGACGGGACATGGCGGAAGCGCAGGAAGAAGCGGAAGAGCGAGAAGAGGCGAGAGGAAGACGAGAAAGAGAGGGAGAAGGAGAGGGTGAAGAAGAGCGCTGGCGTGTCTGGTCTTGGAGCCGGGCTGGTAGGAGATGGACATATACCCCTGACAGACACCGATGATGGCGAGGATGGAGGTGATGAACGGGAAGAGCGTGGAGAAGATGAAGATGGAGATGGAGAGGAGGACTGCTCTGATGAAGAACAGCTTACGATCAAGGACGGGATGACGATGTTCAATGTGGTGTTTGTGCTGAACCCGCCGGCGCTGGAGTACAATGTGCGGGTGCGCGAGATGTACGACAATGTGGTGAAGAAGTTCGGCAAGGCGCTGAAGAGCGAGCAGGCGCGGGCAAATTACGTCTGGAAAGAAGCCCAGAACATCCTGCGCATCAAGGAGAAGTGTCGTGAAGAGAGTACGTCTTCTACTCTATACATCTACTCTATATAAGATTGTTCAATGCTGATAGATGGTGATAGGAACCTCGTTGTCCGGGCTGTATACAACGCTGTCTGCCAAATCCAGTCTGGCCCAGGCCCTCGAGACACTGTATACCAACATCAGCGCCTCCAAGATCGCATCCGTCAGCCTGGGCCCGCAGACCAGCATGTCGATGCAGATACCGCCCATGACATCGACGCCGCATCTCCCTTCGCCCAACGAACCAGGCTACCCGGGTCTCTGGCTGACAACCGCCGACAGCGTCTCCTCGACCGACGAGACAGCCCACATGACCAACCCAGGCCAGTCGCAGGTGATGCTAGCCAAACACTTTGCCCTCTTGCTTCTCAGCGACGAGACAAGCATACTCAAGGACATCGAGGCGTCCAAGAGCACCATCGGTCCTCCGCTAGCCCACTACATCCGCTCCAGCAAGCCTACCAAGTCCTTTGCCCAGATCTCGGCCCGCTCGCACATCCCGCTGGCCGACATCCAGATTCTGGCCAGCCATCTGGTGTACTGGCGGCGAGCCCGAGCTATACCACCGCTGAACAAGAAGGATGTATACATTGTCTCGCCGAACGCGGACATGAGCAAGCTGGGCGTGGCGAGCGCGGCGTACGAGGGCATGTTTCCTACCCTGCCGAGCCTGCCGAAGATGCTGTCTGCTCTGAGCGCGGGCAGTCCCAGGCCGTATTTCAGCTATATTCCGAGCAAGGACCACAAGGAGGCGTATTATGATATCCTGGCGTGGTTGGTGAGAGGCGGGTGGGTGACGCAGCTGAGGACGTTTGGGTGGGTGAAGGTGAGTCCGGAGGTGAAGATGGCTGTCCAGAACCAGCCTGTCAATGGACATCGAGAGCATCAAGAGGAAGATGAAGAAGAAGATGATGATGAAGGAGAAGCTGGTCTAGCTACCCCTGTTCCTGTTCCTGTGCCTGTGTCTAGGTCTACGGCTAAAAGGTCGGTATCAACTTCTACGGCCTCTCTGATCCTGCGGCCTCACCGGGCCTCACCCCTCGAGTCCCGCTGGCTCGACCACATCCACAAATCGTTCCCTCTAGCAGCTGAAGAAGAGGAAGATGATGAAGAAGGAGAGAGAGAAGAAGGAGAAGAAGAGGAAGATGTGTATGCAGCCCTGCGACGCCACTGGCCGATGCTGACCCGCTACTTTACGGGTCTGGATGCCCTGCAGAAGATCAGTGTGCGAGAAGGGCTGCCGCATCGACTGGTCTGGAGGATGCTGAACCTGCTAGATGTGAACTCGGGTGTCCTTGGAGGCGGTGGTGGTGGTGTCGCTGCAGGAGAGGCCGACGGGGTGTGGGATGAGCGGGAAAAAGTGCTTGTTACTGTCCGGCATTGGTAACACTACTGATTAACTAACTTACTGGACCATGGCTGTGATGTAACTATGTTAGCATGTATGATACCAATGATGTCTGAGTCTGTGTCTCGTATTCCTGTGGTTTGATATCAAAGTGACCTCAGTAGCCATGGATTAATTAACTATTATTAACTACTAAGTCTCTCTTGTGTCTTGTCTTGTCTTGCTGTCATCCACTTCCAGGTTTAGCCGTGGTCACGTGGAGGAGAAGCGAGACAGAGAAGAAGAGAAGACAGAGAGTAGACAGACAGACAGTGGACAGGAAAAGATAGTAAAAGATAGTAAAGAGAAGACAGTCAGTGGTAGTCTAGTGGTGGCATTGGTGGGAGAAGAAGAGAGAGAGAGAGCAAGAGTAAGAGTAAGTAGATAGAGAGACTCTCTTGCTGCCTGCTGGCTCTCGGCCTCGGTAGGAGAAGAAGAGAAGAAGTCAAGCAGAGAGACAGAAAGTAGAGAGAGAGAGAGACAGTAGAGAAAGACAGTAGAGACAGTAGACATCCTCGACTTCATCTTCTCTTCTTCTTCTTCATCTCTTCTTCTTCGTCTTCTTCATCTCGATTATCATCATCTTCTTCTTCTCTTCTGCCAGCCGAAAAAGCCGGCCAGGTCTTTTGCCCTAGCTTTAGCTCATCCAGACTCCTCCCTCGCCTTACACTAACTAAACCACTTACTCTAGCTATCTCTTCTCTCTTCATCTTCTTCTGTCTTCTTCTCTTTACTGTCTAAAGTCCTCTGTCAGTCTATCAGTCTAAAGTCCTCCCTCGGCCATCTTCCTCTTCATCCTTGTCTCTCACGTGGGTAAGTTCTTCTTCTTCTTCTTCTTCTTGCTGTCTGTCTTGTCTATCTCTTGGTCTCCTCCGCACTAAAACTTCTTCAGCTTTTTTTTTTTTTTTTTCCTTTTTTTTTCCCCTTTTCGTAACTTACTTTCTTCTCTCTCTCTCTCTCTTTCCTTTCTTCCTTTCTTCCCTTTTCTTCCTTCTCGCACTTTTTCCCTTCCAAACCGCCGCACAACCCAAAACCAACAACCCTCCTCCCCCCCAGCACCTATTTCGCCCATCTTTCAACTCCCCCCTCGACAGGCGTCAAGGCTGCCTCTCGCCGTCCTCTGCGTCCTGTTGCTGCTCTCGCCTGGCTTGCGTCCTGCCTGAGCTCGCCGTCAGTGGGCAATTGGCCTCGCGAAGGTACTTGTCTTGTCTTCTTGTCTTCTTGTCTTTTTTTTTTTTTTTTTTTTTTTTTCCTTTTCCTTTTCTCCCTCGTTTCTTGCCTGCTCTTCTGGTGACCTGGCCTGGATGAGGGGTTGAAGGAGGACTTACAAGAGAAGATATAACAAGAGACAGAAGAAAGAGAAAGAGATATAAGAAGAGAGAGACTGACTTGAACAGGCGTTGCCGCTGCAGTCGTTCTTTTCCTTGCCCGTGTCGATCTCGCTGGTCCTCGTCCTCGTCCTCTACCTACCTCTCTCTTCCATCTCCCTCTCTCTCGCAAGACAGACGGACGGACGACGACAACACCGACGCCCTCCTCGTCCTACTTTACTCCTTAAACAACAGACGACCAGGAGAAGAATCTGCTGCCTATCTGTCTGTCTGCTGAAAAAAGGCCTAAGAAAGAAAAAGGTACCTCCCCTTCGACCTGGGTGCGACTCTCTCTGCCTTTTCACTGCCGGCAGGACGACACACAAATACACAGAAATACTTCTACTTCTACTTGATGAACGACTCTTTCTGATTCTCTTCTAGCCAGGTTAAAGGCGGGGACTGACTCTGCTTGGTGGTGGTTGACTCCGACCTCCTCTTGTTGCCGTTAGTGGCAGACCTCCTCCCTCGGACCACCGTCTTGTCCTTCTTCCACGACAAGCATAAAAAAACAAAATAATATTACTGATGGCAGCCTCTTCGGTCTCTGCCAAAAAGTCCACTCCAGAGATGCCTGTCTTTTCATACGCCCAGGCCGCAAAGGGCCTCGCCTCTGACTCCAACAAGCAGACTCCCGCGCCTCCCAGCGTGGAAGAAACTACTGCTACTACCACTGCTACCACGAGCACTGCTGTGGTAGATGGAGATGATGCTGGAAAGGCGGTTTCGGCATCTCCCTCGCTAGGACTGTCTGCTTCGACGGCCTCGACCCTGGTCAAGGAAGACGACCTCTCCACCACCACACCCAACGGCACCACTACCGCCACCGCCTCAGAGTCAGAGTGGGAGAAGCAGTCCCAGGCTTCCACCGCTGCTGACAACAAGGACAAGTCGGCTGGCTCGGCCTCGTCAACGGCTCCCCTGGCAGACGACGACAAGCCCAAGTCAGAGGCCAGCTGGGAGAACACCACCACCACCACTAATACTACTCAAAAGGAGCAGCAAAAGGAGCAGAAAGAACAGAAAGAGCTCAAGGCTGCTCCACCGCCGGCAGTCAACGTCTGGCAGCAACGACAGGAGGCCCTGGAGGCCAAGGCAAAGGCCAACGCCCTGAAACCTGCTGCCACTACGACGGCCACCACCAGCACCAGCACCACCACTACTACTCCTACTACCAACACTACCACTACCAAGTCTACGTCTACTCAGACCTCGTCCGGCGATGTCAGGCCTGAACACTACAAGGGCGGTAGCAGGAAGAAGGCTGATCCCGCAACCTCAGATCCCCGTGACAAAAAGAAAGCTTCCGACGGTATGTCTCAACCTCCATATTTTATCACTACTTACATGCACCCTTACTAAACGAATATTATAGGATCGAGGAAAAGTGCTCGGCCGGCTAGACAGGACGCTGAATCCCTCCCACCAGTCAACGACGCCTCCTCCTGGCCCACTCCACAGACTGCCCAGGGTGAAGACCTGCGCAAGGCCCAGGACCAAGCTGACAAGCCTGAACGGCCCGAGAAGGAGAAGCCCGCTGGCTCTAGAACCCACGGCAAGGAGAAGTGGATGCCCGTGCCATATGTTCCCACGGCCGTCTTCAACACTCCCTTGCCACCTGCCGCCAGGAGAGGTGGCCGGAGTGGTGGTCCCAGAGGCGGTGCGCGTGAAGGTGGCTCCAGAGGTGGTGCCCATGCCGGTGGTGATAGAGGAGCTGCCACCACTACTACATCCTCATCGTCCAAGCCTTCCTCTGCCGGAGATCGTGAGAAAGGGGATGCCGCAGAGTCTGCTCAGAAGTCTACCACTGCCGCTGATGCGAGCCTGAAAAACGGTGATGCTGCTGGCCCCGTTGAGGCGACCAAGGATAACAAGTCAGTCCAGAACAGCGTCAACACCGCTGCTTCTGCCACTGCTACTTCCTCCGATCCCACCTCGTCTTCTCAGTCCCCTACTCGTCCTCACCACACCAAATCCTACCACAAGTCCCACGAGAACAGCTCCTCCTCGTACAAGAACACCCATGCAGACCACCAGCACGCCTCCAGACAGGCCAATTCCGACTCTCATGCCGGCGGCCACTCCAGATACGCCAACCATGACAGGCGGTTCGACATGGGGGCTCGCTCCGGTGAGTTCTTCAAGGACTACCAGCCCAGAGGAGACAAGGACTTCTCCAAGGACCGCGAGTACTCCCGAGAATACACGCGTGAATCCCGCTCAGAGCGAGGAGGCCGTGGTGGCTACCGCGGCGGTCGAGGCGGCCACTCCAACTACAACAACAACAACAACACTAACAACACTAACAACAATACTACGGCCTACACCACCCAAACTTCCTCGGCTTCTGCTTCTTCATCCTACCACTCCGCTCCAATCCCACAACACCCGTTCCCTTCTTCCAAATCATACAACAACTTTTCCGACCGCCACCGCATCCAGCCCTCTGCCAATGGCACCCAGCAACAACAACAGCAACAACAACAGCAGCCACACTCCTCCACTGCTACTACAAACACCCGTATGAACATGCGGTCCCCCTCAATGCCTAACCCAGGCATCTTCCCAGCTCCTTACCCCATCCAGACAGACATGAACATCCTCTACCCTTACCCTCACGCCCTCCCCGCCGGCCCCATGACAGCCATGTCCTACCAGCCATACATGGAACACTACTCGCTCATGGGCACCATCTCCATGCAACTCGAATACTACTTCTCCGTCGACAACCTGTGCAAAGACCTCTTTTTGCGCCGCCACATGGACTCCCAGGGCTACGTCCTGCTCTCCGTCATCGCATCCTTCAAGCGCATCAAGTCGCTTACCGAGGACATGGAGCTTCTGCGCTTCGTATGCAGACAGCTGCGCAACGTCGAGTACCGGCCTGGCGAAGATGGCGTCGATCGGCTCAGGAAGCGCGAGGAGTGGGCTCAGTGGGTGCTCAGCATGGATGAGCGGGATCCCTCCGCCAGAAACGAGGGGCCTTCGTCCGCCACTGCTCAGGAGTATATTCCGCAGCAGCACCAACAACAGGTGCATATGAATGGACATGGACATGCTCACGCTCATGCTCATGTACACGGGAACGGAACATACGTTAATACAAACTATGTACCCGCAGACAACCATTCGGCGGAAGAGCCCAAGCGGCCCGCTAAACTCTCCTCCGCCGCACCAGAGTTCTCCCCTCTCTCCGCGAATGGTCATACCCCCTCGTTTGAGCAGGGCACTAGCACCCCCGTGGATGTCCAGGGTCAGGGCCAGGTCCAGCCCGCGGACGCCAGCAATTTCGTTGCAGTGGTACGCTGACTCCATTATTCGCTCCTCGCTTAATCTCTTTTCCTCCCTTTCTTTGTTAACTGACGCCAATGAAGCAGAACGTCGGGCAATAATTATAATCGCGCTGCGCAGTGCGCATATCCGTCATTTCATCCCATTTTCGTTTCATCAAAGAAACTAAAATAAAAATACAATCTATAAAAATATTACCAAATGATACCCCCACAACACCTCGACGCACACAGCATATCGTATGGTATGTGAGATAATCACGACCGAACAAGACATTTTCAGAACGAGAAAAAACAACAACATGAGCTCTACACTCACTCGCTTTTGGTTTATAAAATTGAATGATTAAGGCACGCGCCAACCAACCAGCCAACCAACCAGCCAGCCGAAAGAGACAAGCCTGCTTGCTGTCTTGTCCACAGATTGATATGAATGTACAATGAAGAAAAAAAAACAAAAAACGATTACTTTGATTGAATTGAAATTGACCAGCCTCGGAAACAGAGACCGCTGGCCCCAACCCGCTGAGACTTACCAATAAAAAAAAAGATATACCAAAATACTTCCTTTGTTGCGTTGTTCGATTTTTTCTACCTACCTTTGCACTTGTCTCTTCTCTCGGCTCGGTTCGGTTCTCGGCCTAGTCAGTCAGTCTGTCCGTCTGTCGGCCGGTCGGTCGGTCGGTCGGTCGGTCCAACGAAACTACTTAGGGCACTCTTGGGCCCACAGGAGAATAATGGGCAACGGCCAAACGGTCGGAGGCAAAAAAACGTTTTCGGGACGAATCGGATGACTTGAATGCGCTATGAAAATGACCTGACCTGACCTGATCCATGCATGATGTCCCTCCCGTCCGGATCCAACTGTCGGGTCTCTCCCCTTCGATCAAAAAACCAATCGACTAAAAACAATAACAACAACACTAAAAAAGCCATTGAGATACCTTACTGTTTTCTTCCGTCTTTTTCTTTCTCTTCTAGGGAGTCGTTTAAAACACTTTTTTTTCACCTTGCTTTGAGTGTCCTGATTTGATCTGATTTGATTTGAATGTCTCTTGTATATTTTTTTCTACTTTCTTTTTCTACTTACTTACGGCTGGACGGCCCCAGTTCGGATTCCATTTCATTTCAACTTCTTCGACGCCTGATCAACTTTTCCCCCATCCCGCCTGGCAAGATCAAGGCCAGACCAGACCAGGACAGGAACAGGACAGGCCAGATCCGCCCCCTTTTGAACTTGAACTTGAACTTTGACTTGACTTATTCCATGCGTGTTCAACTTGCTCGTCCTTTCTCACCATCTAAATCTGCATGCGGCGTTCAGGATCCTTTTACTTCGGTCTTAAATTCATGCTTGCTTTATTACTCTTTCTTCGAAAAATGCCCCGTTGCCATTTGTTGCCGTCAAAAACTGACTCAAAATCCAAAACAAAAAGCGACATCCGTCAACGAAACGACCATCTCCTTTTATCTCCCGTTTTTTTACTCTCTAGAATTATCACTTCATATTGCCCATTCTTCTTCTTACTTCTGCGCCTTTTTTTTTAATGCAAGAGTTTCCGTTCTACCATATGATATGTAAGTAAGGACTTTTCTTCCGCCCTACTTACTCCTCTTCTCTTCTTCTCTTCTTCTCTGCTCGCTGTACGCTCTCGTCCATGTCTAGATTACCTACCTACCTACCACCATCCATCCTTCCGCTCTACTGTTGCTTCTTAGATAGCCAGCTCAGCCCAGCTTAGCCCACGCCAGCCAGCCAGCAGGCGGAACATGTAACACCACGCAATAAAAGTCCATACCACACACACAACCAGAGTATCTATATATCAATCAGTCAGTAACGAAGAGAGAGAGAGAGATAAAAAAAAAAAAGACAAAAAGTAGTAATGACTAGACTGGGGTTCGATCCCAGGACCTTATCGGCACCTTCAAGGCGGAGGAAAAGATCTTCCGTCCCTTTTGTGAGCGATACGTGATAACCAACTACACCATCCAGCCATGCGGTTGGTCAGAGACGGGCAGAGTGGCTGATAGAGGTGCACCCCTACCACTATAGCATTGATTTGGTAGATGTTGATTTTGATAGATGGATATTGGTAGAGTAGACGAGAGTGAGAGAGAGAGTGAGAGAGTGAGTGATACATGGTAGGCATGGCCAGCTCAGCCGAGTGTAATATGTAATGCAATGCGGTGCTAGGACACGATAACGGCACTTCCCCTCCCACAGCATAGACAGCACAGCAACAACACGACTAACCAGCCCATGCATCTCTCTGCCCAGTGAAGCACAAGGCTGCTCGCTTGCTAGCTGGCAGGCTGGCTGTGACTCATCGCCGCATCATATCATACGTATGCTATGCTATGATACACCCTTGTCCATGTAACTAGCGGCGGAGCTGAAGCCGGAGATTGGAGCTGCCCACGTCGAGCTCCCCCTCCCAGGCACAGCATCGAGCCAGCCGGCCAGCATGCAGCGTGCAACACACGACGCACGCAGTGTTCGACTCATGGCCCGGTTAACTAGCCAGCCAGCCATTGACATCCGAACCAGGCCAGGCCAGTCAACGCACCACGACCCACGGTAAAATGGCATCCAGCGTCCAGCATCCAGCGTAGTCTAACTCGTGCTCACCCACGCCGCTTCGTGTCTCTCTCACCAGCTGACTCCGGGCCAGACCCGCGCAGCGCATCCGTAACCAGCCCACGCAGCTCGCGCTGTCCCTCCTCGCTATGAAAGTTGCCGCGGGCCGCAAGCTCCTCTATGCGCGCCCGCAGCGCCGCATCAACCACCACCCCATCCCCCTCCCCTTCTCCATTACCCTCATTTACTTCCGTCGTGCCAAACGACACCTTCACGTTCGGCGGCAGCTCCCCCTTCGCTTCACCCAGTATATCGTTCAAGTACGCTGCGACAAGCGGGAACGAGCCGTCGTTGGTAATTGCCTGGGCGGCCGTGAGGCCCTCGTCGTTCGTCTTGGACTTGTCAATGCCCGCCTCCTCGACCAGATAGCGGGCTACCTCGACCGACTCCGCGACGAACAGGCATGTCTCGCCGTCTTCGTCGGTCAGGTTGACGTCGACTTTGAATTCGTTGATCAGGGTGCGCAGGAGGTCGAGATGGTTGTAGGATGCGGCGGCGTGCAGGAGGGAGTAGCCGTGTTCGTCCTGGCGGGCGGCGAGGGCGGGATCGGCGCGCAGCAAGGGCAGGAGGGCCGGCGAGTTGTCTGATGCGAGGATGTACGGGTTGGCCATGGTGATGGTGGACGTTGACTCGATGGGTGAGTCAAGCTGATGACTCTTGTGGCGCTGGACTAGCGTAGCGTTGGTTGTTGCGGTGGTGGTTGTGGTTGTAGTTTGTTCATAGTGGAGTCGAGTCTTGAGAGCATCAAAAAATTATATCGGAGGATTTACTTTACTCTGACTCAAGTAAACACAAACACACGAGCAACTACACTGCCCAACCGCCCTATTTAATGCGCATCCTGGGCTCCTGCAGGTCTCTATGGCAAAGGAAGAGTAGCTACAGAGCTTTTATCCTGCCCACTGCCTTTCCGCCTGCTCCTAGTCGTCCGTTTTCCGGCGTGCCACTCCCTCCGCCCGCTGCCATGGCGCATCAAGACGCCCACGAAGTCCTCCAGCTCGTGCAGAGACTCGAGGCAGCGCAGAAGAAACAAGTCAAGCGCGCGTTCACCTGCAAGAAGTCGACCTTTGAAGTCGCGGGTTCAGACATCACCGTGGATTCGTGGCGGTTCCAGGACTGGGACTACAAGAACCGCGGCCTGCCTACCTATGCGCGAGGCCTCTTCACCACCACCAACCGGGCCGGAAAGCCAGAGATCGCAGTCAGGGGCTACGACAAGTTCTTTAACATCGAGGAAGTCAACCTGACGCGGTGGAGGAATATCGAGGTTAATACCCGCGGACCCTACGAGCTGAGCGTCAAGGAGAATGGCTGCATTATCTTCATATCCGGCCTGGAGGACGGCTCGCTGCTGGTCTGCAGCAAGCATTCGACCGGCTCGCGGCAGGATATGGAGATGAGCCATGCTGAAGTCGGCCGGGCCTGGGTCAGGAAGCATGTCGAGTCCGTGGGCAAGACGGAGAAGGACCTCGCTAGAGAACTACGCAGCATGAATGCCACTGCTGTAGGAGAGCTGTGTGACGACAGCTTCGAAGAGCATGTCCTGGCCTACTCGGAGGAAGAATCGGGTATCTACCTGCACGGCATCAACTATAACCTGCCTGAATTTGCTACCGTCCGGAGCCCAGACGTGCACCGCTTTGCAGACGCTTGGGGGTTCAAAAAGGCCCAGTTCCTCGTCAAAGACGACATTGAATCTGTCCGGACATTCCTGGAAGGATGTGCGGAGACCGGCTCCTGGGACGGTAGAGACACGGAGGGCTTCGTGATCCGCTGCCAGATGCGCGAGTCCAGCTCCCTGCCGTACCATGACTGGTTCTTCAAATACAAGTTTGAAGAACCCTACCTGATGTACCGTCAATGGCGAGAGGCTACCAAGAAGCTGATCTCAGGCAAACTGCCCACTTTCAAGAAACACGTCAAGATCACAGAGGAGTATCTAAAGTATGCTAGAAAGCAGCTTGCAAAGGACCCAAAGCTAGCTAAGCTATACAACCAGAACCACGGCATCATCGCCATGCGGGATGGCTTCCTCAAGGAGCGAGGCCTCAAGGGCTCGGAGATCATCGCCATGGAGGCAGCTGAGGGTGGCGAGCTCGAGGCTGCCCAGGACAACAAGGACTTTGTGCTTGTCCCCGTTGCCTCCATCGGCTGCGGCAAGACCACCTTGGCCGTTGCTCTCGTCAAGCTATTTGGCTGGGGCCATTTCCAAAACGACAATGTCGAAGGCAAAGGGAACAGACCAAAACGGTTCGTTCAAGGCTTGGTCAACGAGCTGATGAACCACAGCTGCGTGATAGCGGACCGGAACAACCACCAGAGGCGTGAGAGGGAGCAGATCTTCACGGACATGCAGACTCTCGTGCCCAACGCCCACTTCATTGCGCTTCACTGGGTGCATGAGCCCAAGGGTGCATTGCTAGATGATATCCGACGGGTCACGCAGCAGCGAGTCCTCGACCGTGGAGATAACCACCAGACCATCCGCGCCGGAAGCAAGAGTGAAAGCGAGATATTGCAGATCATGGAAGGCTTTCTGCGTCGATTCGAAGGGGTTGATACTTCTCGCCAGCCAGACAGACATTTCGAGGGAGTCATTGATCTAGACGTTGCCGCTTCCTCGAGGGAGAATCTAGAGACTATTGTAGACTACTTTTACGCCAATTATCCCAAGCTCATGAAACGGGATAAACCAGACGCCGCGGAGCTTGATGCAGCCATAAAAGAGGCCATGGAGGGCTATACAGTTGATATCAAACATGATCTCAACTTCAAGTCCAAAAACCAGCCTCAGAAGCAGCAGCAGCAGCAGCAGCAACAGCAACAACAACAAAATCAGAAAAATCAAAAACCCCAAACACTCGACCAGCTGGTCAAGAAAATCGAATACTTCAACATTTCCGTCCCCTCTGCCCCCATCCACTCAATCCTCTCCTCCGTCTTCGACGCATCCTCATCACCAGACTACGCACATCTATACCGTCTCCTCACCAACTCCCGACGCATCCAGCCCTCATTCCACGTAACACTCATCCATCGCGGTTCCAGCTCCGACCACCCCCAGATATGGCACACCTACACAGACCTGTACAAGGCAGCAGTTGCCCAAGAACAACAGCAGCAGACCTCGTCGTCATCCGCTGCCTCGTTTCCAGGCTCAGCCACCGTTACAGGAACACCCACGCCAAGCCTAGGAACGGCTTCCGTCCGCCTCGAAACTCTCGTCTGGGATAAGCGTATCATGGCTATTGTTGCACGTATCTTGTCTGGCCCACCGTCCTTGGACACAACCACGGGGGTGGCGGCGGCGGCCTTGCCAATCTCAGGGGAGGCGTACGGAGATAGGCGAGAGGAAGAAGAAAGGCAAGGGGAAAGAGAGTTACCACCAACGTGGCCTTGTGCGAACGAGATTGCCCACGTTACGATCGGGACGGCAAATGCGAGCGTCAAGCCGAAGGAGAGTAACGATTTGTTGAAGCGATGGCTTACGATGGGCGCGGGAGAAGAAAGTGGGATCTGGGAGGCGAAGATTCCTTCTGTTAAGGTTGTGGAGGGCTTCGTGGGGGTTGTGATGCGTAGGTAGATTGATGTATCTGTTTTGAATACTCGGGAGTATAACTATGTTGATGTTGTACTTGTACAGACGACGGAGTATGTTGAACTCGGCTACTGGGCGCACGCGAGAGAAAAAAGGGGGCATAAGTAAGGTACATGAAAGTTTGAGATAAAAACGGTAAATGAAATGAAAATACACGCTTGAGTGACCAGCACGCTTATATTAATCACTACACAGAGCATAACATAACGTACATAGCTATTATCAGAAGTTGGCTTAAAAGAGCAGGGGGGGTATATATAGAAATGACGTACGTAAAGCAAAGCAAATAAAGGAAGCAAAGGGGGAAAGCATATTAATCGCTCATCCAGGCTGCAACTCTGCCTGTGCCGACACGAGCAACCATTCTCAATCCAGTATTGCCCATGGGGAAATAGCTTACGAGGTACCAGATGAGGGCCACGAGTTGGCAAACAGATGATATGAGCGTTAGAATAGTTGAGTGCAGCTATAGACGAGGACCCAGTTAGTGACGTTATCCGTTATACCTTGTTGCCGGGCGGAAAGATTATGTGGAACAAGAGTCGGATGTAGTGGACTGCGGAATAAGGGGAGAGGGTGTGCAAAGAGTAAACACAGATCTGAAGAGTGATGTCATCTTGTCTTCATGCGCAGGACAGGGTAGCTCGAAGAGGGTGATGGTATAGCTCAGGGGAGGCACGGCTTAGCAAGGGCATCCGACGGGATGAAGAAAATGTGATATAGGGGGGTGTGCGAGCGTGGGTGCGTTCAAGGCTGCGGAAAGGCGGATGAAGTTGCAAGAGGCACAAGGAGAGCAAGGAGCAAGGAACAGGGAACAGGGATGTTTCTGTATCTTGGTTCTTTTTTGTTTGGTACTTACACCGACGGCAAAATAGAGAGTCAGGGCGATGGAGGTAAAGTACGCGGCGGTGAATGGGAGCCGGGGACCTGATGTTAGATGTCTCGCGTACGGTACTGGGCCCATGAGAACAGCCCAGGAGGCGAGGAAGAGAGCAGAGCCAGACGACCATCTAGTAGATGCACGCGCGCGCACACGGACGAATATTAGTGATGTCCGTGACATGGAGTTGAAGATGGAAATAGCAACATCAGAGTGAGGTAAGGTACTAGCGTTGCAACAGTATTGGGTAGCAGAGGGTATCTCGAGATGCAAAAGAAAATACAAGGCAAGGGAGGGTGGGCGTGGCTTTGGATAGCAGTTAAGTTGAGAATAAAGGGTCATGCAGAGCTCCCGTCCGCTGCCTGCGAGCCTTGCCTTGTGATCTTCACAGGCAGAGAACAAGAAGGAGCAAAGTTGACCAACAATGGAGTCTATGCAAAGAGGGATGGCAGAAGTAAAAATGAAAAAAAGGTAGAAGGTAAAAAAAAGGCAGAAGCGTAAGCCAGAAGTGAAAAAAAATGCAGAGCAAAAGCTTACAAGATAGCAAACTTGCGCGGCTTCAGCATCAGCGGCATGATGAGGATGAAGCATATGGCAAAGCATACGAGAGCTCCGACGTTACAAGCCGCGAAGATCAGCATTCGGTCCCAGCGGGATACTAGAGGATAGGATCCATGGTTAGTGCCTGTCTCTTAGGGTACCAGAGGTGCGGTGCGGTGCGGTTCGAGGGCGGACATGATAGCTTTTGGCTGAATGAACGAAGGAATAGCGTTAAGGGTAGAGCGAACGAGCGAGATGGACCAAGCACAGCCCGACGTTCAAGCGAGGATGGAAATAAAAAGCAAAGACGAGAAAGCAAAGATGGGGAAAAAAAGAAAAGAGGAAAAGGGTGGAGAGAGAGAACGGCATGTGAAAGGGTAAAATAGCAGGCCAGGATATCACAAGACGGGGTTTTCTCGTTTTGGGGAAGTAAGTATAAACAAGATGTAGAAATGGTGTGGGTGAGTGCGAGTATGAATGCGAATGCGATAGGAACAGATGAGAGAGATGAGAAAGGGAGAGATGGGCAGTGTGTGAGTGGGCGGTCGGCACTCACGAGCAAACCAGGCTTCCTCCTCCTCCCTCCTGGACGGCGCAGGCAAAGGCGCCGACGAGGCAGCGTTATCCGGTGAGAGCTGAACGTATCCACCGCGCCCACTGCCGAGCGGGTTCCATGACTGTATCTTAGAGAAGAAGGGGGTGCTGGTGTTTGACTGTGCGGGTGCAGAAGTCTCACCACGCCTCGACCAGCCAAGCGAGTTTAACGAGTCGTGAAAGGAGGCTGAAGCCATGAGTGGTAGGAGAATATATTATATTTAGAGATAAACCCCCGTATCCGCGGCGAATATGGCTATTTGTTGTCTCTTTCGTCGAATAGCGTGGGGCAAGGTGAATTATGTTGTTCTTTATTCTAGAAGCCGGACAGTTCCAGCGAGGACAGGCAGCCGTATAACAGAAAGGCGAAAGGATAAACCGGATCCGGACGGGGACTAATCGAAGCGGTGCAACGCGGATCGCTGCAGCGGGAGTGAAAAGCAAGAATGCAGTAGTTCCCTTGCTGCACGGGTATGCAGTATGGATGCAGTGCTGCAGTCCTTGCAGTTCTTTTCCCCAGACTTGTCCGTCTTGTTTCGTCCTGTTCGTCCTGTTCGTCCTGTTTTGGCTCTTCTATTCCCTGTATTTTTTTCTTTTTTGCTTGACTCTTTCTGCCCGGATGCGTATGGATATCGAATCAGATGACGTGTGGCACAAGCAGCGATCTGCCAAAATCCCAGGGAGAAGCAAAGAGGGTGGGAAGGGCCCGATAGGTTTAAGCTGGATGCTGGCAGAGAGGCCTTCTGTTGGCTGTAACTGGTGGTAGTTTGTTTTTGAGAGATCGGGTCTCGAGATGCGAGCAGGCTCTGGGAGTAGACTGAAGCTGGCCGTGAAGGTTAGTTTTAGCGCGAGTCATGGAGCAGATACAAGCAGCAGAGGATGAACAGGCAGACGGAGCGAGCGTGAGACGGTGGATGATGAGAGGTCAGATGACGGGGCCGAACCTAGTAGATGGAGCAGGGTGAGTCGAGCAGTCGTCGACGGCCGATTAGACAGGCAGCCAGAATGTAGAATATGGCGCAGACGGTCGGTAGGCAGCAGGAATCGCCGGATATCAGCGTGGACGCGAAAGACGAAGCTGACGATGAAGCTGAAGCCGCGCAAAACGATCGAAAAGCAGGAGGTGAGGTTGATGCTGAGTCAGCATGATGATTAGATAAGGCAGTAGATAAGATGGCTTGGAGGAATAACACCAGCAGGCGGGCGTATCAAGGCGCAGGCAAAGGGGGAGATACAAGCGAGTACCACAGCAGGAGAAAAGCAAAGGGGAAAATACGTCTAGCGACAGCAGGATACGCGGTACAGACAAACCAGAGGCAACGAGAGACTTAGATAGACAGCTAGGGTTCGGCTTACCCGACGCCCGCGTGGGAACCATGGCTCGAAAGCTTCACTGTCGAGTAATCAGCAGCCGGGCGCCGCCTTTCAATAGTCAGATCAACTGTGGTAACTCTCATATAGCTAACTAGCTGCTGGTCTGTCTATCGGCAAACGATGATAGACACCAGCATCAGCATCGAGAGAACCTTCACGGAAGCGGATCCGATATTCCTCGATCTTGCAGCCCTTCTCTCGGAATCCAGCCGACCAGCAGCCGCCCTCACAGCGAGCCTGTGGCTGATCCCATGCGACTGGCACGCTGAACACTCCCACCCATCTTCAACTCTCGCTCCAAGTGGCAAGGGTAACTTGGTTACTCTTGTCTCAACCTTATCCCGTCCCTTATGTACTTCTCTGTATACCTCGTAGGTTAGCATACTTGAGACCCTCGAACCTATCCGCAGCAGCAGAGGCAGCAGAAAGAAGAAGACCGATCGACTGGCTGCATGACCTCGTCCATCCCACCCCCTTCGTAGTGGTCCCTCCCTAACCCTCCACCCCCCCCATATCTGCATCACCAACCATCACGAATGAGAGCTGCAGCTGGCCGTCCATAAAGCCAGCCGTCCGGCCTCTCTCTCGTTCTGCATGTTTTCAACTGCCTGACTGCTTGACCCTGACTGCTTCGAACTTGTATATTCCTTTTGTGCCGGCAAAACCCAGGTAGCAGCGCAGCACTGGATTGCGATTGCGCCCTGGCCCTGATATCTGTTCTCGTTCTTCGCGAACCTGAACCCCGAACCCTCGAGGCTACCCGCGCCTACTCCGTTTCGCTAAGCAGGCCAATCCGCATATCGTCCTCCGCGGACTCATCGTATCAACTTGCTGCTTTCTCGCCCTTCTGGCTGTCTGGCTGTCGGATCAAGGCTCTGCGCGCCGTCTGTGTGACACCAACCACCTGAGTCTGCCTGGAGAAATACCAGAATCGTCAACTCTCGACAATCAGGAAACAGACGCCCGGCCGCCTCTTCTTATAAACCCGCGAACTCTTTCGGCTGTCTGCCTGCACCAGCGTCCTTCGACTTTTTTTTCTTTCTTTGACCGTCTTCAGCTTGTTCGACTTCGGCGACCTCGTCGACTTAGTTCTTTTTCTGCCGGCTTTAACCCTTTTCGGCTCCACCGCCTTCAGCGACCTTTTTCTCAACTTCGCAACTTCGACGTCGCGATAGAAACGACACAGACAGACGAGACGGCGAGACGACATAGACTGCGACGCCGGGGATACAGGATACAGCGGCTACACGGGAGGATACAGGAAGAAGAGAAGAAGAAGAAGAAGAAGAAGACGACGAGCGAGTAAGAGATAAAGAGCGGAAGAGAGGGTGTGAGGCTTGCGAGTGCAGATGCTGACCGCTACTAGATTCATGAACCTCCCTGGATCGCCAGACGCACCAGGAAGACATACAGCGATACCGCAGACTAGAGACATAGAGAGAGATACGGACCTTATCTGAACAGGCTGGAGACACACCTGCAGCGGGATAGACAAGGAATGGGCGATATCTCTGCTACGATGATCAAGAGCGAGCCTGACGAGCCCAACAACCCCCATCAGTTCATGATGTCGCCTTCTGCCTACGGGATCCCGACGCCGTCCTACGGCAACCAGTTTGGTGGCTCAGGCACAGGCACAGGCACAGGAGCCGGAGCCAACGGAAGCGAGGGAATCGATCCGTCAGAGCTCACCATGCAACAAAACGGCTTCGTCTCCCACCACCATCCGTTCGGCTCCCAAAATCTGTCCTCTAGTTTCACTCTCGGCAACGCTGGAATCGACACCGACGAGCTACTCGACCTCGAAATCAACGGCCAGAACCTCTCAAGAGACGATGGCCTCGACCAGCGCCAGCCTACCGCCATCTCCATGAGCCATCAGGGCCAGATGTCCCATATCTACTCCAGCACACCTGACGGTGCTCCCATACAGTCACCTTTCCTACGCTCTTCCTTCAACTACGACCAGTTCCGCCAGGTGCAGCATACACCACAAGCGACCTCGCCACACATGAACGCCATGAACGTCCACTTTGACCAAAACTACTCTGTCGCAGGTAAGGCTGCCCGCAACTCCTTTCAGGGTGACGCGAGAAGCCCCGTCACTCCCAAGACTCCCGGCATCGGCATCGGTGGGCTTAATATAAATACTCCAGACTCAGGCAGCTATTCCTCGCAGCCCATCCGTGCCGTTAGTCTACAATCTCAGCATCAGAAGAGCATGTCCGGGCAGTGGAACGGCACTCCCGGTAGCGCTCAATCACTTATGGAGTCCCCGATCTCTTCACCCGGTGGACACCACGCTTCCCACCATGCCAACATCCACGAGATGCTCAAGTCCGCTAAACATGCTTCCCTGCCGGCCAAAGTTGACTCCCTCCACGGTCACCACCACTCGTCTTCCTCCCAGTCACTCGAGTCCCAAGAAGCCAAGCGCCGTCGACGTCGTGCCTCACATAACATGGTCGAGCGCCGACGAAGAGACAACATCAACGAACGCATCCAGGATCTTTCTCATCTTGTACCTCAACACCGTCTCGAAGATGAAAAGATCCGCAAGCAGTTAGTCAACAACTCCGCTCTCTCCACTTCCTCAGGCGCCAACGCTTCCTCCCCTCCAAACCACAACCCTGCCACATCCCTGCTCGCCGGTCCCTCCGCCCGGCGCGCCACCGCAGGTAACATCACTATGGGCCTGCCCATCGAGGAGAAGGAGAAAGGCCCCAATAAGGGCGACATCCTCAACGGTGCCGTCGGCTGGACTCGTGACCTCATGTGGGCTCTACATCGCAAGCTCGAACAGGAGGACCAACTCGCGGAGTACATTGCCTCACTTGGTGGTCAGTGGCCCTTTGAGCAAACCGAAGAAGATCGCCGGATGAGAACAGAGGTTTTCGATGCCATGGAGGCAAACGACGGTGTCAACTTCTCTTATTCTCGTGGAGTCGGAAGCGGGCTCCGCGTCCCGAAACATACAACAATCTCAGGCGAATCGCTTCCTCAGTCAAACAGCCCCTCGCAAGACCAATCACAACCGCAAACTCAACCGCAAACCCAATCCCAGACCCAAACATCGGGCAACAGTCCCGGTTTCAACAGCTCTCAGTTCTGGAATAGCTCAGGACATATCGGCCTAAGCGTCAAGGAAGAAGACGAATATGCAATGGAAATATGAAAGAAGCCATATCTCCCTTTTTCCGTCTTGTCTTTACCCTTTTTGCTATCCAATTCAACTATCCATCTAAGGGTTAGGTCCACGTTTTGCATATATGGTCGGTGGCGTTTACTTGCTTCGTCTCTACAGCTCGAAAAGAGATGATTTGGTCAGTGGGTCAGGTTGGGCGACTCAGCATCGAGCGAAGGCTTAGCTTCCTGCTGCACTGTTATTTCGTTTATACATTTCGGGCTTTCTCCTTGCTGCGTATTTTTTCTTATTTTCTTGCTGCTGCTTCTGCTCACCTGCGTGCTAGTCTTCTTGTTAGCTTTCTCATGCATGGCATGGCATTGCATGGCATTACACTCCTAGTTGCCAACACACCCTTTCCTCTCCTTATACGCCCCTGCCAGCTCCTTTTTGCTATCTCTTTTCATATATCCCCGTATATCACACCATACACATACATCTACGAAGTCACGATTGATTGATTGATTGATTAATACTGATTTTGATATCCCACGACGCCTTGTCTGTCATTCCATTCGCCCCGAATTCCCATCTCACTCCCGGGTTCTTGTTCCCTTCCCCATCAGATCTATCTTATACATATAGCAGGGTACCCAGGTCCCCTTTCCTCATATCTCCTTATTTTGGTTTTCTCCATTTCAGGCGGTTGGTTGATGTCCCGCGTACATGCGCTACTTACTGCTTGATCTTTATTTTCTTCCCACTTTTCATGGCGGACGTTAGTTGCCTGATTGATTGATTGATTGATTGATGACTTTTCTGATACATTTCATGCATACCCCCTTTCCCCAGTCCCGATTGGTTCATGTCTCCTTTTGTCTATTTCCTTAAGCCATGCTGTCATGCCACCCTTACATGTCTTCTTTTCGTTTACTTAACCCCCTTTTTACTCTACCTTCCATTCGTAGTACAGTTTTTCTTTCTTTGCTTCTTCTTTTTCGATTAGCCTTGTTTTGTATTTATGTAGTTAATATTATCCCCTAATAACGATATGAACCGTACTTATTGATTTATTTTTACTGTTGTGTTTGAACGGGAAAGATAAGGAAGGGAAAGATATACATGTGTAATGAAATCTATTCCTCTAGTATGCCAATGTCTATGCGCCAAAGGTACGGAAGAAAAATAGTGGTATCATCAGGAAGCTGTCTGTCTGTCCATCAACTGGACGGAGAGCTCTAGCGGTGACGCATGCATATATACCAGTAACGGCATGCCTGAATAGCCAGAAATAATTATAATGTGTCTCCGTCCGGAGTATGCTCGCCTGGCGGCCAATGCCTCGTCTGTCATCTATATCCCGAGCCGGTATATAAATTCTTCAAAATAACAACCAACCCATCACTCCTTTCTCAAGGTGCGGAAGAAATCCGTCACGGCAGTAAACACAACGAGCAAGATACCGCCTCCGGGGCCCAGTCGAAGCACCTTGGGCAGGAATCCCTTATACAGAGCTCCGAAACCTTCTTCTCTCATCACGGTTCCCAACGCAGGCCACGCCCAGTTATACTTGGGTACAGAGCCGGCGATCTTGGGGCTGTTTTGAATTCGCGACTTAACCACGTCCATGGGGGTGTTGATGACTGTTCCGAGCGTTCCTCCAACAGTTCCGGCAATGATATCGTTTCTCATCTGCTGGCTCTGGTTGCCCTTTTCAACTGCAGGTAGCTGGGCCCTGATCTGGAAGATACTGCCAAAGTAACCCGCGTTCCAAAGGATATGGCGCCAAAGGGTAGCCTCAAGGCCATTGTACAACGCCAGAGGGCCTTCGTGCTTGACGATCTTGCGAACGACATCAATCATACCGTTATACTTGCCGGCGGACTCCTTGTCCTGCAGACGGATCTTGACGAGCTCAAAGGGGACGACGACAAAGGACTCTGTGGCTCCAGCAGTGGCTCCGGTAAGAATAGCCAGTGGCTGGTTAGCCTTTTCCATACCGAAGATCTTACGATAGAAGGCACCCCAGCTATCGTTTGCTGCGAACTTTGTTGCTCGCTTGGGTGCTTCCATCAGGATAGGGGCGTTAATGCCGCGGTACAGGCGGGAGAACCTGCTTTTGTTAGCTCAACTATCTCTGGCGCACAAGGCAGACAGCAGGCGTAAAGGACGCACCCCTCGTTCCGGACAATCTTGCTGAAGCAGTCAAACATGCCATTGTATCCCTCTGCGCCTTTGGCAGCACCGGTCTGAAGTTGGCTGGAGTAATTGTTAGCATATGGCTATGGCGTTAGCTTCCGAGGCCGGAGATGGCCTTACACTCGGGTCTTGACGACATCCAGCGGATACCTAGTCAACTATCAGTATGGGACCTGTCATGGCATCAGTATAGAGAGCGGCATAGGCGTACATGACGAGAATCTGTAGGTAATTGAGAGTTAGCCAGCCGCAGACCGAAAGAATGGCTTTAGAGGGGAATTGCCAACCTCAGAGACACCGGCAACCGCACCAGCGGCGAACTGGTAGGCGAACGGCAATGGGGCCTTATCCTGCGACATCTTGTCGGTCCTGAGTGTCTTGAAAGTATGCTGAAAGCGCTGGGAAGAAGGAGGAGTTGGTGATGTCGAAGTCGAAGTCGAAGTCGAAAGTTGAAATCACGAGAGCAACGAAAAAGCCGAAACGCAAAAGTCGGCGAGCAGGCCGAAGCTGACTAAGCAGCAAGGTTTTTGCGGCATTTTAAAAGGTTCGAACAAAAAAGACAAAGAAGGACAATAAGAAGTTGGCAAAAGATGCATAGAAGATTGAAGATTGACGATAAGACGAGAGATGGGAAAAGATGAAGTAGCAGGAAGTGGTGGGAGGAGTGGCAGGGTTATATACAGATAGTTGGGATTCGGACTGCATGGCCGCGCTTTGGTGTTGATAGTGGTTTAGTGACTAGATCTATGGACTCGAGCTGCATATGTATAGCATGGGATCGTACTCTATATAGCAGGGCGTAATAAGGACAGGAAGAGATGTGCTTGAAGATCGTGATGAACTCCAGAAAAAGAAATGAGAATAAGGAAGATGAGCAGAGCAGAAAATGTATGGAGTAGATGGCAATAGATGGAGACCCGATGTTGTACGTCTGGATCTATATCAGCGTCTACCAGGTAGTTATAGAAGGGTGAGGATAAGGGACATGGTCAAAAGTCCTCCGACATAACTACTACATGTTCCAATCTAGGTCATCCATCTTCCCCCTCTGTCTGCGATCAAGTTCACCTTCATCTTCTTTGCTTTTTATCATCTTTTTTCTTGCTTTCTTTTGCTCTTTGCTTCTTCGTCTCATGCATGTCGATAACTACGGCCCACGTGACCGTGCTTCTGTCGCGTCGCGTTTTCAGCGTCAAAAAGGAGAAAAACACTTAAAACCCGACAAATAACATTATGAAACGCAACGAGCGAGTTGAAGAAGACTCGAGAAAGACCGCAGAGATGAGATGAAGAGGACACCGGTATAAGACACAATGATGCATGACCCCTTTGTCTGCTCGAACTCCAGAGCGAAGCTAGACGCCTTCAGATACGCCCCAAAGCGGACGACCGAGATGGAGGACGACTTGCCAGAACAGCCGACTCAAGAGGCAGAGGAGACAGAAAAGACAGTACCAAAGCCAGGATTTGGGGAGACCAGGCCGATACCATGTCCAGAGACGCCAGTTCACAAAATACCGCTTGCAGACATGATAAGCAACACCGAAGACGCCCTCAAAAACGCGCCAGAGAAGGAGATCACGCCCGGAGACCATGTCTTCTGGGACCACGGCGGCTCCTTTTCACGATCAACTCCAAACAGCTCGAGTAGGAGGCGTAACCGGAGTTTGTCACCTAGCAGTTCGCCCTCTTATATCCCCGGGGATGGCTCCTTTACTACCGCGCTTACTTCGGACAAGCTGATGTTGACTACACCCCAACATGATGCCGCTGCAGACCTCTGGAACAGGTACGTGGGCAAAGTTGACCTGCCAGAGTGCAATGTACCTCCTTCCCCACATACTCCAGGCCTCAAGGGTAGCGCAAGAAAGGCGGCCAGTTTACGTAGAACAAACAGCTGTGCCATTGACTGGCCCAAATCAGCCACCAAAGGGAAACGGTCTGCGGACTGGCTAGGCTCAAACAGGCGGATTCGGCGGCCTCTTACCACCGAAGAAGGCGAGCAAGGTCCTTTTGGCAATTCAAGAATCAATATGCTTGTTGACAGGATACAGAAGTCCCTGTTGAAGAAGTCCGGTTCCAAAAAAGAGGATACTCCTGCTCCAGCCCCGCCCAGCTCTTCACCTTTGCCTGATAGAGCAGATGAGCAGCCGTCTAAACGCATGAGATTTACCATTGAATCTCCAACCAAACCTGCTCCCACGCGCAGAGGACATCCAGATACGCTTCCGCCACCAAACAAGGATCCATTGTCGTCTGACTATGGTTATGACGACCAGGACCAAGAGTTCTTTGAGCTCGCAGCTGCTTCAACGAATGAGGCTTTTCTAAATACGCAGAAATGCAAAAATACCCCTAACACATTACGACCTGATACCAATGCCAATTATGATACCTTCTCACAGCTCGCCAAAGATATGAGCGATGACTCCGATGATTTCGATAATGATGATTACGACGGCATGGATGAGATTATAGCAACATACACCAAGAATAACCCCATATCTGCACCCACTACTTCGAAAAATACCGCGACGACGAATACCACAACTACGGCTGCTGTTAAACCGCCCGTCACCCCGCAGAAAAGCCAGGTGAATAGGATTGTTCCTGAGGAAGAGTTTGAAAATATAATGGAATTAGATTCGTTCGATTCTGATCCTGGTGACAACGTTGGTCGTTCCCTGTATTCATAAATACATACTTACATATAGTTTGCATGCTTACTGTTTATCAAGCCCAGTCAAAATCCGCAGGCCATTAAGCGCTATCTTGTCATAGACTTAGCCGAAAATACATATACCAATAGCAAAGGCCGTATTCAGTGGGAGAAAGTACGTCTCTCGTTCGTTTTGTATAAAACATACCTAAAAGCACATGCTAACGTCCGTAGGTTCTGGTCGTCCGTGAGGACAAGAAGAAAAAAACTCGCGCCATCACGTTACGGGACTCATGGTTTGAATCGGCGGTCTCTAAGGACACCTATATTCACCTCATAGGCAACTTTGATCGCAATGGTCAATGCCTTGTCGACGACTCTTCTAATCACGCCATCATCCTGGATCCAGACCACCTCATCTCTGCCACTGTAGTAGCGGACTCCTTCACATGCCCTCGCCGTGCCGTTCTTCAGGACCGGGTCAAAGCCACCAATGATGCTAACAAGCCTCAGGTCTATGGCCATATCTTGCATGAAATCTTCCAAGAGGCCATGAAAGCAAATACTTGGAACCTACCCTGGTTGAAGAACCTTATCAATACCATTTTACCAAAGTATATTGAAAGTCTGTTTGACGTTAATCTCACTCTCAACGATGCAGCCAACTATCTTGAGTCCAAGATGCCTGCCCTCAGAGATTGGGCAAAGTCATATGTCCATCCTCGCCCAACGGTATGCTTTCGCTAGAATACACTACATTGGTCATGTTCTAATAGAGATTTCCTACAGGCTGGCTCGATGATGGATGATAGGAACGGAGCTACATCAAAGATTTGCATCAATAAACTGCTTGAGGTTGAAGAGCATGTATGGTCGCCTATGTACGGCCTTAAAGGCAATATCGATGCTACCGTACAAATCGTCCTTGAGGAAGAAGGCGGCCAAAAAACACTCACAGTTCCTCTGGAAGTCAAGACGGGAAAGAATAATACGAATCAATCACATCGAGCTCAAACGGCGTTATACTCATTACTCCTTTCTGACCGCTATGGTATGTCGACTTCCATTCATTTGCACTTTCAAGCTAAACAACTGAACACTAACGGCTAGCAGATATAAATGTTACTTTTGGAATATTATATTACTTGGAAATATCAAAGACCCTTCGTGTTCGCGCCATACCAGGGGAGATACGGCAAATGATTCAACAGCGAAATTTACTCGCCGGATATCTGCGCCAACATTTGGAGCTCCCGCCCATGTTAAAGAATTCTAGACTTTGCAGCCCTTGCTACGCAAAGACATCGTGCTTCCTTTATCACAAACTTGTCGATGACGGCACGGAGGAAACCAGTGGGGTAGGGAAGATCTTCCAAGAAACATCTGGTCATCTTAGGGCTCCTCATCAGGCATTTTTTAAAAAGTGGGATGACCTCCTCACTCTTGAAGAAAAGGAGATGTCGAAATTCCGCCGTGAGCTATGGACTATGGTTAGTGCTGAACGCGAGGGAGTAGGGCGATGCTTCGGCAACGTCATTATTGAGAACGGTTCTGCGTCTGAGAATTCGGAAGGGCCACGAATAAATCGGTTCCAGTATACCTTTATCAAACCAAAGTCGGTCTCAGGCTTCTCCTTTACAGAATCACAGATCAACGTTGGTGAGCCGATTGTTATCTCTGACGAGCAAGGTCATTTCGCTCTTGCGAACGGATTTGTGGTGCAAATCAGCCCTAGACGCATCACAGTTGCAGTTGACAGACGACTTCACAATGCTCGAAATAAAGAGCCCGGCTTCGACGCCGTCAACAACCAAGCCTTCCAGGGTATCATGGATATTTCGTCCAAAAATAAGAACGCCATGGATATAAACTGTGACGCAGAGAGCCCGATGCTTTACAGGCTGGACAAAGATGAATTTAGCAATGGACTGGCCATTGTTAGAAACAATCTAGTTTCCCTGATGGCGCGGGATGTTTTTCAGTCTGCTCGACTCCGCGAGTTGATCATAGAGGGAGCTGCACCGGTTTTCAAACCTGGTTCACCCCTCTCACGTCTCCCAAAGAGTGTGGGGCCTAATCTAAATATGGATCAGAAAATGGCCATTGGGAAGGTTCTAACTGCTGAGGACTATGCGTTGGTCCTCGGTATGCCTGGAACCGGTAAAACAACAACAATCGCCCAAATCATTCGTGCCCTGGTGTCCCAAGGGAAAAGTGTTCTACTCACCTCCTACACCCACACAGCAGTCGATAACATCCTGCTCAAGATTCGGGATGACAAGTTTAGAATCCTCCGTCTAGGAACACCGTCGAAGGTTCACCCTGAAGTTCAACAATTCGCGGAAATGGCAGCAACGCCAAAGAATACAATTGAAGAACTTGAAGATTCATACGAGAATTCAAAGGTTGTAGCAACAACATGTCTAGGAGTCAATCATCGAATCTTTAATACCCGAACTTTTGATTACTGTATAGTCGACGAAGCCTCACAGATCACCTTGCCTGTTTGCCTAGGCCCTATTCGCATGGCTAAGACATTCATCCTTGTGGGAGACCATTACCAATTACCTCCGCTTGTTCAAAGCAAACAAGCCATTGAGGGCGGCCTTGATCTTAGCTTGTTCAAACTGCTTTGTGACATGCATCCATCCTCGGTTGTGAACCTAGAACATCAATATCGCATGTGTGAAGAGGTCATGCTTCTATCAAATACGCTGATATACTCCAACCATCTCAAATGTGGAACCCCAACCATTGCAACCCGTTCCCTTTCTATTCCAAACATTGATGGCCTAAAACGCATTCATCCAACCTCCTTCCCGTCATCCTCTACCCAATCGCTGTGTCTAGGTTCTAGTCACAACAGATGTTGGCTCCGAGACCTCATCGACCCTCGTGCTAAAGCACGCTTCGTTAACACCGATCCTCTTCGCCCCGAAGCTCTAGACTCAGCTAAAGGCTCCCGTGTAATTAACGAGGTAGAAGCTACACTTTGTGCTCAACTTGTTGAGGCATTTATCTCCGTCGGTATTGCTGCAGAGGACATCGGCGTTGTCACACTCTATCGAAGCCAACTCTCCCTCTTGAAACAGAAACTTCGTCACCATGGTTCGGGGCTTGAAATGCATACTGCAGACCGTTTCCAGGGTCGCGATAAAGAAATCATAATTATGAGCTGCGTACGAAGCAATTCAGACAGGAACGTAGGTGACTTGCTACGTGACTGGCGGCGAGTCAACGTCGCGTTTACCCGAGCCAGAACCAAAATGCTCATAGTGGGCAGCAAAGCTACACTTAGTGAAGGAAACGAGCTTTTAGGGAAGTTCACAGCTCTAATGGACGAACATCAATGGCGGTATGATCTACCACCTAATGCCGTCAGTCAGCATTTCTTTGAAGAGCACGATTCACTCTTCACACAAGCAATGAACTCTCGAACTCCGACAGCAAACAAAATGGCGAACACCCTTTCTCCAAGCCCGACAAAGAAATTGACTCAGCCTCGACTCCCACTTAGCCCCCTGAAAAATAATAAGGCAAACACCTTCCCGGGATCTGCATCCGGCATAAAAAAGCCGCAGAAAGTTGGAAAGCCACTGGATGGAGGGAAAATTGTCAGAAAACGGCCAGTGCTGATGGATGTTCTTAATGATATGCTTGGATGATATATCTAGGCCCCATCTCAACTCTAACAGTGCGGTTGCATTGTCTTGGACTCAAATTGGAGCCCGTTGGCTTTCGTGGAACAAACTTATTTGCCCCATGTATGTTTCTTGGGCCTCTTAGTTGGGCATCGCTTTTATAAGCTCATGTTTATAGATTGTGTGTTCAGGGTTCAGTTCTGGGTATTGTGAAGGAAACAGGTTTAAAATATAGTACATCCAGGAGTAATAGGATAACTTGTCTATATCTGCCGACCCAGAGTCAAAAGCTTGCAACATTGCCACCAACGTATTCCCAGCAGATATATTTCCGTCTAGGAGAGGGCTCTTCTTCCTTAGAATCGACATTTTCCTCTTGCTTAGCACTGCTAAAAGGTAATGCCACGACAGAGTAGCCATCCTTCCCATCCACTGCATCCTTCCCCATTGCTGAGACAAGTAGCCCAAACCAGTGGCCAGCACTTGTAGACTTTGAGCCACATTTCCGTCTATTTTCAGAAGGTTAGAAGCTTCCACCTAATATAGATATGTTAAGGAGTCTTACAATACTGATAAAAGTAACATCATAACCCAGCTGGATGGTATTAAACCTCTCCATGTGATCTTAACTAGATCTGTTATCTTACATTCCTCTTTCTGCGGAACTTGATATCGGCTTAGATATGGATCGATTGAGTCACTTGCCAAAATCCGGTCTGATCCCAAGGACGCTAGGCCCAACCACTCCTGTAACTCGTCACAGGTCCCACAGAGAGCATCTCTGTCTTCTGTCGGAAGGAGAGACTCTGAACCGAAGGGTGGTACAAGAACTTTTTCCATCATGATTTCTGCTGGCGAGAGTGTAATAATTTGTGGGTGATACTTTTTGATAGGGGCATCTGCTTCATTTGTTAGGATGGACCAACAAAGAGGAATAAGGGAACATCGTACCCTCATCCGTTAAACTTGGGGATTTAGATAAATCAGTAAACAGCCACGTTACAGAGTTGTTTAAAACATTCTTAAACGCCCATGCGATCCGTTCAAACCCTTTCTTGCCATGTAACATTGATGAGGGCCGGAGATTTATTTCCACCACTATATTTCCAGTTAGATTAATATATAGATCGAGATCGTCTATTAGGGAGACACCTACTATATCTTGACTTTATGTGTTTCCTATCCCCCGATCGAATGGCCTTTCCCACGAGGCCTGCGCGTTCATATGTTGACTTATCGAGTTCAAGTGTAAGAACCCCTAATGCACCTGTTTTAGCAATAGTTGAATAAACTAGAAAGCTATTTCTTACCATCTTTGAGAGTGTAAACATTGTCTATGCCTCTTCTTCCTTCTGATATCATAAGGACATTTCCTATGTATGTATGTTAATATTTATCGTATCAGAAGAAGCAAGCTAGGACACCTACCAATCTTGATATATTTCGTGAAAAATTCCCCTTCTAGCAAGCCCGATAATGGAAAGATAGCTCGCGCATATTGATATGGCTTAACTTCTCCCAAAATTGAGCTCCAGGCTGCCTCGTGTACATGTCGTGGAAGTATTAACTCAACCTGTCGAAATTTCAGCCAGTGTGTCATGGAGATAAGTATTTGTCCCATACCTTGTGATTGAACACATGGCCAAGTATAGCAGAAAAAGGCGCCCTCTTCTGGGGCGGCTGAGTAGGATCAACAAATACAGGCAAATTTCCGATTGATATAAGGCATTTCTCTTTGTCCATCAATGGGTCTTCGAAGTCAAACATTGTGTCTAGAAGCTGGTTGCTGCTGTTTCTTCCATAAAACACCTGATATCACCGCTGTCGAGCAATGCCAGCAGGTTTTAGGGATATCTGAGACTACCAATGTCAAAGTCTCTCATTATACAGTTCAGCTCTGTCGGGTATATCATAAAACCTGGTTCACAGTCTATTGTGTTGTGGTTCACCTGCGTTGATGTCATTTATCTTCGTTGAAATTGAACAGGCTGCCAAGCCGTGAGCTTCTTTTGCTTCAAAAAGCGCCAAACACGACGATATAAAGACCATCCCAACCGCTTCAACCGAAGAGCGGCGAGGGCTCAATTTGAAGCTCCTAACATGCCGCCAGCTTCTTCTAATCTAGTATCCAAGGATCGGTTCGCTCATTTGTTCGGTGGTTTACGGACTCAGAGCTACCCAGATCCTAACGCGCGAGGCCCCGGCTCCCATAGGCATGCAATCCCATTTCTTTACAGTGCTCATGTATTACATGAAGACAAGGAATATTATGCTAACTAGTGCTCTCTAGCATTCGTACTTTGGCATGGAACCCAACGGGAACGTTGATAGCAACTGGGTCTGTTGATCGAACACTGCGCATCTGGAACCCGGAACGACCTGACGTGAGATATTCGACCGATTTGCGCGGACACACTTCCGGCATTGAACAGATAGCATTCAACCCCGTGAAGGAATCTGAGCTCGCCAGCTGCTCGAAGGATGGAACTGTCCGCTTTTGGGACGTGCGCGCAAAGAACTGCGTCGGCCGTGTCGATGTTGGAGGGGAGGCCTTTTCCCTCGCATGGTCCCCCGATGGAAGCGTACTGCTGGCCGGGAGAATGGTATTTAAATTCCTTGTTATTTGCTTACTCCAGTATCTACAGTATATGCTAAAAATTTTCTATCCAGGATGACACATTAGTTCCTATATCTGTCGAACCAGTAGCCATGTCTACCAATCCTGCACCCAATGCGCCAAAAGCGCCATCAACCTACAAAGCATTGTCTCACCATAAACAACCCATCCGTACGAATGGGATTGCATTTTCACACTCTTTCGATCCAAACCTTTTCCTCACCACCGGGGATGGGACTGTCAAAATCGAATCTTACCCATCCTTCGACACACTACATACGCTCAATGCCCATACAGCCGCTTGTCTTTGTGTCTCGCTTGCTCCAACTGCGAGGTATCTAGCCATTGGCGGAGGAGATTCACTCATTTCCCTCTGGGATACAACGAATTGGGTATGCCAGCGCACTGTCTCGAGTAGTGGTGGTGGAGCCGTTCGCGGTATTAGCTGGAGTTGGGACGGACGGTTTATAGTGGGCGCCTGTGACGAAACAGACTGCGGCGGCACAGGTTTGGAAATATTCCATGCTGAGACCGGAGATAGTGTGTACACTATACCGACGGGCAATCCCAACGTTGGGGTCCCTGCCGTAGCCTGGCATCCATCCCGTTATTGTCTTGCGTATTCTCTCTACGCAGAAGGTATTGGGAGTGGCAATAACGGCCTACGCATTGTAGGTGCCGGTGCCGGTGACTTTTGAAACCTGCTGATGATATATGAACTAAATAGAAAGAGATGCCAGACATACCTTTGTTACAGTATAATGACTAGTATGGTTCAGGTTTCAGTTATGGTGATAAGGAATAGCTACCGTCAGCGCCGCTGATTTAAGTAAACGACAGAGTGACCATATAGGGGCAAACAATCAGACCCGAAGAAGTCACTGAATTACAACACTTGACTGCCTGCAATAACATATCGCAATGAAAAGATCTTATATGTTGTGTTACAACTTTTAAATCAACTACTAGAATGTATGGAATACCTTTCTCGGTCGCATATTTTTTCATTTTGATGCATTTTCTTCTAATTTAGATCATCATGGATCAATTCGATCGCAGGATACAGTTGCCGCCGGTGTATATGTACATAAGAGGAGATAAACGCGCCCTCCGCTTTCCAAATCACTACCTTCCACGAAAATGTTCACATATTCCCCAATTCTTAAATCCCGTATTAGAACCGTAGTTTTCAACCAGATATGTATTCCCCGGATCATGACGAGAACATTGGGAATATATAAATAAGCGACCAAAATACTCGTTAGCATATGTGGGAGCATGCGAAAACTAACACAAAACCCGGAAGTAGCATGAAACACTGAGAGGTGGGTAAATAGTATAGATGGGACGAAGTAGTATATGATAGAGTGATGGGCCGTTTGGGAGAGTAGGGATGGTAAAATTCAATTAAACTGTGTGGTGTATATATAGCAGAAATATAGATTCAAAAGTGGTATATAGTTAGTGTGTTGTATATTCGGAAATACTGAGCTGGCTATCGGCTCCATTGGTTAGTATTAAAGGTTTCAGGAGATTGAGACCATGGTATATCTTCAAGTGAAGATAAAACTGCTTCCATAGTTGATGATGTAGGGGTGGGGGGTATCAAATCTGGTTCATTGGGTTGGGATTGTTGCTGTTGTTGCATAAAATCCCACCCTTCAGGTAAGTTGAAAAGCTCCTGTTGGAACTGAGCCTCGGAAGCGGTTACCGCAAAATCCTGTGGGAAAGGTGTAGTATTAGTTTTATTTGGATGTTGCATTGAAGCTCCAAATGCGCTTCTAGTGTCGTTGGTAGTGTATGGCAATGAAGATGGAAGATTCTGGGGAAGAGGCTTCTGATTATGCATTCCACCTTGCTTTGGGGAGGGTTGATCGAGATGCGCTGGTGAGAACGAGCTGTTTGAGGAGGTTTTATTTGTGTTTGGACTGGGATTATCCGAGCAAGAGGGATGGCGCTCGCTTCCTCCAGTACTGGTACCACCAGCCGAAGCATCTATCTCGAAGTCCATGAATCTGAAATGGTCATCGTGTGCCTGGGGTATTCCTATATTGGGTATATTTCCAGGCATCCCTAAACCATAGACTTGAGATTGGACCGGGAATTGTTGCCCCCTAGGTTTAGGATGCCCTTGACTGGATACGCCTGGGGGATCTGATGATGAGGTTGTTGCTGGTGACTTTGAAGATGTTTTTGGATCCTGGTTTTGCTTGTCCAAAAGGGCAATATCGATGATGCCGATCGCGCATTTTTCAAACTGAGAACGCACTGCCTATAACACGAGACACATATTAGCCGCACGATATATATCATAGGGTAGGATGAAACATACACGGAGGGCAGCCTGCCTAGCATCGTCCTCTGGGGTTCTGTGTACACTGCTGTATGAGAATCTCGACACTCCGTCATCTGTCATCAGCCCACTCCCTTCAAGATCTACATCTAGCTGGACGAGGAATGACTCTGCCAGAGGGACCTTTCTCTTAAGCGCGTTCATAGCCGAGAGTAAGAACTGGAGGGAAGATCTAACGGCTTGGTCTTGGGGCCTGGACTTGAGGTACTGGACGAAGACTCTAGCAGCAACATATAGACAAAACACAAGGAAAGGATTCATCTATCCGTGCCAACGTCAGCATTGGTTGACCAAAATGGCAAATTCGGGTGATTTACCTTTGCTAAGTCCATATGAGAAACCATTTTCATTATGTGGGTGATTTGATCCGCTGCGATGATACAGCGTCGTTTACTCTCTGTGGATATCTGGCCAGGCATGCTGTGCTTTTCCGCCTTATAAATCGCAGCCTGGTGAAGACATATAGTCGAGGCATGGATACACATGTTGCCAAAGACGATTTCGGAGTTGTTGATGCCTTCCGGTAGACGGAGGTGGTTAGGTAGTGAGAGAGATGTGTGAAGTAGGATATTGTCGAGGGCACGATGGCGTTTCCAGAACTCGCCGTTTAGATCGTGATCTCTGTCGTTAGTGGTGACACGGTGAAGATGGTGTAGATTACGGCCAAACATGCATGCTAGCAGTACTGTAGCTGCATAAGGAGATAATGAACTTGTTTCTTGACCGGATATAGTCTCTGCGAGGGATGAAGTCGGCTGCTCCACGGAGTTGACAAATGCTTCTTCAGATGCAGGGAGATTTGTCAAAATCTAGACAACCAAAATGTCAATACTAGCTATAACAATTGGATGAGCTGGGTCAGATAATAACTTACGTCTCTCTCATCCACACTCATCGGCCAGCCTGTCCCAGCCGAGGCATATCTATCCTGACAGAAAGCAGCCCAGAAGGTCCGTCTCCTCTCCTCGCGCTCTGTCCAGTCTCTGGCTGGCGGTAAGGCCTGTTTAACATCTAGACCACGAGCATCCTGACGGTTAAGGCCCAACATCAAACAGAGCCGCATCCCCGAACCAGTGCTCATCCACGCTCTGGGGAAATACATCATTTTAAACTCATAACACCCGATCAATAGCCAGCATTGTGCATGTGCTACTGATATAATGTTCTCACCTAGACCTTTCATCTGATCTAGTTCGGCGTACTTGCGAGCTCGGGCATAGAAATGGGTATGTATGTCGGCATATTTGTCTGTAGCAGCGGCCGCATGCGCCCACATGATGTACCGCAGGCATATCGGTGGGCGCATTGAAGGTGCCAGATTCATCGCTGCATAATAGCGCGGTTTATGTATCATGGGAGAGGACGGGTGTATCTTTTCAAAATATATTTCGTCCCTATTATCGAATATTAGCCATTCATATCAACCACTATATCACTCTCAGTAGAAATAACGTACAATTCATCGATAACCTCTTGACTCGGTAAGGGTTCCTCCAACCCTAAGCCGATCATTTCCCACGAGAACTCCCTCGAAGAAGCGCTGTTTGAAGTTGGAAGAGTAGCTGGCGGGGGTAGGATATCTCCCATATCTCCAAACATATCCATACCATCGAGGGATAAATTTGGGTCTGTTTCGACTGACTTTGGAACTGCAGTACGGATGGGAAACATGTTCGGTCGTCCCTGAAACGGCGCATTCTGGTTATCAAACGCTCTCGTAGGCGGCGATGGTCGACTTGACTCTGCGGTATCGACTCCCTTCAACAGAGTCTCGACCTGCGCTGTTTGTCCAAGCCGTTAGCAGACCTCACTTGCATATATACTTAACCAAACCAATGCTGCTCATAGACCCTCGTACCTAGTCTGGCTTCCAAGTGCTTGACATATCCTCTCTTTGGACCGCTCTTCTTCCTGACTTCGTTATAAGCACAGTCATGGCCCAGCCGTGAACAATTCCCACAGCTCGGTTTTGCCCCGTCGCATCGAAGCTTTCTCTTCCTGCAAACAACGCAGGCAATGCGCTTTGGTCTAGGTATGTATCCCGGGTTCCCTTCCTGAGCACCTGGCGACTCTGCCCGAGTCCTCGTTGGTGCCGCGCTTTCAGCCACAGCTGCGCCGGTCTGCTCGTTGCCGCCCGCCATGGCTGCCTCAGGGGGAAAAACTGCTGATATCACTTGCCGTCTCCCCGTCGGCTTTGAATCTCCGTTGTCTGCTGTATTTTCAGTGGCGAGTTGCGGGGGAGCCAGTCGTTGATTGGGAGGGAGTGGAACGGCGGGAAGGATTGAGGCTCAGAATCTGATAAACGCGGGTGTCGGCCGTGGCGACATGGACGAAGATGAAGGGCGTCTATTTTATCTGATTGATAGTGACATCGTGTCTTGCTCTCCGGCTGTACAGCGTTTTTCTTTTATTACCTTCAGGCGGCGTAAAAGCTGCTGCCTGCGCTGTGGATAAGAATTATGCTTGTCTAGTCAAACTTTTTGCGATGCAAGTTGCCGTCATGGCATTAATAATCAGAGCTGAAGATGATATTTATAGACAGATCTCAGCCGCGAAAGGGTCTAAGGATGATAGAAAGAGGATGGGCAAGAATATTAAGCATAGTAGTATAGTAGTATATCAGATTGCCTTTTAGTACATGAATATATAGTACACGCTCCCAAAAGAACCGTAGCAAAAGGAGCTCTATCATCAACTCTTCAACCGTACAGCAAGGAAAAGGACAGCAGGATGTGAGGCCACTAATTGTATCCTCTGCGGCGTTTTCCTTGGTTGCGGACTCTCGGGGTAATGACATCTCTGTTGATGTTCGCCTTGATTCTTGTCTTGTATCCGGATTTGGCCTGTACCATCGAGTTAGCAATGTCGTTGCGACACTGTGATAGACGGTGGAAGAAAGGTGAAAAGGACATACCGGTAAACCCCATGGACTCTTGGGATGGACACCACCCTTGGACTTTCCTCTACCACCACCGTGGGGATGGTCCTTTGCGTTCATGGCCACACCACGAACGGTGGGTCGGATGTTGAGCCAGCGCTTTCGGCCGGCCTTACCGAGCTGAGCGTACTTCTTGTTGACATTGCTGGCAACTCCGATGGTGGCACAGCAGTCCTTATGGATCAGACGGACTTCACCACTCTGCAGACGGACGGCAACGTGCTCGGACAGCTTCTTGAGCCTCTTCCATTCCAGCTCAGACATGACGGTTTTCTCACCGGCAGCATCAGCGTCACTCTTGATCTCGGCTTCAACTTCAGCATCTAGCTTAGCGTCCTTGGCCGCTTCGCTTGAGGCTTCTTCGGCTTCGGTCCCTTTGCTGTCCTTTGACTCAGCGGCTGCGTCTTCTTCCTTGGGCTTAACTTCTTCCCATGGAGGAGGTGCTTCACCAGCTTTGGTCATCAGGATACCGTATGTCCCAGCACCACGGCAGAGCTGACCACCTTTCCCCTTGTGTAGACCAATGTTGAAAATCATTGAACCGATAGGAACCATATGTAGAGGCAGACAGTTCCCTCGTCGAGCGGTCTTGGCCGCCAGCACACCAGGGTCAATACCACCGCCCATAGCCTCCCACAGGTCATCCGGGATACCGGCACGATAACTCTGCACGATATCACCTTCCCTCATTCCCTCTGCCGCAAGAACGTAGCTCAATTTCTTTGTAAGCTTAGACTTCAGCAAGGCAATATGCGCTGTCCGGCCGGGGTCATGCTCAATTCTCTGGACAACATGGGGACCAGGCTCGTTCCGCTCAAAATCAACAATGCGTATTCTTCGCTTGTGGCCACCTCCTCGATGACGGACGGTAACTCGTCCGGTATAATTTCTTCCACCTTTCCCATGACCTTTCTTGGGGAACGTAAGCTCGTGGACTGGTCTGCCTTTCCATAGATGGTCGTTTATAGGTCTCCGCAAGTGTCTGAGGCCGGGTGTACGTGGTGTGTATGATCGTAACTGGATGGCTTTCTTATCACGGACTGGAGGCGGAGCCATGGAAAGGTCATCCTCATGATCAGCTGGGTCAGTGGCTGTCTCTTGTCTCCTGAGGGGAGTGCTGGAAAATGGCCGGTATGCGAGCGTTGTGAGGCACTTGCAGGACCGTTGAAGGCCGCCAAACGGCACGCGAGCCTGCAGCATGGTGCCAATTGAGTCCCTGGATGCTCTTTGCAGGCCGGTATAAATTTCGTCGATATCCAGGTGTTCTTCCCGCTTATTGTTCCATCAAGGCTCTAAAAAAGGCTCAATTGCACTTATTCCTCCTTCCGCTTTGTATGCAGAGGTTTTAACCGCTCTATATCGTCGCCGAGATAATGCGCCGACTGGTTTGAATCGATCCTTCTTTGCCGTTGAAGCTCGTCGTCCTTTTTTCTCTTCGTCGCTCTTTTTGCTTTTCGATAAAAAAAACTTTTTGGCCGCAAAATTCCTTGATCACGTGATATAGAATTGGCCAAGCAGGACAGCAGCAGAAGGACATGGAGAAGAATGATAGTAAACGGAGAGGAATATAAGACAATAGAGGGCCGACATATCAATAAGGAGTGGCATTGAATAAAGGAGTTTCATAGTTATCTTTATACATAGCATTTTCTTCTGCGGCTGCCACCTAGCAACACATATACTATATGCGCTGCCGCTTCCTCCCACTGTTTACACTACATATAAGACGAAACTTATGCGACGAACAGAAAAGGGGCCAAGAATGAATGCCCAATCTACCAAGAATATACTTAAGGAAATAATAATAAAATAAATAAATAAATAAATAAAAGGAAGCTCGAAATATGGACCTTGACGATCGCGTGGTGCGGTAACCGAAATACCATAATGACAAGACGAAAATGACGGTTTCTGTGGTAACGCCCTTTGTTTTGGTCTGCGTGCGTCACGCTGATACGCCTGCACGGCCAAGCGAGAGCGTGAAAAGCGTGCAAAGCGTGTATGGCGTCTGTACCAGCCGCGTATCGTGACTGTTCGTCGCCAGCCCAAAACCCCCCAAAATTACAGGGCTAAATTACAGCAGCGAAACTTTTATATCTTTTCGACTTTCTTTGACTTGCAAAACTTCAACTTCTTCAACATCAACAGCACCGCCAGCGTCGCCCGCACGACAGCACAGCATCTCCTACGCCGGATATCACCACGCTCCGGCTGCAGCTTTTACCTTCTTCTCATCTCTTACTCGGCGTATCACCAGCTTACCGTCGTCTCCTCAGGGTTATATATCTCTGACGCGGTCGATTCTCGTGGGGTCTGAACTCATATAAACATACGCCCAGAAACCAGACGCAGTCACCGTCTCAGCCAAAGTTACTGTGAATAGTCAAGCAGCAGGTCATCTACAGTCGATAGGGTGAGTTTGGCTGCTCCAATTCCCTTGTTATTTCTTCCTGTCGTGGTGTGTGGCTGGTGGTGCTGCCAGCACGCGAATTCTTTTGCTTCTTCCATGGGATGAGGCTTATTTACACGGTCGACCACCACCACGTCCTATCAACGACCATGTTATTATTCCCTTAATCCACCACCACCACACCACCACTACCACTACTACCACTATCACTATCACGTTACAACCATCACTACCACTGCCAACACGAAATACTTGCTGCAATTCTGGTTCTCGCTTTTGTTATCACTGCTGGCTACAAAGTGAATCGCGAAGTTCTGCCAACCAAGGCCCAACTGACCCAAGGTACCTATCAAACAGGTTTCTACTTAACCCCCCGAACACGTCCGCGAGCAGGCCAAACTCCCTGTCCTAACCAGATACCTATATCTGGAGACTCGGTATCAGATCTTATTCTTGTTTTCGCTCAGTAATATTGCCAGTGTTGCATGTTAGCATACATTCACCATGCCACCGGTCAGTCACCTACCCCTTTCTTCCACCTGACTTTTGTCGTCAAATTTAGCTCACTAACATCTTCCACAGACACGAAGCCTACGACAGCGTACTGCTACTAATGAAAACGATGAGAATGCAACTGCAGCATCCACACGGCTCACCCGGGCCAAAGCTGCCGCGCTATCTGTGCCTGAATCGCAAACCGGCGCGGTCAAGAAGGCCTTAGGCGCGAGAAACACGGTCAACACATCCGCTACTGCCCTGCAACGGAAGAGGGCTGCTCTCGGCGATGTGAGCAACGTGTCAAAGCAGGATAACGGTGATAGCAAGCAGCTCAAGAAACCATCTGCCTCTCGCGCACCACTCACTTCTAAGACCTCGACTCAGACAGGGGGCGTACAGAAGGTTACCCGCACAAACACCACAAGAACTGCCTTGGGAGTCAAAGACTCAAACAAGAGAGAAACCACCACAGAACCAAAGCGTCCTGGCAGCGGCTCCGGCGTCATGGGCGGTCTCCAAACAAAACGTCACAGCCACAAGCCTGCCCGAGCTGACAGTGTTGTCAGTGAAGAACCACCACGCAAGAAGCATGACAGCGGGAAGGATGTCTTGAAAACGGAAGAAAAATCTGAGGACGAGGCCGAAGAAAAAGAAAAGGTTGAGGTCAAGGTTGAAGTTGAGACTGAAGCCAGAGTGGATGTTGTCGATTCCCAGGAGTCCGTCCAGGATGAAGTCAAGGAAGAGCGAGCCGTTGATGTCGTGATAGACTTGGATGCTGAAGACCTTTACGACCCCATGATGGCCACAGAGTACGTCGTTGATATCTTTGAGTATCTCAAGGAGCTCGAGCCTATCACCATGCCCAACCCTGACTACATGGACCACCAAGACGAGCTAGAGTGGAAGATGCGTGGTATCCTGGTTGACTGGCTCATCGAAGTCCACACTCGCTTCCGCCTTCTCCCAGAGACCCTCTTCCTCACAGTCAACATCATTGACAGGTTCCTCTCTGCCGAAGTTGTCACTCTTAACCGACTCCAGCTCGTTGGCGTCACCGCTATGTTCATTGCTTCCAAATATGAAGAGGTTCTTTCACCACACGTTGCCAACTTCAGCCACGTTGCCGATGATACTTTCTCGGATAAGGAGATTCTCGACGCTGAGAGACACATTCTTGCAGTTCTTAACTATGACCTCAGCTACCCTAACCCGATGAACTTCCTGCGCAGAATATCCAAGCCTGACAACTATGATGTCCGAACGAGGACGCTTGCCAAGTACCTTATGGAGATTAGCTTGGTCGACCACAGGTTCATGAAGTACCGTCAATCACATATTGCTGCTGCTTCCATTTTCCTTGCTCGTGTCATATATGAACGTGGTCCATGGGTATGTCATTCTACTTCCTCTTCCTTTCACTCATGTTTATCTAACCTCTATCTTAGGATGCAACTATTGCTTATTATTCTGGTTATACCAAGGAGGAGATCATGCCTGTGTATGAATTGCTTATTGATTACCTCTGCCGACCACCAGCCCATGAAGCATTCTTCAAGAAATATGCCAGCAAGAGATTCCTCAAAGGTACCCTGCCACCAATCCATCTCTCTATCATGACTTATCGTACTAACTATGCTTAGCCTCCATAATGACTCGACAATGGGCAAAACAGTACCACGCTATCATGAAGGCCAAGAACAATGCTGCCCGCGAACAAGACTCGAAACCCAAGTCGAAGGTCGTGTCGTCATAGTCATTTCACGATTCCAGGCTAGATGAGAAAAACGCTCTCCTGCTTGATCCACCTCCCCTTTACGAACACGTCTGTTAATAGTCACTCCCATTTATCCTCGCCCCGCAAGGCTGCCACTACGTATTGTACCTATCACTGCACTACTTCTGCATGTGTATACATACATAAGCCGTCTTCTACCCTTTCTCATCCTCATCCAGCACTTTGTTGTTTTGGCGTTATCTTGCTTTGCTTTTTCTTGGGATGGATTGCTTGTGGGTGGCGTTGTGCATTTGGAAAGCATACTCGAGCCGTTGTGTTTGTCTTCATCTTCCTCCTTGCCTCGAATTCCCTTCACTTCTCTTTCTCTTCTTTCATCCGTTCTCAGCCTGTCTCCTCGGCGATCTCAGGAGTTAGGCGACCAGGCTGAAGTGGAATTCTTTATTGTCTGCTTACTTTAAACTTGCTCTTCCCCGCTACCATCAATCCTCCTTATGCTTTACCGTTCCTGCTACCTGAAACAACCTCTACACCCCTCCAAAAAAGGCACCCTTTCATGTCTATTCTATTCTAAATCTCTTGTTCTCTGAGTGCCCGGTTGAACCATTTTTTAAAGCTTGTTTGAATTATTTTCTTTAGGGGGATGAACGAACGGACACGGATGGACGAACGAACGGTCGGCGAGGGACAGGAGCAAAGAGGGAGAATTCGAAACGGAGCAAACAAGTGACAAAGGAATCGATTGATATTGGCTCTCATTGTTTCTTCTGCCTCCTTCCCCCATCTTTTCCTTCAGCTTGTTCTTCACTGGTTTTTGCTTCTAGCTTAGTTACAAGGTGGTGTGGGCGGGTGTTCTAGCGATTTTTTTTTATTAATGAAAATATGTGGGACTATCAATTGCCTCTCCTTCCACTCGTATCCCCATAGATACAGGTAAGTACAGGGTAAATAAAATGTAAACAACAGCCTGGCGTAGATGTTCAGCTTGTTCCCTGTCTATTTACCTCCACCCTTCGCGTTGTTGTTTGTTGATGTTCGTCCCATTTAGGTTATATTGGCTGCTGACTCATCACTTTTGAACCTCGGCTCAACTTCAGCCGCTCAAATGCCTTTTTCTTCTTGATCTCATCACTCTGAAACATGACGGCGGCATGTAATATCAGAGAGGCCATAATATACCCATATCAATACATTCCACGGCTTCTAGCTATATAATGACCTCATCAGAATGTCCCTTCTGTGAAATCGCATCCTCATCAGCTCCGTTTCCGCCCTCATCTCCGCAAACTATACCCAATGACAGAGGAGGTAATTCTCAAGATACCTCAGATTCACCCACAGCGTTCATAATATTATCTACCAAACATGTCCTTGCATTCTTAGACATTATGCCATTGACGAGGGGCCATGTGCTCGTTACTCCTAGACGGCATTATCAGAATATGCGTGAAGTTGGCATCCATGACGCAAGGCAGGTTAGTTGCCCTTTACAATGCAACCTATGTGGAACTATAACAAGCTATAATATGCATGGGATAACTAAGCGTCTCACTACTAGCTTGGTCAATGGCTACCGATACTCTCTCGTGTGATTGTTCGAACTGTCCTAGGTGAGGGCAAGGACAACCGAGGGGACGACCAGGGGAACTGGAACATTATTCAGAACAATGGTTTGTTTGCACGCCTGCCCCTTTCGGGCTCCAGGATTTTTAGCTGCAGTGACGTCTGCCCAAGTACATGTCTAATAATATCTTAGGTATACGGGCATCTCAGACAGTTCCTCATGTACACTTCCACATCATACCTAGACCTGCGTCGGGAGCTGATACACCTACTGGAGGGGGCTGGGTCATGTTCGGGCGCGGCCAGAGGGATGAGCTTATGGATGATGAGGCAGAGGAGCTGGTGGTGCTATTGAGGAATGAGTTAGCCAGGGAAGTAAAGAGAGTTAAGGAGGAGGAAGGCGTTGATTTGGAAGATTGTGATTGTAAAGTTGGGGATGGACACATACCGCGATCGACCAAGCTGTAGATCCTAGCAGTTACAAATACCCGTACATTTTTTCTTTTTCTAATACAATGAAGAAATTAAATATTTATGAGCTAGCTTTCTCTTCCACGGCAAACGCTTCGAAGTACTTAAAGTTGAATTAGCAGAGGCCTTCACAAAGGAACAGTGACATTGGTGGCTTACTCTTCTTCTAAACGGGTTTAATTCGTCGGCGTTCCCTCTTGGTACCTCTTTTCGCTCCCTGCGGGGTGTAGATGATACTTCACTATTGGGCAATCGTCTATACACAAGTAGTCGTCGCGACCCTGCATAAGGTTAGCAATACTGTGTTTTATAAATATATAAATTGAAGACTTACATTTGTTAAAAGGCTGCACACATGAATCAAGGTGTTCAAGGCAAGGATGTTTCGGAATTGCAAGCTCAACATCATCTTCATTCGCAGTTGGCATCCAAAGAGATATCCTGCCGTTGACCACTAGTGTCTGAGCAGCAAAATCAAGTATATCATCAAGCATTGCATCAAATGCGTATGGGCGTTTAGGGAAAATATAATTCTCCCTCCTGTCAATTCACAAAGTTAGCTTTACTATTCCAATGCTCTATTAGGGCAAGGGGTAAGTTTACTTGTACGATGGAACACCCTGGAACATCATGAGTTCCCCCTTTCGACTATCATCCTTATGCCCCAGGACTCTCAACCCTTCTCGTACACCGTATGGTGGGTCACATATAATCCCATCAAATATCCGGGTGCTTCGAAGAGGTGTGTTTGTCAAATCGGAAGTAAATGTGTCCAGGAATCTGGATAGCAGTCCATATTGTTTGAAGTTCGCTATGACTCCAGTTTCGGTGTTGGAAGTGGCCTCTTTCCCACGAAAGCTGCGCCCGTCAATATCTGATCCGCATGTCACTGCTCCAAAATGAGCAGCGGCCACAAGAAAACTCCCTGTTCCCACAAAGGGGTCATAAAACAACTTTCCTGGCGCTGCATGCGTCATGTTGGCGGATATCAAACTCAGCTCTGCATCCATGGAAGTAGTACTGATATATTTGCGTTTCTTCAAGTTATAAGTGTTGATCTCCGCCCGGCCACCCTCTGTAACCCATCGACCGAGGTAGATACGTTTAAGTACCGGCTCAGTATGAGTTTTTGGATTTCCCGAAGAAGCAAGCTGGTGAGCGAACTCTTCAAATACACAGAATTTCTCGTCGGCATCAACCATCTTTATCGGTCCCTCAAAGGCCAAAAATGAAAAGGACTCGATGATCTCGTTCCTCTCCTTTGCCGTTCGAGTTGATGCATAAGTATCCACGTCAAATTTAAAGGAAACCATCTTATAATCGGGCCATCTGGACTCTGTTCGGTGACGGACATCTGCCCTCAGCAGGTCGTAGGTATCTCCCTGGCCCCAGAGTTCATATATGTTTTTGGCCAAAATGCTGCGGCGCATGAGAGCACGGGCAGCTTCTTCATTTGCAAGTCTTACTATGCAGAATGGAGTCTGCACACTAGTATTAGAACATAATCTCCCTGGTATAATTATCTAGCTATAATTATTTACGTGGGGACGCACATACAAGATCGTGGTAAACTAGAAATTCTATCTCAACCCCCACCAAGCTGGCTAGAGCTGTAATTTCTGCTTTGCGAAACGATTCATGGCTCTGAGCAAACCGAATCAAATAATCAACCATCTTAAAACACCGGTATAGCCAGCGGGTAGTCTCTGAGGGTGCTTGATATCTTTTCGGCAATGGATTCTGCTACCGTGCAATGAATTGAATATAAAATCTCTTCCACTAACTAGTTACATAACTAATAATCCCGAGCTTAACTATAAGTCAACTAACTAGTTAACTTCCTCGAGCTGACTAAGCCGGCTACTCTTGACACATCTAGGCGTGTCCTTAGTAGTTATCACACAAGCGAGGTAATTAGCAGTTCATAATATTTATATTATATTAGGGTGATACGGCAGTCAAGGGTGACATCTAAAGGTACGACACCAGTAACTAGTTAACTACTTAGTTAGCAAGAGGGCAAACAACAAGTATTCTAACTTAGCTTAAGCAAGAATCATGAAGCTAGCCCCATGTCGGCCCAAACATTCTCTGCAATTTCCAGGAGCTCTGCCTGGGAGAAAATAAAGTCGCCCTCCCCATGGCCGGGGTCGGGGTCTCGAAGTAGCATATCCTTGAACGGGAGGGCTATATCCGTCCCCTCCAGCCGAGCGGGATTCCCATGTTGGCCTCTGAAAATGTTCAAGGTGCTAACGGCCCTGGCCTCCGGCCGAGGATGCTGCCTGCTCGGCGCAGCACCGCGCTCCCACAAAGTGACATAGACATTGCCAGATTCCCTTTTGATGTCAATTGTAATCACTTTCAGCACGGTCCTATTAGACCGGTACAGCCACCACCACGCGTTGTCCTTGACTTTGTCCTCTGGCTCTGAAAATGCGACTTCAAGGACAACACTTGGCCATTTTATATTGGTTTCCGAATACCGTTGGCGCGGCCCCCACGAGGCGTCTGGCTCTTTTTTCCTCTCTTGGGTTTCCATGGTGGTGCTTCCTCTTGATGACAGCAAGCGCCATACTCCCATTTCCTGGGCCTTTAAGGTAAGTAAGGCGCTAAAACGGGTGCCGGCCTCTTCGTGGGGAGCAGTGGGCGTAGTAATGGCTAGCTTTCGACACGAAGTGTTGTAATCAAGTCTTCTAAAACCTGCACGGTCAAGCTCAACGAAGTCCGACTCTGATACGTGTGTGAAAATGGTGTAGGGGTTGTCCTTGTGTCCGGCTAGAAAGCGATCATACTCTCGACCACAAATTTTTCTCGCGTCGTCTACCCCAGGGTATCTATATTCACTTATATCCAAGGAAATAGCAGTCAGAGCCACATCGCCCGTGTCTCCCTGCTCTCCTCCATGATTCATTGTCCATGCTGTTTTGAGATGTTGTGCTGCGTTATAGTGACGATGCTCCTGCTCGTCTGCAGTGGGCTGGCACTGTAGCTAACTAGTTAGCCAGGAAAATTCTGCAACGGACAGAGATTTTTCGTTCTCTCAAAGATGGTAACAACGACAGGACAAGCGAGGAAGAAGAACCGGATTGAGGAAGTGTTAACTAGTACTTTTTAGCCTGTAAATTTTTAATTGGTTTAATAAGGGCGAGCACTGGTTCGTTGTATGGGACGTGCTTCAATGCTTCATCAAGAATTATATCATTGAAGGGGAGTGGATCTTATTCTTCGTCCTGATTGATGTTATTATACTCCGTAGTTGTTGTTGCATCTCGTCGCGAGGATAAGAAATGACATGAATTAGTAAGCTCTTGTCTATTTAAGTTTAACGGTGTCACGTTATGCACACCTAAACTGTCCAATCAGAAGCTCTTAAAGTAGAGAGAAATTGCCCAATCCCAAGCCTTCCACCAACTTCCGAAGACCACTTTATAGAGATTTACTTCATATCTCCCAAGCCATTACTGCCGCTATGAATGACTTCCTCTTCCTCTGTATCTATTATTTATTGTGCTCGTAAATACAGACGGCATGGCTCGGGGTGCTCGCTAAAAGGGGCAGCCGATGACATCATCTGGCATTAAGCTTAATAACGGCAAAGCTTAATTAGTTAGTCAAGCTACGAGTGGCAACCTGCTTTTACCTTTTGTATATATATCGCGGAAGCCATCCATGGATAAGTGAACCGCAGAGCCCACTTTCGAGCGTTCTACTCAGGCACACCCTCCAAGGGCCTTTATTGATGTACCTCCTTATTGTGCCTGTAGATGGACCGTAAAGAGGATACGCCAGGTCCGGAGGCACCAGGGACATGCCCAAGCTTGTCCCGCTTGCTGGCTCCGCCAACCCGTCCTCCCAACTCTCGCAGACCCAGCATCCGGATACGCCATTCCTCAGCATCTTTGACCGGAGAGCCCATAACGCGGACTACAAGTCTAAATCCGGAGCCCGTGAAGCGTTCCGACGACGATGTGGTTGCCTCGAGAAGGAGAAGCAGTTCGGAGCCCCAACGTCCCAATTTCGGCAACGATGGGGCTGCTGAATACATGCCTATGACAACGGTGGCGGAGGAAGGGCCAAGCAAATACGCGCAGATTGAAGCTGGGCGTGGAAGATGGAGGTCTGCTAGCGCCTCGGCGATGTCGTCGTTACGTCTCGCAAAAGCAGGCCAGGAAGGCATGGGAAACGTGAATGATGGTAGAGAGTATGATTCAAGGGTTGTCAATTTACTTGATGTTGTTGGTAGGTCTTCATTTACCCTGAATTTAAACTATTTCAAGCAAGTTAATATCTCCGGCTATAAGATCCTGAAGTCTCAACTCTCACAACTCTCACCAATGTGCAGAATTCGCTCTTTGTACCAGACTTAGGACGGTTTGTAAACCGCCAGCCGACCTACAATCTGACACGACCTCGGAGTGACTCTGTGGAATCAATAATATCGGCTGTATCTGAAGAAGAGGAGGAAACCTCTACTTCGGATACAGAGGAGCCACCTAGAGCTAAGCGGACTGAAACAATAACGTCCAACCTCAGTGTATCACGTTTTGCTGTCCTGCCGGAGGGCACCACTCTAGACGGCTGGGATCCGTCAGACAAGTGGGAAATCAATGACCATGTCAGGCATATGTTACACTCTCGGAGGTCCAAATTTAAGCGCGGGATGAAAGGGTTTTGGCAGTATGTTCAGAAACGTGAGTATATCCTCCTAACACTTGATTATTGTAAGATGGAGCTAATATCTATACTTTGGTTAGCTCTTGGGTTCCTTGTTACTTTATATGCAACCTTAATTACCCTATTTGGTCTTGCATGGGTGTTATTCTTGATCGGTAGGTATTGTCTTATGCCTTAATTAGCTATTGACCCTTAACTAATTAGATAAAAGGCTGGATATATGTTGGTGACCGCCAGTTATACGCTATCAACGTTATAGACAATGTCCTTGTTGCACTTTTTGCCATCGTTGGCGACGGTCTAGCTCCATTCAGAGCCATTGATACCTACCATATGATTTACATTGCCTACTACCATCGACTAACCTGGAGACTTCGCCGGAAACAAGATCTACCAAAGCTCAAAAATCCAAACGATCTTCCGGAAGCACCATTAGAAGATGTCATTAGATCAGCTGCTAAAGAAAATGAGGTTGATATTGAAATGGCAGCTAGAGACGTTATGACTAACAATAAGGAGGCTGAATACTCAGTTTTGACCCCTGAGCAACAGAAGAAACTAACTCACCATTCAAACAAATTCTCCAAATCCCATACATTTTATAAGCCTCATGAGACAACAACTCATCATGCCTTTCCTGTCCGGCTACTGATTGCCGTCGTTATATTATTGGATTTCCACTCAATTTTTCAAATAACCCTAGGTGCATGCACTTGGGGTATTGACTACCGAGTCCGCCCCACCGCCTTAACGACAACCATCCTTTGTTTATCTATATCCTGCAACATAGCATCTGGAATTGTCATTATGGTCGGTGATCGAATGACGAGAAAGAAAGAGGTGATTGAGAAGATGTTGAGACAGCAGCTCACTCAGGAGGCAATCAAGAAAGTTGAGAAGAAGAAAAAGAAGAAAGAGAAGAAGAAGCTGGAGGAAAAGGCTGCTGCTAACTGTATACACGAAGAAGATGAAAGGGAGGATAAGATCGAAACCTCTGTTGATATTGAGAAGCATAAACCGCTGGCGGGATGATACGTTTTTGTACATGATGTTATTGGTTTCTTGTTTGGAAAGAATTCTAGTATATACATTTAATGAGTCCGAGCTGCGATTATGATGAGCGACACTGCTAATTATAATCTAAGGTTTCTCTTCAAGTAACCTCTCATCCCCTTTAGCTCTTCTTCAAGTCTATTGTCAATCCAGCTCTCCCTGGCAACAACCTTTGTTTCTTCCTCCCTGCTTTCATTCCCACTTTTTCTCTTTCGATTGAGTGACATCCTTCCCAGGGGCGCTCGCTCAGAGCGAAGAATCTCTGCCCTTTCAAAATCAATAACTAGCACATTCTCACCCTCTTCACTCCAGAACAAATTTCTCGGCTCTACATCATGGTGAAGAACACCTAGAGCATGAATGGCTCGCAATGATTCTGAAGCTGCGGATATGATTTTGTCCTTTGCAACACTGCATTTTAAGATCTCCGTGCCTGCATGGGCGAGAAGTAAAAAGTGCGGTATGTCTGCAATTCCATCATAAAACATGGGCCGCTTGGATACATCGATTGTGCCGAGGCATACAGGGACATGCACACCTTGAACCGGCCGTAGCTGGTTGTAAAGGGCTTGTTCGTTTCTGAGGTACTTGCCAAACTCTGGCGGGAAGCCTTTTCCTATAAGAGTGTAACCGTACTTAAAGAGGATGACTTCAAAGAGTGCACCACGAGCACCATGCCTATGAAGTGATTCACAACCCAGAGGCTGAGTCCAAGGGCTTACTATTTTTTGTAGTATCTGCGCGAGGAGGAGAGAGATGAACATGGAATGGTCGATTTGATGGACTTCTGTACCGTGCTCTTTGACATTGGGACAGGCCTTATCCAGCAGACCGCCGTTCAAGAGACCAAGCAAGCACTTCTGCGTGCAATATCGCCGGGTACCATCCCTACAAACAGGGCCGGTGTAGGATGAATCTGAGGTTGGTGGCTGAGGCGGAGGTATTAGCACCATGACATTCGCTGACCGGCGAGGTCTTCGACTAGGTGAATCATGGTCAGATTCGTCATCTTCGTCGTCTTCCCCGCTGCTATTTTGTTGCGAAGAGGTTGGTTTGCAGGTCGACCGCGAGGAGCGCGATCGGGTACGGACAGGGGTATTCCTAATAACCATCTGGGTACTTTTTGATGGCTTGTAAGGGGTTGGAGGCTGTTCATCTTGCTTTTCATCTTCTTCAGAGGTTGGCAAATATAAATCGCCTTCTGTGATTACCCACACCTTCAATTGACTCATGGCCCAGTCTTTCCAATTCTGATCATGTGGGGTGGTGCGTATCGCTCGAAGCGTAAACGCAAGCACCTGTCCAACAGCCGTCTTCCGTAGCCTGTTGGTATCATTATCTTCACCTTCTTGGTTCATATCTGCCTCAGGAACTGAAAGACGATAATAAACAGTTCCAGGCTCGTCAGTTTTGAAGTGAAGGAAAATTAAGGCTTCACCCGTGCTTATATATCCGTATTCAACGCCAGCCTTAATCATGTAAGAGAAGGCCTGGGTGATGACTGCGGCCACCAAACGACGGTGCCTAATGTTCTCTGTATCATCATGACGACGCTCGACTACCTCATCAAGATCCATTTTTCGTAGTCCTTTTTTAATAGCCTCGAGTGGGAGCTTATGGGGTGGCTTTAGTTCCCCAACCAATGCAGGCTTTTTGGCCTTCTCGCCTGCATTGTAAATGCAAAATTCATCCGCTAGAGGTCTATGAGAAGGCTCGACATTGGTAGGTGTTGCAGCCCCATCGGTTCCTTTCCGGAGCTTTGGCGGACGTCCTCTAACTCCTTCAACCTCCTCGCTGTCGGCAAGACTATTTGCGTGGTTTTCAAAGGTAACCTGTCCTTGAAGTCCAAATACATGCCTGAGTCTCTCACTTTCAAAGAAGGCCTCTATGATCGACCCTACAGGCTCTGTGATGGCATCCCGCTGGAAATAGCGAAGGTCGAGTTCTGAGGATATATTTTTCTTTGTTTTCTTTCCTATAGTCATCATTCCATGCAATGAATCAAATTCAAGTTGTGCAATAAATCCTTTATTTTCTTCATTCAGCAAATGGTCCCATATTTCCGCCTGTTCATCGTCAAATGAACGCCATTTACGGATGCGATGGGGACGGAATTTGCCTCTAGCATTGTCGGCACTTCCTTTGGTGGAACTTTTCAACGTTCTAGGGACAAGCCCGCTGAAAAGATAAGTATGGCAGGCATCAAGGTATTCAAAGAGTGTCAAGGGGCGTAACTGTTCTTCGAATGTCTGCTGAAGCTGCTCTGCTTCTTGTCGAGCCCTCTCTGCATCTTGTCGAGCCCTCTCTGCTTCCTGTTGAGATCTCTCTGCTTCCTGTTGAGCCCTCTCCGCTTTTTGTCGGCGTCGCTCTTCGTTCCTCAACTGCTCACGCAGCCTCTGAATCTCGTCATCTGCCATTAGACACGGTATTTGGGGGTGTACCGTTTGCAATAGATAGTGAAGGAATTGCTAAGGCAGATGTTGGCATAAAAGAGGCGTATGTCTGCTCTCTTATAGACGGAGCATGTCAGAGCGAGAGCCTCCAGGCTGCTGCCTGGCGGTCAGGTGATTGGACCTTACCCAGTCCCTTGATACCTGGGTACCTAGTCAACTATCAATATAGAGCCAAAAGAGTGAGCCCACGCTGTGGCTGGTAAGTGGAAGTTATCTTTTGACATTGACTCGGGTATCACTGGTAGGATTTTGGGGATGGTCCGAGATAACTACAACGACTTAACTAGTTAGTCGGTTAATGTCTTGACTGCCGAGGTAACACTCTAATATATACATGAAGGGTGAGAAATAAGGCGTAGGGAGAAGAGTGAATAAATAATGATAATTGAATGGTGAGATGTTGACAGAATGGGCTATCGATGGTAGTTAGGAGGATTAGCCCGTCGGCCGGCGCCTCTGGATGCGGAATGGGTGGCGACGGCGCTTAACTAGCTACCTAGTTATGTAACCAGTTAAAACTTAAGGCGATGGCCAAACGCCGGCTCCGATATCTCGTCAAGCGATACTACTCGTTACAAATATTATTTAAATAAATATTAATTTTATTAAATTGAATACATGTCGTATTTAACCAAAGACTCTGCCATCTTATTAAAAAAAAAATTCAGATAACTATGGAAACTAAAGACCCTCCCGAATAACCAGCCATATCTCGCCGTGTCAAAGTGAAAGGGACCTAACTCTAGACATGAGGGCATCTCTAACTACAGAAGGGGGGAAAATGAGTCCAGCAAGCAAGTAGAAAGACAATCTAATATGTGTACCATAATGATCCAACACCAGAAAACCCAAACCAACCCAACACCAACTGAGAAATTGTAGATCTGAAAAGGAATTCACTTAGTTCTGCGCATCAGTCACTGTAAAAGTGAACCTAGACTCAAATCCTTCAGCTTGCTCGACTTGAACCTTCTGGCCCTCGGGAATCATGTCATGCTGAAGATCCCAGCCAGCGCGTCGACAGAGCTCGGAAACAACGACATCGCAGTCTCCCAGCATGTCGACATCAAATTCGATGTGAGAGACAGGCTAGACAACATCCGTTAGAATACTGAATCCACTATAAAGTCTGCTGGGTAAAAATACTAACAGTTCGCGAGATGTGAACTTGAGGAACATCACATGGTATGATTCCGGGAACTTCTGCAACAGGGGCGACTTTAAGAGATGTGCCGATAACGATGACGAGGTCCGTGAGCTCTCTATCATGTTCTAGCAGGCGTTTCTTGAATATATCTGGGAGCTCTTCGCCAAAGAACGTGATGTCAGGCTGGAATGCATTAGTTTTCGGTTATACCGGTTTAAGGATGGGTGAAGTAAACTTACCTTCATTACTCCAGCCGTAGGAAGCGTATACCCATCGTTATCGGAATCATCGTCAAAGGCGGACTGAGACCGAGACCGGGACTGCCTCATATTGCCGTTCGAATTACGTTTGCGCTTCAGGCCTCGAGGCTTGGCCTGCAATCTTTCTTCACAACGCGCACATTTAGGGATTTCGCCCCGTCGGATAGTTTCGAAGAGCTGCTCGCCCGGAACTTGATGTTTGCAATCCATACATGAGGCCGTGGCGAAGGAGCCATGACATTGTATCATCTTTTCCGGCAGTATGCCAGCAGCACCTTCAATATTGTCAATATTTTGTGTGAAGTTGGTCAGAAGCTTGCCTTTATCCTGTAGTAGGCGGATGAAGGCATGTGTAGGAGAGTATCTCTTCTCTGTGGGTAATATATCCTTGGCTATAGAGTAGAAGATACTTGGATCTTCACGGAAGACTTCAATATCAAAAACCTCCTGGGGGTCACTCAAGCCGAGATGCTCCAGCTTCGAGTAGAGTCCGGTATCTTTTGATCGGAAATCGGGTATCCCGAGACTTGTAGATATCTACAAACGTCAGTTTTTGATGCTATACGGCTTCTGGACAGAGATAGCTCACCCCTGCGCCCGTAATGACAATGATATTCTTAGCTTTCTGCATCAGCTGAACAACATCATCAATTGTATTGTAATCTGGCAGCTTGAGGCGTTTTGAGCTTTCTCTAGACATGCCCAGGGACAGGAGCGGGTGATATGCCTTGTCCGGGGCGCCTTCAAGGAAGGACGGAGGCATAATTCCAAAAGCCGTACACAGCGTTTTCGCGCTGACTGTGCCCCGGCCCAGTGTCTCTGCAATAAAAGCAGCCTGTCCTATAGAACGGAGCCGTTTGCGATACGCCATTGCTTCCTCAAAGGTGCATGCTCCGGGCACGACTATGGTGCCAGTTAGTAAGGAGTTAACTAGACCCGGCGAGATATAAATGATGAAAGCGAGACTCACCACCGCCGCGCAGGTGCTCATCGCTGATAAACTGCAGCGCGTCCTCATAGAGCGAAGCAGTCTCCCATTCCTCGCTGGAGTCTTCCTCCTCGCTCTCCTCTGGTGGATACGGCGCGTCCTCTGCGGCCACACGCTCGCTGCCGCCAGCGTCATCCGCTCCTGCAACGAGAGCGCCCTCAACCCCTTCGTCACCGGCCGGCGTCGCCATGACGTCCATAATCGGCTGGAATGACACGAGCCACAGCTCAATGGCGTTGCGGACTGTTCAACCTTGCTGAGAAATACGGTGCTTCCCGCTGGTTGACCAGAGTCGGAGGTTTGGGATTATCCGCGCTTCTTACTAAGGGCGTAAGCGCCAGCAGACTCAGTGGCTGCGTATCTATATTTATAGCCATTGCTTGCTTTGTTTACCTATTTCTTTTATTTACGGACGTCTTCATACGTTGAATGGAGCATGCAGGGGTAGAAGAACCAAGCGTATTTTCTTTTTTTCCCTTAGGAGTCTGCCATGTCATGATCATTACCTGAATCCGAGTCAGTATCATCCTCCCATACGTCATCATCGCCGACTTCATCGTCTCCAGAGATGCCCAGTTCATTCTGGATCTCCTGGACAAGCTCAATTGCATGTTCTTTGAGCTTCTCATCCTCATAGCCGACAACTTCACATAGCTTCAAGGCCTGCCTGAGCCATTTCCGGCTGGTCAGGAGAGTAGAAGCTAGTTGCTCCTTTGTCTCTGCATCCACCTCTCCCTGACTCTGTTTCTGGTCCTTTTTGCTTATCAAATAAAGACACCATCCGCCGAGATACCATGTCTCAATGCTCTGGTCGTCTTCAAACACCATTCTTTCAAGAACTTGAAGCGCCTCATTTTCCATTTCAACCTCCATTAGTAGGCGAGATAAGCTTATTCTGGATGGGAAATCTGGTATAAGTGTGCTTTCCGGCGGCTCGTCTTTCCATATATCTAAACTTCTTGATAGCGCTGCTTTGGCATCGTCGAACCGGAGCTGGGATATCCGTATCGATGCTAAAGTCTGTAAACACTCTGAGGAATCTGGGGCCACTAACAGTGCCTCTGTTATGAGAGCTTCGCATCTACTCTCTGCGTCTTCTTCCCATCTGTTATCCAGTTAGTTGCGTGCGTTTATCCGCTGTCAGGAGTTGAATATACTCACGATAGATCCGTCATATATATCTCCACCACTCCACAGAGCGCATGTGCAAGCCTTTTCTTGAACCCTTCCCTTATCTCCTGAGCAACTTCATCATTTTTCCCCTCAAGAGACTGTAGATTTCTCTTCAATGCGCCTACACCTCTCTCAAACCACCGCACACTGTCCTTGCCGCCTTCTGCGCTCAATTGGGCCAGCCATAAGAATTTCTCTGCGCCTCCATCGATTGTCTCGTCTATCTCACCCTCTGGATCCAGCTCAACGGCTCGTAGAAAGCTTTCTCGTGCAGAATCTATTTCACCCAGCTCGACGTATATCTCTCCTATCAGGTTTAATCCAACTAGGTATTTCGGTGAGTCGGAAGGTATGTTTTTAAGAGCTCGTTCGACAAGTGGCAGTGCCTTGCCTGGTTGGCCGGTCTGTATCAACACTGCTGCCTCTTCGAACAGGGTTTCAGGGTTCTCCATTGGTCTCGTTGACATCCCTTTTGTGCCGTGGAGGACCGACTCGCGGGTTTTCTTGGACTGTTTCTTCGAGGGCTTGGTTTTGGCCATTGGCTTTATTGTAGTCTCTGATGTCGCTATAGGTATTAAATAGGGTAGTTGAAATGGTCCATTAGGTGTGTCAATGGTATGAATTAGATTTTTTTTGGAATTAATTTGTCAACTCAGCGTCGAGATATGATGCTTCTGTGGAATTTTGAGAAGTTAAAGATAAAAAAGTAAAATAGAAATAAAAATCAGCCGCATGTTTGCCTTGTTTGCATTTCGATAACAAACCCGATAACGAAAGACGACGAAGTAGAAGAAATTCAACATTTTTGACGGGACAATCAAGGCTTGATATAATCAAAGCTAATTAGACTGTCTATCGTTCAGGCTTGTGCCTGTCCTTATGGTGCAAGATGGGCCGTGAAGAGCAGGCGGAAGAGAAGGAGACGCTGCAGTCTATCTTTCCCGATGAGCTGACGGGTAAACCAAGAAAACTCCTGCTCGAACGACACGGAAGAGTTGACGGCTAACAGACGGTTAGAAATCTCCGATAACTCATATCGCATCTCTATACGCCTTGATGTCACGTCCCAAGATGGCGAGGAGGTTGAGCCTCCGACACTTATCCTACAAGTCACATATCCAGAGGACTATCCCGACGTAGCCCCTCGACTGGAGCTATCCACCCCTCCCAATGCGCCCAAATACCCCCATCTCGACATCCAGGAAGACCGAGCCAGGCTGCTGGAGTCACTTCAGTCGACAATAGAAGAGAACCTGGGGATTGCCATGGTATTCTCGCTAGTCGACTCTCTAAAAGAGGGAGCCGAGCTGCTCATCTCAGAGCGCCAGGCCGCCATACAGGCCCTGAAGGACATGGAAGCGGCCAAGGCAGAAGAGGAAGAGAACCGGAAGTTCCAGGGTACTCGGGTGACTCGTGAGACCTTCCTTGAGTGGCGGGAGAAGTTCATGGCCGAGATGAAGGAGGCTGAGGAGAGGAGACAGGAGGAAAAAGAGGCGGAAGAGAAAAAGAAAAAGGGCGCTAACAAAGAGCCAAAGAAGTTGACCGGCAGGCAACTTTGGGAGAGAGGAATGGCTGGAAAGGGAGACTATGAAGACGACATGGATGACTCGATACCTGAGAAGCTCGGGAAGGTTGAATTAACGGCTTAAGTCACTCTGCTCTCAAGCGGCATACTTGCACCTGCCAACCTATAGGATCCCTTTGGCGGACATAGAATACTATAGACGGCGCTTTGTGTGGGCTCAAAATGTATGACAAACCACCGCTAGCCACAGGGATCCCCTGTGAAGCAGGCATTCTATAACAATTAGCCAACTACGCATTCCATTGGCCTCTTCTCGGATCAAATTGAACATGGGAACAGTAAAGATTGACCAAATCCTCTCGGCTATTTAAAGTGCCTTTTTTTACTCCGCTCCCAACACGAGCATTTTACGTCTTAAACAAATTCTACATATTCTACATAGGCAGATACACAGCTAGACATAGACGATAGATAGACACCATGGTCAAGTTCTATCCGTCCATCGAGCCCGATCACCGGGAATGGATGCTCAACCAGCCCGTCTTCTTCGTTGCCTCTGCCCCCAGCTTCGGGAAACACATCAACATCTCGCCCAAGGGCCTGCCGTCGACCTCTCTCGCCATCCTCTCGCCCAACCAGGCGGCCTATGTCGATGCTACGGGCTCAGGCAACGAGACTCTAAGCCATGTGCGTGAGAATGGCCGCATCACAGTCATGTTCTGCTCCTTTGAATCGTCACCGCGCATCCTTCGGCTCTTCTGCACCGGCAAAGTGATCGAGTTCGATGACCCAGCCTTCAAGGGCTGGGTCAGCAAGATGGGCGTCTCAGACAGATATATTCCTAGCGCCAGGGCCGTTATTGCGCTGGACATATTCCAAGTATGCTCTACAGTCTATGTTTATGTTTTATTTTATATTTATTCTACGATTAGTGAGTCACTCCGTCCTAACGTTCTCCAGGTGCAAACGTCATGCGGCTATGGAGTCCCTCTCCTGGCCCTCCGGACAGACGCAGAGACAGGCGCCGTGAAGCCGTATCTCCAGGACCGGGACACCCTTGTGGACTGGGCTGAGAAGCAGGCTGAGAAGAAACAGCTGTCCAAGTACATGAACGCGTGGAACGCGGAGTCCCTCGATGGGCTGCCAGGCCTGCGCGCCGCCATGATTGCTCGGGGCCAGTCTGACGCCGCCGTCAGCCTGTCCATTGCACTCTGCAAGTACCGTCGGCCACTGGAGATCGTCTCTGCCGTCCTGATGGCTGTCCTCGCCCTCTGGCTGGCCGGGTGTTTGAAGCAGCCGGCCTTTTTCGGTCGTACAGGTGTCATATTATAAATTAACATGCATGAGTTAAGCAACATTTTTGATTCAGCTCTGGCCCACGCCCTGGGGTCTAATTCGCCTGTAATGTCTATACGAAGGCCATACGAAGATCGGTGGGATTAATTAGTCCGACTGGCCGTTGTTGATGTGTAATCCTCAGCTCCTTCGTGCGGGGCGGTTGGAAGCTGTAAATATTTATAGTTATATAAATACCCGTCCGTTGAGGGACAACAGTTAGGCAACCATTCAATCAACCATACCATCAGCTATCCATCTAATACCACACAAGTAGTCAAGTACCAGATAATTCTCGTTAAGATGCCTCAGTTCACCCTCTATGCCAATCCAATTGCTACGGCGCCAGACCGGATCCTGCTCGCCCTCGCAGACGCTGGCTTCACTGACTTTGAATATGTCAACGTCGACATGTCCGCCAAAGAGCACAAGGTCTGTGTATATAGTCAATGCAGCATCCAGTGCATTACTCACTGACCTCAATCAGACTGCTGAATACCTTGCCCGCAACCCCTTTGGCAAGGTCCCAACTCTCGTAACCAGTGACGGTGTCACGATGTACGAATCCCGCGCCATTGCCCGCTTCCTTTGCACAAAGCTCAACCTTCCTCTTCTCCCTAACCCTGCTACCGCTACCGCCGCCTCACTCGCCCTCTTCGAACAGGAGCTTTCTTGCGAAATCTCTTACTTCGAAACCCCCGTCTCCGGCATCATCTGGGAAACCTTTATTAAGCGTGTGATCGGCATGGAGACCGACAACGCTGCGGCTGCTGAGCACAAGAAGAAGCTGGAAGAATACTTCGATATCGTGGAGGCTAAGTTCAAGACTTCTGGTAAGAAGTTCATGGCTGGTGAGGAGTATTCGCTTGTAGATGTCTATTATCTTCCCTTCTTGGCTCGTCTGTTTGACCGTGGTTTTGGAGATGTGGTTACCTCTCGACCTCAGATCAAGGCTTGGTGGGACCGTTGCATGGAGAGACCAAAGACCAAGGCCTGGATCGATCAGTCACCAAAGTTGGACGCCATCCTGGCCTCCAGAAAGTAAGCAGCGGATGATAGTTTGAAAAAGGCCGTGGTGATATCTCAAATGCATCTTCAATGAATTAACAGCGTTCGCATTTGTTGTTAATAAACCTTTGTATCTTCCTCTATAGCAGATGTAAGGAGCTGATATTCTCTTGGTGCCGTCGTTGCCTCAGAATGTCATGATTAGACAGCTAGTGCCAACATCAAGGTCGCCTCGTAGATTCTGAAGAGCCGGTCTTTGTCTCGTCAGCCTGGCCCATTTTCTCCCTTTGACGGGCCTCTTTCTCGGCCAATCGTCTCTCGGCCACGACAACATTCCACATCTTCCTTGCCAGTTCGAGGTCCCTTTCGTCTCCATTCTTAATCGTCTCCACCACGCGGTTGATATTCTGCTGGATGGCTTTATCCCAAGAATCAGTCTCCGTTCTCGAAGTGATTTGATCCCACAAATCTTCATCCTTTGCAAATAGCGAATCGACACCCAGCTCTTGCCTGCGCAAAATATTCTTCCATCGAGCATCCTGTCGGATCTGTATAGCAACGCTTAGATTCTTTGGTTGGGGTTTCTTGATTCGGAGGAATGGAATTCCACGCGCACAGGCGAACCGGGGTACACGACGGATACCGGAAACAGTTGGGTAAGGACGTGCCAGCACCGATTCTAGAACTCGTTTGGCGCTGAACCGACGTTTGTTCTGCTTCTTCCTTGCATCTTCAAGCTCTTTTTCCTCGCGTTCACAGGCCAATCGGGCGCATTTCTGCTTATACCTCTCTAGGAAAGGTTCAGTTCCAGCTATGAGGGAATCAACTCGTTCTATGCTTGTGGCATCTCCCTTTTCGCATGACTTCATCAAATTCAAAGCCTTGAGCGGTAACAAATGGTAAGTAATGGCGTAGATAAGGATAACAGGCTAGGGAAGCTACCTCATAGCCGGCTTTCAAGGACTTCTCAATTCGACTAGGGCTCTCAATTCGTTTATCTAGATGGAATCTAGCTTGTATTAGCGCTCGGATATGCGATGCTTTCGAGCGTGTGAGCCAAGGCTTTGAGCATTGTGAGAGTAAGGCGTGGTAGAGAGAAAGACCTGCATAATGGATCAATCAACACAAGCTTCGAAAGCCAGGAACAGACTGCTTACACGCTAAACGGTGGACACCAGATTGTGTTGGGTGCAAAAATCGGGGCATCAGGACACCGCAATATTTGGTCACTAGCCACCTTTCGAGGAACGGCTGGCTGCGATGTGATGTTGCATTATTGTGAATCTTCACGTCGACTCGAGATGCAAAACTTCCGACCAAGCACGAAAGCCAAAGAAATTTATCGCGGTCACGTGGTTAGTTCTTATCTTATCGCGTATTTGCGTATTTTGTTCCCCCTCATGTCAATAACCCTAATGGATATATTCTTCTTCACGATGACAGTTGAATTGTTTACTATCACAGTTGGAGTTCCAAACTCCGCTAAATGAAACCACGCTTAAATTATATATGCAAGTATAAGATGCAGAGAGATAATGATCACCGGGGCGTGCTCTCAACCTCAAAGTAATTATCCGGTGGCGGAGAGGGGGGTTTAGAAGGTAGTCCCTTCCTGTGGCTGAGGGAGCTTCTTGTGTTGTGGTAACGCCATGTATCTAATATTCATAGGCTTTTTAGCTAAACTCCTAAGCTGTACGGTCAGATTTGTTAATTTCCTACCTTCTGATTTCAAGAAGCACAGTCTCCATGGTATTCTCGCGTTTCCACTGGGCCAGGCAGGGAAGCTTAGAAGGGTCAACCTGAAGAAATTAATCAGTTAGAAAAAAAAGTTGCGTAAAAGTGATATATCGTCATGTCCGTACCTTGCCGGTCTTTGGGTCAACACATGGCAGGTTTACTCGTGAAACAAACTGGATCGTGGGGGGCATATCTGGGTATTGATCTCCACAATGAATGTTGACGCTGTATATCCGGTTCTCGTGTACGCTCTATTCGCCTCCATGATTAGAAATGGAAGACTTGGAGGGTTGAGGAAATGGCTTGAGATGGGAAACACTGACATGCGGCGGGCCTAGGATTGTGCCGTTCCAGTTCGTCATCATCAAATCGTCACCGTCCGCTAGGCCATACGAGCACGCCTCTATTTTCAAGTTAGAGTTAGCAATAAATGTCGGATGAAGCGGCATATTGGTTATGAATTCGCATACCAGGGCCCATTCCCTTCTCTCCCTTCTCCAGCTCCTCTAGTAGGCGAAAGTTTCGAGGGACTTTAGCCGTCATGTTTGCGATGGTGACAGTAGTATTGTATGTTGTATGTGTTTACGCGCCGGTAACTTCTCTATGAGGGTGCGCAGAAGTAAATCAGGCTGGCGCACGGTAGACTCTCTGATCTTCTTCCTGGTTTGCTCTTCGAGTTTTGTTTTTATATCGTCAGGCTCGCAACTTGCATCTCGCCAAAAGTCACTCTCTGCAGAAGTCATGATTACTAAGGAAATTCACGTGACCGTGTCGACACCCGATGTAAATGCGATTGGAAGTTGTATCACGAACGAACAACATTCCATCTAGCATATTTTGGCTGACTTGCTCCAGTGTGAGACCGGTTATTTATCAAGGCGTCTTTGGTGGATATTTACAGGGGAATGGCTTGATTACACAGATAATCCTTGCATTTTTACGACTCGCAATCCTTGCTTGATGAGACGCCACGTACATTATGCCCAAATTCGATATCTGACATGACGTCCAACAATTTGCAGGCAGAGCTATCAAACCTGATCCAGGAGTCTAAAAGGAAGCACTCGGACCTCAAAAATGTCTGTTCATGCTCGTAGTTACTTCTTTCAATCATATATGAATTACGCGTGGTGCTGGTGTTGACCCTTAAAAATAGGCAGCTGAACAATCACTCGCAGAGCTTAAAGCTCTACCATCGACATCTGAATCACAGCTAGCGGCAGGTTGGTCTGCTCCTATGTGATATTATCAGTTCTTTAGACCCTATACTGAGCTTCCAAGAGACTTGGCCAGAAAGCCTCAGTTTGCCAGGCCATTTGTTCTAGCATGCCAAACTCGGCAAACCCGCCTTGCTGCTATCGGGGTAACGAATCTTCAAAGGCTGGTAACTATTGGTGCATTGCCTCACGAACGCTTAAAAGATGTACTCCAAGGGTTACATGAAACAGCAAATCTGAGTTCGTTCATACCCGCTCATGTCCTAAATTGGCCACCACTTACTTCTACAATAGGTCTTGAAATACAGCTCAAAATACTGCAAACATTACCGTCTCTGTTTCGGTTCTATGCAGATAACCTTACTGGCGCTCTTCTTGCCAGCACGCTAGAGATATGTGCTACTCTACAAAACAGCAAGACCACAGCAGTATCGAACACAGCCGCTGCCACTCTCCAGCAATTAGTCATTGCTATTTTTGAGAAGGTCTCTCAGGAAGATAGTTAGTTTTTTCCCTGTAACCGCTACACCGTGTTAATTTAAAGTAAACTAACCTCAAAAGGTGCAGGTAAAAACGGGAGTGATGTATCATATACCACTATTTCCGTTGAAGGCCAGAAGCTCGAGGTCTCTACATTTAGTTACGATGCCTTTCGGGTAACTGAAATTCCTATGTCCAATTGAAAGTGATATAGATATATATACTAACTTTCAATTGCCTAGATACTAGAAGATTTGTGCCGCCTGCTCGAGGGTGAACAACTCACATACTTGAACATCAAATCGCTCTCTAAGATTTTCATACTGGAATTGATTGAAAGCATTCTAGTCAATAACACTTCCATTTTTGCCAACCACCCAGAACATACACAAGTCCTTCGGCATAGACTATTACCTTTGGCAGTCAGATACCTGTCTGAACGTCAGTCATTTTCCTTGACTGTCCGTGTTGCGAGGATAGCACTATATATTTTGAAAGCCCACTTATCCTTGTTAACCGTTGAATGCGAGGTAATCCTCTCGCTTTTGATTCATCTAATCGACACAGAAACTTCTTTGCCCTGGAAGCGGGTGCTTTGCATGGAGATCTTTAGGTCCCTATATACCGAACCGGGTATCATCCGACTTATGTATACGCTCTTTGATAAGGAAGAAGGTCGCAAAGCTGTACTAAAGGATCATATGTCATGCCTAGTGAGGCTTTCCTCTGAAAAATCTTCACTGATCGGCCTTGGCCATCAATCCACGATACCATTAGCACCACAAACAGGCAAAGACACGATGGAAGATCAGGTCACCCTTGAGTCAGTTGGAGTGAGTGGCATAATCGGGAGCCCGTCGAATAAGTCAGAGATGTGTGGCATTAGCACTCAGTGGAGCCTCCTTCGAGTGCCATATATTGAAACGCTCGACAAAGTCGACTCTCCTTCACCTCCAGATACATATATATACAGTCTAGTACTCAACTGCATAGCAGCGTTCTCCGAAAGCATGGCGAAGTTCATCATCCCGCTGGCTGTTGCTGAATCGAAGAGCAAGCGGAAACGCAATACCTCAAGTTCAGACAAGGAGCGCAATTCCAACCAGCAGGACGCTGGTCGCAAAGAGCCGACGGGAAGATCATCCATTCCTCCAAATCCTCTTGAGTTAAACTCCCATCCTCAAATTTCTGATATTCAAGCAACTGCTGGTATCATCGAGGTCTGCTGGCCAGCGATACTGGCCACTTCGTCTACTTTCTTATACGCAGCGCTAGATGGAGAATTTTACCACTCCCTGGTCCGAGCATTCCAAAAGCTGGCTCATGTTGCCGGTCTGTTGAGGCTTGCAACTCCCCGGGATGCGTTCCTGACGACCCTTGGGAAAGCAGCAGTACCTACGGATCTCCCAGGGCCCAATCCTGATGGTAGCACTCTTAACTCGCCTGTTATCGATAATACCAACCAACGACCAAGTGTTTCAGAGGCCACTAACTCGCCTGTCGATAGCCCTATTCATATGCTCAACACCAGGAATCTACTATGCCTACGAGCACTCTTAAACTTAGGTATCGCTCTTGGGCCAACTTTGGACCGCGATGCTTGGTCCATCATTCTTGAGACTCTCCAAAATGCAGAACTAGTCATCAACGCAACAAGTTCGACCTTCGTATCAATGCCAACGGACCCGGCCCTAGAGGCCAAGAACTTGAACTCCGATACCCCAAAATCCAATCTTGGGCCTGAAATCATGGCTGTACAGGCAGTAACCAATAAACTTTGCGAAAGCACAGGCGATTATACAAACTCTGCATTCAAAACCTTTCTCATGACTTTGTTGAGCTTGCCTGAAAGCTTTATGAAGGACTCAGAAACTCCTTCTAGTCAGAAACAATCCTCGCCTCTTCTCACGCAAGGACAAAATGGGGGAAGAATTCACCAAAATAAACGCAGCTTGTCTGTGGCACTAGGGCGCAACAGGGTGCGCGAGGATGAGTTGAAGTTTGTGCTAGAGAAGACACATGCCGTTGCCAAAGCAAATATAGAACGGCTTTCTCTCTCAAAGGACGAAGGTATATGGGAGCTTCTGGTCAAGAATCTTTTGAAAACGATCCAGAACGATCAGATTAGCTCCGCACTACGCCTCAAGGCCAGCGACGTGACTAATACGGTGATCTCAAATACCATCAAACTCACAGAATCTACTGAAGAAGAGTCAAGGAATAGTGTTCAGCTTCGTGGATTACACGCTTTGAAGTCGCAATCATCCATTCCATTCCATGGGAGGCGGTCAAGCTCTTCATCCCGTGCGGTGGACCTAGAAGTCCATGAATTTGCTCTCGAAACCTTGAAGTCTATTCTGGAGGGTTCCGGTCAATCAGTCGTTGCAGGATGGAATTTGGTATTTGAGTTAATATCAAGCGTATTTGACAATGAAATACAATCTCTTACGGAGACCGATGAGAACCAAAGACCAATCCAGCCAACACCCAACAACCCGAAATTGGCAAAAATAAAGTCTCAAAAACTCCTACGAACTGCGTTCGACTCCCTGCAACTCATAGCATCGGACTTCTTATCACTACTTCCAGCTTCATGTCTACTTGAGCTTGTAGAATGTTTCTACAGCTTTGCATCTCAAAAGGAAGATTTTAATATCTCACTAACAGCCACGACGTCATTCTGGAATATATCGGACTTCCTTCGAGTTCAGATCGATCGATTCTCTTGTGAAGATGAGATTACTGTTTCGACCAGTGAAGCGCAGATTGTAGAGATTGCCCAAAGCCCATATAACTCTTCGTCAACAAGCGCGCTGTGGTTACTCTTGCTTCTGAGGATGGTTGATCTCACAGTCGATACCCGCACTGAAGTACGAAACAGTGCGATCCAAACAATGCTTCGAATATTGGATAATTCAAGTGAACAGTTATCCCCCGCTATATGGCACCTGTGCTTAAACAAGATACTTTTTGTTATGGCAGAGGCTGTCCAAGCTAAGACTGCTAAATCTATGGGATCTTCGCCGGAGAATCCCGAAGAGCTGAAGCCCTGGGTGGATACTTCAGTGTTATTGAGCAAAGGTCTATCAAATCTTATCGCTACCTATTTTACTACAATTATCAGGAGCGAGGATTTTCATAAATCTTGGACAAGGTTGCTCCTTTTCTATGAACCACTTATCAAGCTAGATTCGCTGGATCTTAAGGAGGCCATTTTCTCGAGTTTGTCCCAAATACTCTCCTGTATACAAACACCCGAAGATATTGGTATCAACTTGGTTCAACAGGCCTGGGATGTTTGGGCGAATGGTAATATAGTTTCCAAAGATGTGAAGCCGGACTATGAGCATTCGAACCAGAGTGGGCTGCTGGCTTACTTCAAAGCCTACAGGCAGCTCTACAGGCTACTTAATAATCACTTGGGTGAACAGCAGATACTCGATGCCTTACAGAATACCCAATTAGCGGTTGAACAATCGATCCATTCCAAATACTCTCCGGATATCGAGACACCCTCCGAGTTACAGACTCAGATACTAGAGTGTTTTAGGACCCTTTGTGCTGATAAACCCAACTCACAGTCGGCAATCATGGATAGCCTTTCCACTTTTTTTCAACTGCCCATGGTCAATTGGACACCACAAGCTGACCGAGCCAAACCAACCTTTGTTGCGCTATCCAAATCCTCAATGAAGCTTTTAAGCTGGTATATAGGCGAAAATGGATTGAAACCTAATGTCCTGCCGGATGGTGTGCTGAGCAACACCCTTGAACGACTGACGTCTCCAATATTTGGCAAGTACAAGTGGCTAGGCAAGGATGGCAGTCCACCGCTATGGCAGACGGCAACGACGGCTTCTCTAGACCTCATAGAAATTGCTGTTGGATACGTTGAGGCCCAATATTCGACTTGTGACCGTACTATTACAGAGCGCTTTTGGGCATCGGTAGTTGAGGTCGTAAAAGCAGTTGTCTCTTGCGGAGAATACACAAATCTAAACCTAACACCATCAACCTTGTTATCTGACGAGCAATTCGATATTGCTGCCTTTGAACGACTCCGTGGCATGATAATCCCAGCCCTTGGCTCATCATTCGTCTCTCCGAAGATCCGGAGAGACTTTGCCTTTGTTCTGTTTAATTCTTCACATGTCTATCCACCACAGCGATTGGATCTGCCCGATAACTCGGCACAAAAGGAACCTCTCCGCGATCTATATAAGGTCCGACGCGGCCGCACTCATGGCCCACAGCCAACGATGCGGAGCAAACTATCATATGTGCTAGTTGATACGCTATTTGACCTTGCGTCTGTTCGCAAACGGGCCGCAGGAGAGAGCCAAGCTTCATCGCCAAATTTTGTGACACCGTATATATACCTTGCAAAATCTGTGTCACCGTACCTTATCTTACGCTGTGCCTTGCCCTTGAAATCATATATCGCCGACCAACCACTTCTGGGGCTTATGCCACAACCCATAATTTCAAGGAAGGAATTGATGTACCTCCTAACCCGATTGGTTGATTTGAAGAGTGAGCCAACTGCCATCCCAGCAGCTGGTCCTAGCGTTCCTATAGGGGGGCCAAACGACTCCCCAGACGACGACGAGGAGGATGAGGAGGAAAGCGGTAGCTCCACAACAGCAAGGTTCAAAAAACATCTTGGGTGGATGTATCCCCTTGTTATCCGTGCAATAACAGTTGCCGGCAAAGAATCCAAAGATCGTCAAGTTCTGGATGCGCTGACAAAAGTCTTAGAGGGCATACAGGGGTAGTGACTGGCCTGCTCACTGGGAAATTAGAAGAGCGGTGTCTCCTTTTTCCAATGCCATGGTTGTTTGTTGGATAAGTACATCGTAGATAATCATTCTTTGTTTGAATCACCCTTGATCGGCATTATGATACCAATTTATGTTTGTTGTTTGGCTGAAACTGGGCAGTCGATATCACAAGTACGTAACGTGGGGGTTAGGTTGAAATCATGCTGGAACATGGTCCAGCCGCAATGAGTGAAAATTAACAACAATAAAAAAGAATTACATATTCTCCGGATAAAAGGAAAATTATAAGAAAACAAGTTCGTTAGAGCTCCGGACGCCATCACCTCCTTTTATTTCATATGTTTGCGCGGAGGCGAGAAAAGGAGAAAAACGGGAAGAAATAGGATCAGATTCGGGGAAACACCAGTTTGAGCTATGTCGGCATAGTGGATGCAGGTGCAGATGCAGGTTCAGGTGCAAGTTGGGATGGGGGCGATGCATGGTGCGAGCTTTGCAGGCCGTCTTCCTCATCCTCGCTATGACGTACGGCTTGTTTGCGCTCCGGTGGGGGCACTGCATGTTGTCCATCATGCGGTTGGTTTTCAAGCTGTGCAGCAGCCGCCATTTCTGGAGATTGACGGAAGAGGACAATCTCCGATTGTTTAAAATATCGACGGGCGTCTAACCATGGTCAGAATAGTACATTAGTGGGACAACTCGAGTGGCCGCGCGGTGAAATAGAATCGCGGCACAGAGAGCGAAATGCCTACCTTCGTCGATTAATACAAGGCTGAGATAATACCTTGTCGAGTATTTCTTGTTCACATCTCGGAAGGTGGGAGTTAGATCAAATCCACCTAGGAATAATCTGATGGGTATGGTTTCGCCTAATGCAGTGTCAGTAAAGCTGGCGAGGTAAAGAATTAAGGTGTTCCTGCTTAAACATACCTCTTGATGGAGAACCATCCATAATCTGAGCCAAGAAATAGTCAACAAAACCGCTGTATAGAGTATAGAAATATGAATAAAGGGATCACATACCTCAAATCTTACCAGCGTCTCGCTTTCGTTATACTGATTCGGCGGGGATCCTGTAGTCTCTCGTCTTATAATAGACAACTCCATGTGCTTAATTTTCAACCGAACGAGCAAAAAGTATATTCTTCCCACTATCACGTCCCTCAAGTGATATTTTGACTTCGAATACTCAAATTCAATATGCAGACAGTCCTCAATCCCGACGTCCATTTTAATTGGATTGTTGGACTCCGGCGGCAATCTGTACGAATATACCCAGATGTCCTTCTCGCGCACAACATCCGCAATCCGACGGGAGACCGTTACTCTGACAAAATACCGCAGCTTGACGTTGATTCCGTTGTAAGACTCGTACTGCTTCTCGACATTTTTGAAGTTGAATGGGAATGTCTGCGGGTGCTGTAGTTCGCCAGGAGCAGCCAGTTCTTGGCCCAGGGAGAGGAATTCGTAGTGATTGCCACGATCATAGAACATCTCTGCGCATATACAAGGCCATCATCAGCAGGTGTGCGTACATTTTACTTTATTATCCTTCTTTGGGCAAGGGGAAGGCTTGAGGGGGGGATGGATGAGCCGGAACTGTATAGACGTACCAATCATGCCGATGAACTGCACCTTGATGCCTGTATGCTCCAGTCGTTTGCCATCCTTTGGCCTGACTGTGACAGCACCCTTCACTGACTCCCCGTCAAGGTACAACGGAGCCTTCTCCCGCCGGTTCTTCTCGAGCTTGATGTCGACCGTTTCCCGCTCATCGCCGTCTTCTAGCAAGATGTCGATATCGACGGGTGTGGAGAAAAAGAAAGAGGACATCCTGGTCGCAAATCGCCAGAGATACGTTAATCAGAAGACTTAATCAACCAACACGAGCGCCAGTTGTGTTATTCCCAGCTGTTCTGTTGCTCTTCCAGAGCTGTATTCATGGTGTTGCCTGGGGCTTCTTTGGCTACATTTCGGGTGGTTGATGTAAGACCCGTGCTTATATAATCAATACCCATCCTTTTTTTCTCCTTTATTTGGCTTTTTCCTCTAAATCTTTTTCTACTTCAACGTCAACAAAGGCCAACGTCGACAAAAAAGACAACTTGTATCTTCATTCCTTCGCTAGAAAGACAGAGCGAAGGTGGTTTGTCGGTGTGATAAGGTATTTGCTGCTCGTGAAGGCCGGGCTTTGAATCCTGCTTTCTTTTTTACCTATAACCTCGCGAGGTACCACCGGCGTTCTATAGGAAGATTACTAGTTAGCTCAGCGGTGCTCATCACCAACGCTAGAGACTCGATTGGCAGCTAACAGGATGCAGGATGAGGTGATCAGATGCGATAGTTCATGCTGCTACCCCTTATCCGCTTCCGTATCCGCATCCACTAACCTTGGGAATCTGGGGGTGGCCAGGAATTGGCCGGATTCCATGTTTTCATGGCCCCTTCTCTCTACCTTGACTACTCCGTACGCAGTGCGGAGTACGGAGTACTCGATACACATATAGTTAATATACTCCATACTTCTTCAGGGTTCATAACTAAACATCATAAGCGCCAAAAGACGGTAGCGGAAGCGATGTTCGACATCCGTGCGGAAACGGGAGAGCTGGGAACTTGAAACCGGAGTTTGAATCGGTGTTTCTTATACGGAGAATACGTAAAAGGTCAGCTCGCGATAATGGAAGATACGAGGCCCTAGAAAGGGTGTAATCTCAGTAAGCGAGGGAACCACCACCCATTTGACGTCCCTGAACCGTATAACCTCCCAATCCTGGCCTCGGGAATGAATGAATCAGAACATCCATGCTAACGTCTTTTTGTAGGGAGAATCAATGTCGAAATATCCTTTCGGGAACCGGGCAGCCATCCGCTCGAGTGAGCGAATAACTAATTATAGTCCTTACCCATCATCCTGTACGAAACGCACAAGGCCTATATAGGATATGTCGAGCAAGCATCGAACTAGCCCAATATGCAACCTCGTTGTCGTAGGTATGAATACAACTTGCTGCCTGGCAACGTCAACAGCAAGGGAGAGGGCCAAAATCCCTGTACGTATCCATGCTTAATATGTAATTCGACTTGAAAAAGCAAATCTCCGACAGGTTTCCATCAATGGGATCGTTTTGTGATCACAACCGCAAAATGAAGGCAGGGGGGTGTCAACAAGAGGATACACAGCCATTCCCCCCGCTCCCAGTAAAGTGCTTTGAGGGAACAAGATGTCGAAACGACCGTAAAGGATTGTGGCTCTGTCCTTTGTGGCAATCGTGCAGCGAGGCAACGTGGCAGACAGGATCAAGTTACCAGATTGGACCTTGTCGCCGTTCAATTGATGCCCTGAGGCGGCTGAGATTATGATCTCGACTAGAGGTTTTCGTGTGAACCAACATCTCGCGAAGTGGCCAGCTCCGCCGAATGTGGATAGAGTCCCGAGTATAAGTGCAGAGCACCGTACCAAGTACTCCGTACGATCAGCTCGTTATGTGACAGACTCGTTCTGGTTCGTATACAGAGTAGCTGGTCACCTTCCAAGAGGCGCAGATGCATTATTGACAGAGCTATCATAATGCTCCGTATGGAGTACGTCTAACTATCCTCTACGCAGCCGCAACACTGACCTCATAGTGCATGGGACCAACGACTGGCGTTCTGACCTCCAGTCTCCACGCAGGCCGTTGCGATTTGACTCTTTTCGGCCTGGTAAATGACAATAGTGCAAGTCGCTCACCGTCTCTTCGCACTGCGCCAACTCGCTATGGATGCACCAAGCTGAACTGCTTTTTTCTCCCCTGTGTAGACGAAGTCTTCGAGCCTGGCTTGCTCGTCCGAGGGAAGGGGACAAGGATAACAGGGGCATCCCGGCACGACGGCCGCTGGTTGACTTTCACACATCATATCTCATCTCCATCATCCCCGTTGCTTGGAAAGAGGTACACCTATCACCACGCCTAGTGGTCATGGCCGCGGCGCCAACTCCATCCCGCGGGTCTGTTTGCATGCCATCCTTCCTCCGAGGCTTGGACGATCAAGGCCCTCCGGTCCTGATTCCTCAATATTCTCATCACCAACAACAAAAACCAACACCAACCAATGCAGCAGCCTCCAGGCGCCATCCTCAAAATGCATTCATGCGCCGGCCTTGCATCCTTGGAGATCGGGCCAGCTCCGGCCCAGAACCGTGACTGTGGGTTAGCCCTGTCTGCTTGTTTTGTCATCCCGTTCTCTCTGCCTCCCTTTATCCCCGGCTTTTACGTTCCCCCCACTGGCATCCACCGCGGCCTCTGTCCACCCATTGCCGATGTCTCATGATTGGACTGCGCGTGAATTAAGATTTGCAATAAGACAGCAACCAGAAGTTCTGGACGGATTGTCTCATGGCTTTGTTGAGCTGGGTTTCGTCCGGCGTGGGATGGCTCAAGAGATTTCAGAGCTTAAAACCAACCGTTCGCCCGCTGTTTATTTTTCGTACTTCCTCGTCCTCTCCAGAAGCTCCCTAACTATCCTTTTAATCTCATGTTAACTACTAGCTATAGCTACTCCCTTTGTTGTGATCCAGATACTATCTTGATCGGATTTCTGTGCTTTTGCCAAACTCGTTGTTGACAAAGAATCCGTGCAGTGTGCTACGATATCTTTCTATATCTTGTTTGTCCGGTACAAACATTATCAAGCCGTTCTGAGGCCCATCACAGCTTCACTGCTACCTAAAAGCAAACCGGCTAAAGCAAGCTGATTTCGTGGCTCAGAAATTTAAGCATCATGCTATCCACGGAACAGCCTTCCACTGGCCCTTATATGCCGGCTACTAGGTCACCGCTGCCACTACAGAACAACAGTCGCAATTTTTCCCACCGGTATTCCTCAGCCACAACTTCATCCTCGTCTCTATCTTCCAGTGCTGCATCATACACGGCAAGAACTCAACAAAATCCTCATGCTATGAAGCCACAACATATCTGGATAGTCACGGGGCCGGCAGGCTGCGGGAAGACTACCGTAGCTCAAGGCCTGGCGAAGGAGCTTCATATCCCATACATTGAAGGCGATGATGTATGTACTCAATTAGCTGATCCCTGGACACTTACTTAAGGCAGGGAAATCAATATTCTAACGGTTTACGTAGTACCATTCCAAGTCCAACAAGGAGAAAATGACCAATAGCATCCCTCTGGATGATGCAGACAGATGGGACTGGTTGATTCAGCTTCGTGAAGCTGCGATTAGCGCTTTGACTACTCCATCTTCCTCTTCGGGTTCATATCCCCGGACTTGCCCGCCTGGCGTTGTTGCAACCTGTTCTGCGCTTAAACATAAATATCGCGACGTCATCCGTGTCGCCGCCTATGGCCATCCCACAATAAAAATCCATTTCATTTACCTTCGTGCTCCCGAAGAGGTGTTGCTCCAGCGAGTCAGGCAACGCAAAGGTCACTACATGAAATCTACCATGGTTCATTCTCAATTTGAAATGCTGGAGGAGCCTGATTCCGAATGGGATACGCTCTCGGTAGATTGCGCCGCCTCGCCTGCCGAGGTACAGAGACGGGTCAACTCAATCGTCTTACAGAAATTGGACGAGTATGCGGAATAACCAAACAACACTTTGCGAAGAACCCCCAAACAGAACTATCCAGAACAATAAGCACCTCTAGATGTCAGCCACACGGCGCCATGCAGGCAGAACCGTTATTTCTTTATTTTCTCTCCGGTTCCCTTTTCTTTTTCTCGTCTTTTTGATGCAAGCGATCTCATCGGACCTATCGATTTTAATCCTCCCGCCTTTTCCCGGTTCCCCCATCCTCACTTTCCTTTTCATAGTTTTTTGCTTATTCACATATCGGATTTCAAGCGATCGGCGCACCGGCTGGGAGGCAGAGATTTGGACTAGTGAGAACTACCCAATTATCACCCATTTGAATAATGAATTACTATTTTTTTTTTTATTTTTTTTTTCTGCCTTAACCCTTTTCATTGTACGGAGTACTGCGTACGGAGTATGCTATCCTGCAACTATTTAAGATTGTTATATCCTCTTGTTCTAGACCTTTACTCTACCCCCTCCCCCTCCCTTCATCCCTATTGCTTTTCCTTTGCTTCTCCCTTCCTTTCTCCGTCCTTTGCTTTTTACTGTCTACGTATCTGACCGTCCTCCATGATGGAGGATTCAGTGACAGTCATGAGACCAAATAACCGAATGTGCATTTTTGGCGGGGCCGTGAGCCACTATTCATACTACATATTCTTGCTGTGATATGTACCTGCGATGTATTTTGAACCATTAAAGGGCGCAACTGATTTGCCCCCAAGTCTAGGGCCATATGAAATCAGCAAATTCGTTACCGTCTTTACACATGCAAAATATCCTGGTTGCTCTACATCACAGCCTTGCTCTAGTTAGTGTTAAGCCGGGTATTTTTCCATTTGCTGGCCATATGTTGGATACCAGCACTCACCCTGTCTTCTCGCTGGGGTCCAAAAAATGGGGGTATGACTCTTGTCCTGCGGACCGCAATTGTTGCAGTGATGCAGTGAAAATACCAAAGTGAACACATGTACGCTGCTTCTGCTACTGCTGTTGCTGTTACTACCCGTTTCCATTGCGGAGGATACTTTCAACGGTTATCTCCTGGCAAAAATACCAGACAACCCCGTGAAAGTGCATTGCAGTCTCGGTTTAGAACGAGAGACATGCATATAGCGCTTTTTGAAATTCTCTGCCGTGTTTCTGGGGCGTTTCCTTGCTTAGTACATATTTTATAGCAGGAATTTGTCAAGAACAGTGGGTGATAATGATGCTTTTGAGAATCCTATCACATTTACGAGCTATGTCATCGTCATCCACCCAAATAAGTTTCCTTGATATTCTTGAGGCGGGCCAGTTTGGGCGGCGTTCCTATTTGATACGTCAATTAATTCTCTTAACATCCAACCCGGGTGAGAAGCGGGTGCAGCATGCAGTAGCAGACAGTATGTACGGTACATTATGAGGATGGGCATTCTTTAAACAAAACAAATATGACTAAATATCTAACGAAGGTAAAGTCAAATAAGAACGGAACAGTCAATCATTGTATCCGGTATGGACATATGGCTTGACTCTGGCTCACCAATGCAAGACCTTTAGTAGCAAGGAGGGTTCATCATTGTTGGATTTGGATGGTGAACTACTTACCCTTTTCGGGACTATACAAGCCTGTCAAGACAGCCGAGTGTTTCGAGACACCCTCGATTTTCTTGTCCTAGTATTGGCAAGACATGTTTTATAGCTGAGCTACGATGATGAGTAGAACTCGGCATGTAGTTTTTGGAAGCGTTAACTAACGGATCCATCATGCAGGATTAATCAACAAGCTCCAGATGCTAAATGCCCCACACAATGTAGTGATTCAGAGATTGACCGGATAAAAGCACAAGCATCCACCTGTCCAGGCTGTTACCCACACCCGTAGAGGTGATTGATGCGCTTGAGACGCTGAAGTACCCCGTAGCCTTGTAGTCACGGAATACAGACGTGGATAAAATAACCACAGATCGCCAGGAGACAGGTTATTAGGTTTTCATACCTCCTTGCATGAAACAACAATCCTTGGATCTCCTGGCAGCCAGGGGCTGAGCCGTGGGGGGGCCCTGGCGGCCCGCATGAGTTCTTGTTGAGCCAAGCTTGTCAATAATTTGGGCTTTCAGATGACACTGAACTTTGGAGACAGTCTAACATGGAAGAGAATTCTGTGTTTAACGAGGCTGACCATTTTCCAGGCTATGCCGACAACAATTCTCCCTAGGTAGGATCACGAATACCTCCGATGGAATCTGGAGAATTGTTGATGACGATACTAATGTTATATATAAATAACTAGTATCCTGTCCAGCTTTTCGCTCCTGCTGATGATTCTGTATTTCTTTCGGATATTAACATGCAGATAAACATACATGTTTTTATCATAAAATAAATACCAGCATATTGTGACTACTTTCGGGTTAACCGGTGAATGGGGACCCGCCGAGCGTATGGTTGCCGGGTTTGACTAATCACCAAAAGTGTTGGGCTCGAAAGCAGTGGCCTGATCCACTCCGAGACCTCAATATCTTCGCTCAAGGAAAGTTGAGAAAACTGACGACGATGGATCCCATCATAACCACACCACGGTTGAAGCTGATCCGGCTGACAAAAGCCGAGAGGGAGAGCCCAGAGTTCGAATGGCTTCACCGACTCCACAGCAACGAGAAGTCGATGTTCTGGATGTACATAAGCACTGCCTGCAACCTGATTTGTGTGTAATTGATACTGATTCCATCTAGGCTCGGGGGAACATCAGACTCAGTAGAAAAAACCGAAGCACTCATCAGCAATTACCTGCCGGCAGATGAAGAAGCAAGTGGGAGCTACCGAGCCGTCTACACTGTTCATCGAATCGATGACGAGCCCTCCGAGTTCATCGGCATTGTCACGATCTGCCCACTCGATTCCACCAGCCTCCCGCTGCCAGAGAGTCTTACCATACCAGCAACCGAAGCAGCAACGACTCTGACCGTAGAGGTTGCCTATTCGTATCTCCCGGCCGGATGGGGTAAAGGGTACGCAACCGAGTCGATCAACGCAGTGTTTGAAAGATGCCGACGAGCCCGATCCTTTTGGCTGCCGTTCACGAAGCTTTACGTCAGAGCGATTGTAAACCACGAGAACTGGCCGAGCTTGCGGGTGATGGAGAAGACGGGGATGGTCAAGCGGGGAGTGCACGAATGGAGAGGCAAGGCTGTTTTTGTGGGCGGAAGATGGCGCGAGCAAGACACTATCTGTATCTTCGGCCAGCACCTCTTCGGCGGTGCTGACGATATCTAGCACTCGTCCAAATCAAAAGGAGCTGGAGATGTTTCCGCGGCTCAGAAGTCCCGGTTTCTATCTTTAGCCGAGTTGGTCCAGAAAAGGAAAGGGCCCAGGCACGAACCCCTGCTGACTAAGATGACGCACTTTCTCCGTTTTCGAGTTAGTTACCGACGGCACGGGATGCTTGGCAGGCTTGGTACTCTTGGCATATGACTTGGGCTTCGGTCACGGGACGCAGCCTCATGATGGAGACGCGCGTGAAGAATGGGGAGTGAACAGCCGGGCGATGGGATGGAAGATACCAGAAAACAGCAGAAAAAGAGCGCGAGAAAGGAGGTGGGAATGACGAGGTTTCAGCGGAACAGATTTGCCGAAGATGCATGAGTCAACTCCATTCCCTTGACCGTGAAGTGGGGGCTCTTGCTGGGATAATCGATATCAGTCAGGGCTGAAAAGAGCGGCTCTTCGGCCAGCCCTACGGCCGTGTCACGGGACCCCCGCCCGCGCCTTTTTTCATTCGTATAAACAGTGTGATTCAGCTCCTTGACAGGAACTTGTCGCAACGTCGTCGCCAATAACATCTTACGCCTGAGAAGGCCGCTGAGGAGACGAGAGAATCGGTCCAGGATCTGGCCGAGTGACCACCCCAGATTCATGTCTTACTGGCAAAACACTACGCCCTTTAACGGGGGAGCTGGCGGCTATTACCAGCAACAGCCTCCTCAGCCGCAATACCAGCAACCATACCAACAACCTCCATATCAGCAACCTCCATACCAGCAGCCGTCTCAACAGCCGCCCTACCAGCAGCCGCCCTACCAGCAACCACCTTACCAGCAACCGCCATATCCTCAAAATCTCACACCACAGCCCCAGTACCCATATCCGTAAGTTGCTCTAGAGCATAACTTCAGCCTCGTCAAGATAGCTATTCCACTGAACTGACCGTTTGTCCCAGCGCGCCCTCTCCTACTCCTAGCTACAACCAACCACCACCTCCATCTCCACGTCCTCCGTCCCAGCAACCACCCTACTATCCCCAAGAGCCGCCGCGGGCACCACCATCACCTTACCCCGCGAGCAACGGAAACAGCGGGAACAACCGTCCCACCCCTCCACCACCACCGCAGAGCAGCCAGAGCTTTGGTCATGGCGCACCATCCTCCTACCGATTTAAATACTCGAACTGCTCTGGCCGACGGAGAGCTCTTCTCGTCGGTATAAACTACTTTGGCCAGGGCAGACCTTTGAAAGGCTGTATCAATGATGTTGCGCGCATGTCTACATTTTTGAACCAGCGCTATGGCTACCGGCGCGAGGACATGGTGATTCTTACAGATGATCAAGCAAATCCAATGAGCCATCCAACGAAAGCAAATATGATCCGTGCCATGCAGTGGTTGGTTTCGGGCGCACAGCCAAATGATTCGCTGTTTTTCCACTTTTCAGGTACCCCATCAATCATTGCCCAGTTCCTGTCCCGGCTGTATCCGGCTATGATCCCTGGTTGGATGTATTCATGCTGATTGGTTAACTTTAGGTCACGGTGGGCGTACCCGCGACCTAGACGGTGATGAAGACGATGGTGAGTTTGACACTACTTTATACTGGAATTTGAGAAGGTTAGGGTTTAATAAGTGTCTGTTACAGGATTTGATGAAGTGATTTACCCGGTCGACTTCCAAACTGCTGGCCACATAGTTGACGATGACATGCACGCTATCATGTTAGTATACCTCCAGTCTAGACCGTAACTCCAACTGACAGCTCTCTTCCTAGGGTCCGTCCGCTACAACCTGGAGTCCGACTTACTGCCATCTTCGACTCTTGCCACTCGGGCACTGCCCTGGATCTCCCTTTCCAATACTCTACACAGGTATGTATTATTAAGCTTTAACCCAAAACCAATACTAACTTTCACGCAAGGGTGTCCTGAAAGAGCCGAATCTCGCTAAAGAAACAGCGTTGGATCTCTTGAGTGCCTTCAAAAGCTACGAGAGCGGCGACATCCGTGGCGTTGCCAACACCACCATCGGCTTATTCAAGAAACTTACCATTGGCGACTCGGCTCGTCAGAAAACGCTTAGAACCAAGACCTCGCCTGCAGACGTGATCATGTTTTCCGGCTCAAAGGATACGCAGACATCGTACGTATATTTGTACATTCCTCCTGCTTAACACACATCCCGTCTGACATGCTTTATTAGTGCGGACACTGTTGAAGGCGGCTCTGCGCAGGGCGCAATGAGCTGGGCATTCCAAGAGGCGTTGAGCAAGAACCCGAAGCAAAGCTATATCCAGCTTCTAAACAGCATAAGAGCTGAGCTGAGTGGGAAGTATTCGCAGAAACCGCAGTTGAGCTGCAGCCATCCACTGGGTAAGTTGCTGTCCGGCTTTGGTCTGAACCCTGGTTGAGATAAGTGTGCACTGACATGGTCCACAGATACAAACTTACTTTTCGTGATGTAATGTTCGCGTGGGATAAAATGATAAGATAAGATCAGATGAATGCACGGGCCGTTTGTGATGACGATATGGGATACGTTATGATATGAAATATTTAGCTGGAGTCTGTGTTTACGTTGCGTCGAGGTTGCTGCTACTTACATTTTTTCTTTCTCTTTTTTCTTTTCGATTTCTCTATATAATATATATATGCAGACTGAACTGGTTCGGCTATATTGTTTATTGCTATTCTTATTCTTTATCTCTTGCGCTGTCCGACCTGTATCTGTAGATCGGTATAATATAAGTCTATGTACAATTTCTTTCGCCAAACAACAGGAACAACCAAAAAAAACACCTTGTACAGTCAGGACAGAGGATGATTTATCTCATGTTAAGCATCATGGCATCCGGGTTCTCGACCATACGACTGACAAGTGCAGCCATTCTAGCCATGGTAGCGCCATCGATGACTCGGTGGTCTGCACTCCAGCTGAAGTTCATCATTTGGCCGGCAGCAACATTTCCTTCAGTGTCGAAGACTGGCACCTTTCTGATCTTGCCAATGCCGAGAATAGCAACCTCAGTGGGTACAAGGACTGGGGCAACAACAGTTCCGCCAATGGTGCCAATGTTGGAGACTGTGATAGTGCCTCCGGAGAGATCTGCGGGTGTAAGTTTGCCTGCTCTGGCGACTTCGCTAAGCCGGTTAAGCTCAGCTGCAATGTCGATGATAGAGCGAGCCTGGACGTTCTTGATGTTGGGCACTAGTAGGCCCGTGGGGGTGTCCATTGCAACACCGATGTTATGGCTTGCGCGCATGACGAGGGATGGCTTGGCAGGGTTTGAGGTGGTGTCTACCCGCGCATTGAGAATGGGGAACTGGTTCAGGGCGAGAGAGACCGCCTTGATGATGAAGGGGAGGTAAGAGAGTTTAGGCTGGGAGCCGTCCTTGGGGGCGGTAGAATTGAGATGGGAGCGGACGCGGGATAGAGAAGCAATATTGAGCTCGTCTGAGTAGAGGAAGTGGGGGATCGTGAGGGACTTGGTCATGGTCTTGAACATCTGGGACTGGATGGGGGTTAGGGCCTGGGTGGTCTCAACCTGTGGGGTGTCAAGGCCTGGAGCGGGAGCTGTAGCTGTGGCTGAAGGAGCTGCGGCAGGGGTGGGGGTCTGGCCTCCCTCGAGGTACCTCTGCACATCCTCCTTGAGGACTCGGCCATGGGCACCGGTGCCATTGATGAGTGAGATATCAATGTTGTGTTGCTTGAGCATTCCTCGGACTGCGGGAGTTGCGAAGGTAGCGTATTTGCCCTTTGGTGGAGCTTCAACCGTCTCTGCTACTTGAGTCACATCTGCTGCTGAGGACTCTGCGGCCACGTCTGCAGCGGTGGTCTCTGCCGGGGCTGCTGCTTCTGGAGCTGGAGCCGGAGCTGGGGCGGAATCTGGGTACTTGGCGTCATCGACCTCAATATCACAAAGCGCAGCACCGGTAGGGATTGTATCGTCTGGCTGGAAGTGCAGTTTCTTGATGACACCCTCATAGCGCGACGTTATCTGCAACCGTCAGCACTCCACATTTCCAGATTGGCCACACCTCCATCCTATTCTTCTTCTTCTTCTTTTCTTCTTATACGTACATCGTCAATAGCCTTGTCTGACTGGTACTGGCATAGAGGCTTCCATTCCTCGATCCGGGCACCTTCCTCGACGTACCACTGTATGACCTGGACTTCGGTGATTCCTAGAGAGCTGTTAGCTTCGCCATTGCCGTGCACAACAAGGGGTAGCAGGACAAAGTACCTTCGCCGACATCCTTGAGAATCTGCGACCTGATGCCCCAGGGGACGGGGGAGCTATGGAACCGCCGCCGGAAGCGGGAGGTGTATGTGGCAGGCAAGCAAACGGGGGCCGAGGAGAGCAGTCCTCGCGACAGGGACGCCCTGTGAACCAGCGATCTCACGGCAGACATCTCAATTGCAGATATATCTCACTCTATATAGGTGGCCGGATGTCTTTGTCTGGATATCGAGATGTTTGGTCTGGTCGGGCAGAGCGAGCGAGAGACAGAAAGCAAGGAGGAGGAAGAAAGCGACGCGGCGGGAAGAGCGAGGGCAGGTAAAGCCGAAGATAGCCGCCAGGTCACGGGGGCGTGGAAAAGCCCTAAGCCCCACGTCTGTCCCGATCGGGCGACGGCAGCGACGGCCGACCGCCGAAAGCAGAAGACTTAGGGCTTAGGGCTAGTTGTGCTTATGTCATCGCTCATCCCGGTCTTTTTTTGTTCCTGCATGCCGATTCCGCGGCTCAGGTTAGCCTTATTTTTTAAGTAGGCCCCGGAGGCCCGCTCGACGCCTCGCGGACAGGCGGAGGGTGGCTGATATCTACATAGTCAGAGTACTACGGAGCAATGAGAAGGAGTACTTAAAGTATGGTGAAGCGACGGCTGGGACCCGATCAACGACCTCAGATGAAACGCTGTAATCTCATCTGTTTATCAGATCCTTGTGCAGCGGCGGTGAGACTAGCCTGATATGGCAATGATGATGCAACTCCCCTTAGCTGATCCTCCAACCCCTCGTCCTGCCTGCGTCTCGCGGCTCTGAACTTCATGCAAGACCTCCAACCTCAGTCATCGCCATCGTCATCATCATCTTCACGCAAGAATACTGATTGTTGAGACGGTAGAGATAGACATAGAGCCATGGTCGCCGAACACCTCACCGTACGCAACCTGACCCGGACGCCGGTCATCCTCAAGCTGGTGGAGCGTTTCAACCCTCCGGATGGACCCAAGACGCTTGCCAGCACCTTCACCACCATGGTGAACAACATCACAGGCACCCCAGCTGAGATCGCTGCCATCCAGGAAGGAGCCCAGCCATTTGCCCGTCAAGATGTTGATGTTCGAGTAGAGCCTTTCACGGAAGCACGCAGTGATGTCAGGTTCTTCGATAAGTCGGACAAGGAACGCACGCGTCTCACCTTCGAGGTTGAAGGGGACCGATACCAGATACAGGTCCCAGTGCCTACCAAGGAGACCATTGTCATGAAGTGCCTCTCTCCGAATCCTCGCTTCCAATTCACGGGTATTTTCAACCCGGAGCACGCCCATCTTGCCTTATTTTCCTCCGCCAATCTCAACTGCTGGATGCGCGAGCTCAAGGATGATACCTTGACCTCTTCCCTCTCCATACCAGGCACTCACAACTCCCCCACATGCCACGTTGCTCCTCCATCCGTACGCTGTCAGGCTGTTAGTCCTCGCGAACAGCTCGATAACGGTGTCCGTTTCTTCGATGTTCGTGCTCACCCTCAGTGGCCGAATGATCCAGCCAAGGACGGGCTCATACTCGCCCATAGCGTCTTCCCCATCTCCCTCACTGGTCAAAAGACATTTAGGGATATGCTGGGTCAGATCGAGGAGTTTCTTGACCGTAACCCGTCCGAAACCCTGATAATGTCCCTCAAGCGTGAGGGTCCCGGAGAGCATCATGACCACCAGCTGGCCAATATCCTCAAAACACATTATACCAACGCAAACCCATCACGCTGGTACACTGACACCAAAGTCCCCACTCTGGGCCAGGTGAGAGGCAAAATAGTGCTTGTCCGTCGCTTTGATATCCCGGACCATCTCAAGAAGGAACATGATGGCCGTGGCTGGGGTATTGATGCCACAGACTGGGCTGATAATACGGATCACGCCGTCTGTTCCAGCGGGACACTCTGTATCCAGGACTTTTACGAGGTCCTCGAGACAGAAAACATTGAAAAGAAGATTGGGTTTGTTCACGCCCAGCTCGGTCGATCCTCTGAGTGCTGCTATCCCCTGGGCACCCACAAGCCGGATGGTGACCACTGTCCATACTTTGTCAACTTCCTGAGTGCCAGCAACTTCTGGAAAGTTCAGACTTGGCCTGAGAAGATTGCAGCCAAGCTCAATCCTGCTACTGTCGATTATATCTGCCGCAGTCACAAGTCGGACAAAGGCGACTGGTCAACCGGTATCATTGTCAGTGACTGGGTAGGCAAAGATGGAGACTGGGACCTAGTCAGGTGCATCGTCGGTATGAACGCCAAGTTGGAAAAGTAGACCAGCGACTCTGATATCTAACTAATGGGTGTACGATTTCTTTCTATTTCTCTCCTTTTGTTTTCTTGTTTTCCTTTGGTGGCTGGAATAGGTGGCTGGAATAGGTGGCTGGCTGGAACGGACGGACGGAACGGTACAGGTGATAGATGGTATGATAATGAGGAGGGATTAACTGGGGGAGGAAGTAAATAGGTATTCAAACATCTGTTACATATACTGTCACATATATTATACAAGTCTAGCCACGGAAACACAAGCTTCCACATATCATCACTACTTCTGCTCGGTCTGCTCTTCCTTCTTGCCGCCATTCTGCTCCTCTTCCAAAACACTCCTCCTGCTCTCAAGAGTGAGATATAGATTATTTCCTGCACTCTCCAATGTCCTAGCCAATCCAGAGCTAACGCCTTGCAGCATACCAACCAACTGAGCCCGTAATCCACCAAGTCCACCTTCAATGCTACCAACCCACTTCGTCTCATCAGCATCAAACACTTTTCCTTCCACTCTGGCCCCCAGCAACATCAACTTCTGCAACCCAGCCTGCGTAGTCAGATCGTACAGTCCCGGGTTCGTCTTGCGTGGAGGTGGAGGGAACAAGCCGGTCTTCCCCGTGGGAGCCAAAATAGAGAACGCAGCACGCAGATGGTCCGGAGACACAGACGGGAACGAAAGCGTAGCTATCGGTCCCACAAGCAGGGTGGAAAAGTCATGTTGTCCACGCTTAGGCAGCACAGCTCGGTAGGCAGAATACGACAAGTCATGCGTTAATCGAGGATCCTCCTTATCCAGTATCGGGCCCTGTCCACTAACAGCCGCAGTATCAGGCCGGTAAAAATCCACCACCCTCATGGCAGCCTCGTATATAGATGTCTGAATGATCTGTAGCTTGATGGCGTCTGCAATCGCCGGCTCGGATCTGCCCATTGCAGCGTTGTTTTCGTCAACTTTACGCAAAGCCTTGGTCAGCTCGCGCCGGATGTTGGCCCACTCGGTGGATTGGAGGTTGTTATGTTGGAAGTAGATGATCAATGGCATTGTGCGTAGAATCGAGGCGTATTGTCGGTGCAGTTGGGATTTGCGGTATTCTGGTCTTCGGTGAGAGAGCGGCTGGAGGGTTTCGGGTGACATTGAGGTCGCGGTAGCTGCCGGGGCAACAGATGCCATTGATCTTGACCTCGTAAGGGCCGATAGCGATGCTGTGATGGATTGTAGCTCATGCTGGAGCAGGGTATGTGGTGGTCTCGTCCTCCGGGCAAGAGATTGGAGATGTATTCGTGGAGGCATTGTGGTGGGTAGAGAGCATGTGATGGGCTATGAGTTGTTGTATATTATGTTGGGTTTTATGCTGTAACCCTCCGGCGTTTGATATTGTACGTCCGGAGTCGCTGGCGCAGCTGGATGAGTCTGATAAGTTCTTGCAGGTCGCTGAAATTTGATGTTGAACTTGCCAAACGGACGGGAGCAGCAAAACTTTACTGAACGGCGACACCATTTTCCGCGATTAGTAAGCAGAACTAGCGCCATCCACTTATATGGAGGCCGACCTCCTACCGATTTGGCTTCATCCTTGTCAGCCGCCTTGTCATATATTGGTGGCAGATAACTTGACATACATCTGAGCGAAGCAGGCTGTTAACTGTCCTTCAGCTGCTCAAACCCCTTCGCACAATGGCTAACTCTTCCGCTGACATTGCTTTTCAAATCAGAGATATGCGAGAGGGTGCCCATTATATCAAAATCGGCAAAGTATTATATCCCTGTTCAACAGCCCCAAATCCATCAAGTCTTCCTCCAGATCAGGAAGTAATCACCGTCCTTAGTAAACAAATGGGCCGGATAGTGCTTGAGCATGATTCTTCGTACGTGTCTAAGTCCGGGCACGGCGTGCGGCAAGCTGAGCCTGAAGCGATGAGGATGGTATACAACTACACATCGGTTCCTGTGCCTGAGGTCCTTTCCACGCAATTTAGCCCTAATTATGGGAGAATCTGGATGGCCCTTGTTCGAGGGGTTTCCCTAGAAAAGAGGTGGAATATACTAAACGAACAGAGTAAAAAGTCCATTTGCCTTCAAGTCTGGAATATGATCTCTTAGATACGAGCTATCCCTCGTCCTCCAGAACTTGATGGTCTTTTTCAGTGCGCCACCAACGGCTCCCTAACAAAGGATCCATTACTTGAAGACCTAGAGGACCCCGCACGACCCCTAATAAGTGATATAGATCTGCGTACCCGTATCTTCGAACGCTATTTATATTTCGGAGGCCGTCAATATAAATATTAGTTACCTGATATGTTGCCACGATCCGACTACTCAGTTTTTATATATGGTGATATAGCGCCTCGCAATATTATGATCGACGAGCGAAATAATATAACGGGAATACTAGACTGGGAATACGCAGGGTGGTATCCAGATTATTGGGAATATGCACAGATTTTGAGACCTGCTTTTTGGAGTGACTGGTCGGCGTGGATGGATCTGACTGCGCCGCAGAGGTGGGACCTTAGTGGTATTAATGCCGCTAGGAAGATTTTGTTCTAATAAGCATGAGGGTAGCAGAAAGCAACCGTAGCAATTTTTTTTTTCGTTGCTCATATGAGCATCGGCCCATCGTATATGACCTCCAGCTATAAAAGCTAGTTGGATAGGCTCTTTCACGAGCCTCCCCTATATCTACTCTAATCGTCAACGGTACAATTTAACCTGTAGGAGTATCAAGGGTTATCCGCCCTGTCGTCCCGAATAAGAGGGACATCTGCATATTGAAAGGTGGTGAAAGGAGGTTTTCTGTCGGAATTCTCTCCGTTTCCTGCTTTATACACCTTACTTAGTTGAATAATTATGAAATGGTCAGTGAAGTCGGGGTGTTGACCTATTAATAGATCGAAGTTAATTAGTAATAATTTAGTCATTCCATTAGTCAGACATGAGTCATCTAGAGGGGCTCTGGTGATCCCTGCATGGCGGGAGCGGACTAAATATTGAGAAAAGCGAGCGAGACGAGAAGAGACACTGAGGAGCGAGGAGCTTGTATGGCTGGCGAGCCTAGTTATTTATAGAGACAAGGACAGCTGGGCTGAAAGATGCGTCGCTGGTCCTGCATCTGCCTCCTCTTCTACTAACAACACCCCCAGGCATCACTGACAAAGAGTCAGAAGGACACAGAGACGGGTTTTTGAGCTATGGCGGCACCACACAGTTCAGAGCCTGAGAAGGTCTCAATCTCGCCGTTGCTCAAGGGCTTGGCATATCCTGATGCCAAACACATCAAGGCGCCTGCTGGCGAGATAGCTGCTGCCTTTGCCCTCATCTTCGAGGACAGGCTGTCTGCGATACAGACTGCAGCATTGCTCACACTGCTGCACTCGACGGGGCTAGATAAGGACCCTGATGTCATTGCCCAATGCTCTCAACGTATGAGAGAAGCTGCCACACCAACGGAGAAGGGCCCGTTGCTTGCAGTACTCGAGAAGCGAGGCCGAAAGGAAGGCTCCTACAATGGCGGATTGGTACGTTGTTGAGACACCCAGCAATCAATGACGGCTCATGGGTTGGTTGCTAACGGTTTTTACCTGTCAATATAGTGCGATATCGTCGGAACTGGCGGCGACCACCACTCGACGTTCAACATCTCCACAACCTCATCAATCGTTGCATCGCCTTTCCTGATGACAGCTAAGCACGGCAACAGGGCGCAGACATCCTTCTCCGGGTCCGCAGATGTCCTTATGCACGTTACCCCTACTGCACCGAAGATTGAAGCCGTCAACGCAGCAAACCTAGCCAAAGTCCTCGAACAAACAAACTATGCCTTCCTGTTTGCTCCTATCTTCCATCCGGGCATGATGTACGCAAACCCCGTCAGAAGAGGCCTTGGCCTGAGAACAATTTTCAACCTCATGGGACCCCTGGCCAACCCTGTAGACTGGGCCATTGAAGCTCGAGTCGTTGGCGTAGCGTACCAGGCTCTCGGGCCCGTATTCGCAGATGCTCTGCGCCTGAGCGGCGTGACAAAGGCAATGGTCGTATGCGGAGAAGAAGACCTAGATGAGATCAGTTGTGCCGGCAAGACCAATGTCTGGAGAATTGTTGAATGTGACCCCTCAGAGGCTACTCCGGTCACCCCGACGCAGGCATACGACGCAGAAGGCAACGAGAAAGTGTTGAAGCCAACCAAGATTGAGAAATTCTCCATCGAAGCCGCGGACTTCGGGCTACCTCCTCACCCGTTGTCTGAAGTCGGCGGTGGTAAAGGGCCTCAGGAGAATGCACTCAAGTTGATAAGCATCCTGCGAAACGAGTTACCTCGTGACGACCCCATCTTGCATTTTGTATTGATGAATGTTGCTGGACTTCTGGCCATCTCGGGAGTCTGTGAAGCCGACACTAGTAACATGGGCCCTGGGGATGATGGTAAAGTGATCACTGAACGTGGGCCAGGTGGGCTCAGATGGAAAGAAGGCCTGAGACGAGCTCGTTGGGCCATTGAGAGCGGTGAAGCATATAAATGTTTCGAACAGTTTATCAAAGTGTCCAACACATTTTGAGCTGAGAGAAGGGTAACATTGTCATAGACAAGGCAGGTAGCCGCTGTTGCCGTTTTTTTGTTTCTTTTGGGGTTTAAATCTTGCACTTGATGTTCTCGGATATGTCCTTCATTTTTAATATTTTTCTACCTTGGAATATCTCCAGGTACTTTGGTTCAAATATCATCTAGGAATAGAGCAATATCCTACCACTTTGGTAGCCAATTCACCTACAATGTCAGTCACGGGTTAGAACAACAATGAAAATGGAGAAATGAAAAGCCAAGAACTTTCATAGAATATTATTTTAGCATTTCAGCAGGAAAGGCTCTGTGGTTGTCCAAGGAAGATTCCGTCGACTTTTCCCAAGTAATGTTGTCATATTTTATGCAAAGAAGATGAGAATAAAACACACAGCTAATGCCGGCCATGACACCTATATCCCCGCGCGCCAAAACTGATAAAGGAGAGTAGTCGTAGTAATCGCCGTAAAACACAATCTATCGAGCTTGGAATTGTACCATTCTGCCAGAGTAACAACGTTAGCCACAGCCCTTATATATAGAATATTGCGAAACCGCAAACAGCTCACCTCTTAGTTCTCTCCTTGTATAGTACTCGATGACCACACTCCTTGCATCTGATTTGATCGTTTCGTTTCATCGAGACGCGCGAGCTGCAGTCTCCGCAGATGTAGACGACTGATAGGACCTCATTGCCGGTGGCTGCGCTGGCGGTGCTTGTGGATGTTGGGCCCTGCTGCGTGAGCGAGGGGACCTGATAGGCTTCTCTGGACATTTTGTAGGATATTAAAGTGCTAAAGGTCGTTCGTCTATGTGTTTTGTCAGGAGTTCTATCTCCGGTTATGTCTTTTCTTGTAGTTGTCTGTCTGCTTGCTTGCTGGTTTGGTTAGGACGTTTTTTTTATTGCTAAGAAAAAAAGTAAAGGGCGATGATTATATAAGCAATTAGATAAATCACGTGATAAGTATCCCCCATACTTCCTAATTAGGAAAAAGGCACAGGGGTGGATAAATACACACCCCCTGATGCTATTCTCGCAGGGCTTATCAATTTAAGCATGAAACGACGAAGAAACTATTCTTAAAACCGTACTCTCTTCTTCTATGCCTATTCATATATACCTAGTTCGTACATTAATATCTTATTAACAATATTTACTTATCGCACTTAGTAGCAGTGCTATCTTTTTCGGCGTGAGAATTATCACAGACGTGTATCCAACACTCTGGATTAGTACAGTCATCATTTTTACACTCAGCTCTGTAGCACCTATCGCCATGGAGTTGTTTACTACCCCCAGAGCCGAGACAGTCAATGTCATCATTCTCAATATAGCCGCAAGTGCCACATAGAACTCCCCAGCCCTGATCTTCTTCCTGGAGAGGCGTTCCGCACTGAGAGTCAGAGTTACAAGGCATATGTTTATGTTCAGGGGTTAAACTCCCATTGATATCTTTGTCTTTGTCCTTGTCATCACGCGGGTTGGTATCGTCCTCGGAGTAGTCGCTAGATGATATACTGGAATCAGATGGCCGTGGAGCAAGCACACATTCGCATCTGTCAGATTCAGCACTTCCATTGAAAGCACTAACACACCACTCAAAGTTCCAAACGCCTGGTACCAGGAAATATTGGTCACTGGAGGGTTTGCTCTCCGTGCCATTGACCTTGCAGAGCTCGCTATCCGGCTCATTTACGTTGCGGAACCAGAGTTGATAACCCGCAGCAGCCGGAGAACCAGTCCAGGTAAGGTGAGCAGAGGTTGCATCTTTAGCTGTAATTTTCAAGTCAGTAGGTATCGGAGGAGTGCCTCGGCCGACGGTGACACTTCGGACTCCCTTGGGAAATCCTCCGCCAGCATCGTTCCAGGAAACCAAGGCAAGTTGATAATGATGCCCCGGGATAAGATCATCAACATGAGCTGGAGATTCCTTGAAGCCTACACTAGTGATGAAAGTATGTTTTTTATCTTTATCCCAGTACAGGATTTCATATTCCGTGACATTAAAGCCACTAGGACAAGAGTCCCATGAGATATCGAATCCAGTTGTGGTAGCATTAACTATCACATTATCGGGGCCAGGAGGTGTTTTGGGTGTTGATTTGGCCGATTTAATAGCCGTCCAGCGGCCTTTTAGTGCATTGCCTGCACTTGCACGTACTTGAACCTCATAGACCCATCCTTCCTGTGTCCACTGAGCGTCCCATCGATTCGAAGAGACACTGCTGGTGTGAAACTCTGTGATTCCCGAGATCCTGGACCGGACATCGTAGCTCATCGCACCATATACTAAGCCTTAGTTAGAGTCTTCATCCGTGAGTCCATACAGAAAAAAGAGGAGACTGGTACGTACTTGCATCCCAGGAGGCGGTGACTCCCCCAGGGCTAGAGACTACTCTGAAATTCTTTGGGCGAGGCAAGGACCGCTTCGGTATATTTCTGGGTATTACCAGCGGGGCTGAACCAATATTGAAATCTCTAACCAGGGTGAGAGAGAATGCGCGTGCAATTTCATATTCTCCAGTCGCATTTGGATGAAGGCCATCATAGCCTGCAGGACATCCATCAGGGCCACAGCCATAATCCTCACAGACCTCAACAAGATGAATAGGAGAATCAGCCGTACTCCACTGTGGTATAGCACAGCGAAGCAGGTTGTTGTATTCCCAAGTGGAACAGGGCAAGTCTTCACGCCCACCGATCATCAACCGTTGAGGAACATTGGCAATAGCAAGCTTGAGGAAGGGATTAACCCTGCGAGCGTTATCAACCAATGTTTTAATGCTTTTAAGCGTTCCAATGGCATCACTTTGTAGCCATCCCAGGTCATTGAATCCTAGCATCAAAAGCATCAAATCTGCCGGATGGGCCATCAAAACATCCTCTATCAAATCTTTATCCAGCGCAGCGGTTCGCCCCCAGACGGCGAAGTGATGGCTGTCAAAATCCGCCGATACACCACGCGCATAGCCGCCATCTACCTTGACACCCTGTCTAGGCTTAGGGGAGCCATAGAGGGGAGGAGGCGATGGCGGCTTGGGCCTGTCTGGCTGGACGGTGCCAGTATAGGGTCCGACAAAGGTGACGGTGACATTCTGTTCACGAAACCACTGCCAAATGCGATATCGCCAGGTCCAGTCCCCTTCGTGGCCCTGGGTTATAGAGTCGCCCACGACTATCAGCTTGAGGCCCTTGTCCCCTGCTGTCGATGAATTTTCAGCATCTTGATCGCCAACCAAAGGTACGTTTGTCTGCTGAATTGGGAGGTCGGACATATAGGTTGGGATGTATAACGCTATGCACTGCTCTTATCACAGGGCAGGCTAACAAACAGGTTATCGATGTGCTTCCTTGAAAAACCAAAGGCAAGCCGTTGTCGTTAGGTAGTTAGTTACGTGTATGTCGGATAACTAGTGGCAAAAGCCCGGGTCCATGAAGATAATCACTAGTTAACTCAATAACTAACTATCGGGTTTAACTCAAACATCCGCTATGGTCTGGCTTCTTCCCTTCTTCTCCTGACTTTGTTATTCTCTTTTCTTCTCCTTTCCATAGCCGGTGGTCAGTTGACTGGTGTTAGGCAGATCATCATCTCTCTCACTTCAACACACAACTCCTATATCACTAACTAACTAACTGTCAAAACTTCAGCTCTGCCTACCATTAGTGTGGGCTCACTCCTTTTAGTGTAGTGGCAGACTTTGACACTAACTTACTGTACCCTTCGAAGCGCGTTTATTATACTCAGCTATGCCTCAAACCAGCCCTCCTATATCAGCAGAGTCGGCTGGCGATCAGAACGTAGTATCGCCTCCCAGGAGCTCCTCTGACACGACTACAGCTTCCAACACGACCGATATAACTAGTTCGAAACCTCACTCAAAGATAGACTACGAGTACTTAAAAACGCTAGATTCCCAGCCGTTAACTACTTATGTCAAAGCTATGTCGGAGAAAGAAAGAGAAGAATTTTGCAGAATGTTGAGCATACCACGTAAGTTATCTCTTATTGCCTTTAAGGATTCTAACTAATATATTTTTTTTTATTTTTTTTTTTTTAGTTATAGGTTATAAAGGCCCTTCGATGCCGTATGATGACTCCTCAGACATTGCATTTGAGCAAGGGAAACCGCTTCCAAACCTCGGTTCCAGCTCAGACACTGCTATATCCCATCCCGCTCATTTACCTTAGTGGCCATTCCTTCTATCATACCCAACCGCTCCTTTCGTCTTGGATACCATAACCCATCTCTTGTCTGCCATCACTTCCCAGTCCCATGCTCTGTTTGGCTCCTGTTTTTATATACATCTGCTCTTCTTGTCCATATATGCTCATACATGGATCAGCCGAACTCCGTCTATCGAAACTCCTGGGCTACGTCGGTATATACTATATAATCTTGCCCAGTGAGAGCTTCAGACATTGCCCTCTTCGGAGTTTGCTACACTATGGGCAAATGGTGATGTCTCCTCTCGAGCCACTGAGGCTTCTGTTCCCCCAGATGATCCAAAGGCGAAAGAGGAGAGACTTCGATGGGCCAAGAAGACCCTTGCTGAGATTGAGCAGATGACTCAAAAAGAGAGACGAATGTTTCTCTTGGAGCGTGGGCACGGTATGTTCAGTTTCTGGCCAACACTTTTATTGTTACTTCCGCTAAGCAATAGTAGTACCGAGCGGACCGAGCATCCTTCATCTCAAGGATTCGAGATTCCGTATCCTAGATCTAGATAGGTCAGGAAATATTGCTAGCTTTGCCACATTCGGGGGAAGATCTCTAGATAATAAGTCTACATCTGGTTATGGGGTTGATTAACGAGCTTTCAGCATCCAGCAAGCGCCCAAAAATATCCAGAAGACGATGCCCGGTATGATTGCTGAACTTAACGGGGGTGTCTTTGCTGTGAAAGGCAAGGCGATGGAGAAGTAGATCTGGATTGGCCGGCATCCGTGAAGCTAGATGGAGATGCTGAACCGAGTGGTGGCTTTCTGATTATTCCCAAACTAAAGTGGTGGAGTGTATGATTGCGGCATGAAGGAATAGCATAGTCCTTTGCGCTAGGCAGTCGAGCTTGAGCTTCTGGTGCGTATGATGAGAAGAAGATATGTTGGTTAACTCGTTAGTTTTATCTGCGATTTTTCAGCCTCATACCTAGGACAACTAACTCGCTAGTTTTTCCTGTGGCCACCTGAATTCTAGCCTGTCAATTTTCTCTTATTTCTTGCCCTTGCTTCAGAGCTGCATTTTTGGAACCATGAAGCCATATACTGGAAATCCAGAGCCTTAAGCTCATGTCCCTGCTGCAAGTCATGGACTGGATGCATCGGACCTGCAGCAGCATTCAGATATCCCCGGGGCAGCCCCTTCCTCTCGCCATGCCGGACTGTGGCCGCGGGCTCGACTTGCTCTTTGCCTCCAGAGCATCGAGTATAACTGCGGCGTCCCAGGGCCGTCTCTGTCGTCGACTCTGCCGCTGGATATTCAGGCAAGACGGGGCGTATTATCTCTATCTGTTAGGCCGCCGTCACACTGTCACTTTCTCTATATCTTTTACTCTCTCAACGCCGTCATTCCTTCTGATATATACCTGCAGAGCATAGCACGATGAGTTACGGACAGGCCGGCACTCCTTATGGCGCACCCGCAAGGAACCAGACTGGTCCCTACTTCAGCCCAGGATATGCATATCCCCCATATTATCCGAGAAATAGGAATGGCACGCCATGGACAGGTTGGAACGGCCCGGTTCCTCGCTATCGTCGGTATAATAATCCGCAGGTATTCATGCGGCCTGTTCTGTCTTACCCTAGAGCCATTCCGAGGTATCGTAATCGTCGGCAGAACGAGACGTGGACGGGCTGGAGGCAAAGCCAATACCCGCCGCCTACGCCAGCATTATTGCCTGCATCGCTCCACGACCGCTCCGCCGATAGGTACAGCGTTTCAGCCTCTCCGGGAGGGATTCCACGGGTGGTTCCAGATGCTTCGCCGGAGAACGCGTTTAGCGAGATCATGAATGGAGCGTTTGACTTGAAGAAACCCCCCCTATGCCCGGGGAAGACGATGGCGGACATTGATACCACTCCTGCTTCAGACAGATTATTACAGCAATCAAATCCCTTTGGATATCAGAAGCAACAGCAGGGGAAACGGGCTGCTTCTTCTCAAATCACAGCTCCAGCAGAGACCTACAAGAAGCCTAACTCTTCTTCTTCTGGTGGAAGCAGCCGATTTGGATATGAGAGTAATACATTCAGTCCAGGGGAGTCTGAACTTTCTACTCTAGCCCATTTGATACAGCAGAATACAAAGCAGTCAGCCGAACTGCAACAACTCCTCTTTGAATTCTTGAAACAAAAGCAAGAGGAATTGAATAGTCACTCAGCTAGCAGCTCTCGCTCTGACAACGTGCAAGAGTCCACTGATGAGAATGATGGAATGCTAAGCCCTGGTCCACATGTTGCAAATGGAGGTGGTGAAAGTCCTGACCCTCCACATGGAAGTAAGAATAATTTCAGGGGCCACATGATAGAAGGCGTCGAGTCAGCTTCCGATTCAAGGTCCAACTCGGATTCTGAGAGTAAATCTACCGTTCCGACTTCAGTAGATGCAAGATCTCCTGGTATGTCATCGAATAGCCCCTTACCGGTGGATGTCCCGATACTTACACATCTATAACAGATGGTGCCGGCTACCCCAAAGATCCGCAAGAAAAGTCTCTTATCAATGCCATCGGTACTCTCCACCATCTCTCTAGCTCTGAAGACTCGGATTTGTCCCAAGATTCTGGCGAGCGGAAGAACCGCTTTGAACGACCCCCTAGAAAAGGAAGATACGAGTCTACGGACGCTGATAATCGCCGTACCTGGCAGCGCCATTATGGCACAGGCCTTTGCCAACGCGCCCCGTCTCCAGGTGGCAGTCCTTCGGGAAAACAGGTTGAATTTGATTTCGTGAGTATTATAATATTGCTCAAGATCTAGAGTACATAATTGAATACTTACTCTTGTCTTGCAGCTCCCGGAGCATCCATCTCCAGGAAGCCCACAGAGTTCCACCGACAGCGTGAGGCATATCCAAACTTTGCTAACCCCTTCCAATCGATACTCATCCAGGCCCTCGTTCGAGGTGTCGAGCCCTCAATCTTCTTCTTTGGATGAATCCCGGACCCTGGGTCAATGCGTGCCTTCAGAGTTGGTATCGCATCATTACCATAACTATGCTCGTCCAGGCGACCATTCCTACGAATCCTGGGATAGCAGCCCGAGATCTCCATGATCTTCTTCGTAGTGTCTGATACGTATCTGAGGAGGCAATTACGAGGTATCTCGTCCTCGTCCTGAGAGAAAAGAATAAAAAGCAGAAATGCACCCTGTCTTTCTTTCCAGTGTATCCCCCCTGTTTCTACTATTCTTAAGTCACTTTCCCTTATACAATTTGATTGGTTTTACGGTGGAATCGCCTTTCCTTCAAGATTCTAGTCCAACAAAAATAGAGGTAGACCAATAATTAAGGCAACGATTCTATTTTTTTGCGGTAAACCATGCGGTATGCAGTCTAACAAGAACTCCTAAACCACCCAATGCCTAAGTATGGTATCACCAGACGCAGCGCTTAAATGACATTGTCGATATGCTAGATCGTACTCATTATACTATGCATGCATTTACCAACCGCCACCGGCCTTGCCAGCCAACTCCGCAACACGAGCTGTATCTATGCTTCCTGCTAGACCTTTTTGTTTCCCTACATCACTCTCCACCTTACGGTAGGTGGTATATACCAGATCTTCGAGAGGAACACCAAGCATATTAGACCAATACCTCAGTATGGAATGTATCTCTTCAGCAGAAGACATACGATGTGGTTTATTAACTTGGTCGCCGTCCTCCGAGGAATCCGAATAATATGCCTCGTCAACTCGAGCAAGCCACGCCCGTTGATCATGGGGCGTTGGTTTTGAAGTTTGCTCCAAAGCACTGCCTTCAGGCAAAGCCAGTGAAGAATTCGCCTGTCTGGCATCTTCAAGTCGGATCTGACCTCCACCATTCGTACATCCACCCGGACAAGCCATAACTTCAACATAAGCAAACTCGGTCGGGGGTATAGGAGCACCTGGCTTTCCATTAGATACCGGTGCAGGTCGTGCCCTGGCTCCAGAACCATTGACTCTTGAGCCAGGTAGTCTCGAGGCTCTAGCAGGCTTCAACTTGCGAACTAGATTCTGGATGTTTCTGAACCCGTAGTACCGCGCTGCTTTGATGATTGGTTCGCCGGTTGCTGAGACGAGGGTATATTCAACTACATCTGCGTTGCGGCCTCTCTGGGATTGAATAATGCTATCGGCATGTTTGGATTGGTAGGTTGTAAGGAGATGATGGAGGTATCCTCCTGATGGTCCTGCAGCTGCAGGTTGTGTGGAATGTAGGGTATTATTGTTAGAAAGGAATTGGGCGATGGTTTGGTCGGGAAACGGGGTCGAGAGGTGTGTTGGTAGTGGTTCAAGGGGTAAAGATGGAAGAGAGATGTTTCGGGATGAAGCAAGCATAAGCAATTCCTTGGAGGTAATGACACAGTCGACATCTCTGACAGGGGAACTGGCCTTGTCTAATGCCTCCCCTCTCCAAGAAACATCCGTTAATTCCTGTCGGCTTGCCTCGAGCTTCTTGTCGAAACAAGGCATTATCGCAAGATGCCATACTTGAGATGGTGATATATTGAGCTTCTTGCTTATAATGGTCTTGAGGAACGTCCCCATCAAGGCCTGGGGAGACTTCAAGCGTGATAGATGAGGTAGAACGTGTGGATGGGTTTTCTCCGCATAGCATATCCACCCTGGACAAGAAGACGCGAGAATAGGTCTGTTAGGCAGAGAGAATTTGCCTGATTCATCGTGTGAGGTCGTTGGTGCGGCATCATTTAGTGATTCGGTGACCTCATCTGTACTGAGCTCTAACACAGCCTGGCGCATGATATTAGTGTCGACAACCCATGTAAAGCCACTGCCGTGTTGTCCGCCTGCCCGCAGGCCGTTTGGTCCACTAAGAAATTGTTCGATCATATATCCTGCATTCTTTTCTGATATACCATAAGTAGCAGCCAAGCTGGCCCGGACCTGCGGGCTCACGCTGGCAACGAAAATCTTCCCATCTCTGTCTTCTGTTCTACCCCCACCATCAAGCCGTATTTCAGGGTTTGCGTCGAGGGTGTTTAACACTTCCGCATGCGACTGTAACGACACCAGCACTGCTTCAGCTGATGTGACGCAGCCTGAACATGCCAGACAATCCGTAAGAGATATCTGAGCTGGTGGAGGGTTCTGCTCCTCCAGCTTATCTTCCGTCGTCACTTCATATGGGTTCTACAGGGAATATTTAAGTTAGCCTGGTGTACATTGGAAAGTACACTGCAGATGACTCACCTCTTCCTGCTTCTTCGGCAGTGTCTCAACTGGCTTTATACAAGCAACTCCTGGTGATATGAAGTCATTCAAATCATCCGCAGACAGAATCGCGCTCATCTTGACTCATTTGCAGTGGCCGAACAACCGCCACGGGTAAATTATCAGCCCGCCGAACTCGACCTGTAGAAATATTCCAATAAAAGGCGTATAATATAGTGGTTTCATATAGAAACGAAGAGGAAAGGAGCTGTGCAGGACTGCGATATGAACGTAAAGTGAAATCAGGCCATAAATGAGCTTTGTAATAGTTATGCAAGCATCTCTTATCAGATGCGTTATCGGAGGAAAAAGAGCAAAAGGTTTAAATAAGCTTTGTCCAATCAGAATGCGGCTAAACTTAATCTCGCTTATGTAACACAAAAACTGAACCGCGGGAAGGATTTGGCAGAATTGACAGGGGACGGGACTTCAGTAGAGCAGGAAAAAAAAAAGAAATAAAAAAAAAGAAATTGAAAGTGACCAAACTGAGGCTCGATCTCAGGACCTTGTCGGTGTTAACGACACGTGATAACCAACTACACCATTCGGCCTTTCTTGTGTGAATGTCGATCTCGCGAATGCACTCTTGAGTGGCTGTGGAGTCAGACGAGGCTTCAGCCTGCCAGCGCCTAGGCATCTAGAAAGCGGCACAACAACAATAACCATGGAAGGCTGCAGGTAGAAAAAGACAACGAGAAGAAGCAGAGCGGTAGATGGGACAACATGACGACCTTGCCCAAGCCAAAGATGGTCCAGACAGTGCTCAACTTTGGCTCTTCCCGCTCACTGAACAAGGATACCCCCCAGATCATAAGAAGGGACCCTGACGAGGCCAGCAGCCTTGGAGATACCCTGCTCCCGGATAGTGGCATGGACTATGAGATGGATAACGACGACAGTAGCAAGCTCGATAGCCAGACTAGTATAGCCTCAACCGACTGGCCACCTTCCCAAACGGCATCAGAAGCAACACAGGCGGTACTATCACCAGCTCAGGATGCCATGAAAAGACGGAAGATCCTCCGTTGCATTGCTGGAGAGACGAGTACATTCTTGCCTGGTATACTAGAGATGGCTCCCTGGGCACCACCGAACGGATACCTATACTCTCCAAGCAAAATCTCACGGCTAAATGCAAAGTACTGTCCCCAGTTCCACAAGACGTCTATCCGGGTACACAACGCAGACTCTCTGGACACTGCTATCGCCCTAGCAAACTGTTCAAAATTTGTTACCGTGCGGGATAAGAAGCCGGTATGTGTGCTGAATATGGCAAACGCATTCCATGCTGGAGGAGGGTGGAAGAACGGAGCCCTGGCGCAAGAAGAAACACTCTGCTACCGAAGCAGCCTCAGCTTCACTCTTAAGCTACGATACTATCCTCTAGAGGACCTACAGGCTATATACTCGCCCACAGTCCTCGTTATACGCAAGAGTATGGACGACGGTCATGGCCTATTACCACTCAACAAACCCGAAGAGCTGCCCGTCGTAAGCGTCATTAGCATAGCGGCGCTATGCGAGCCCAAATTAGCGGCTAAGAAGATACCCGTCCCTAACTCATCTGATGTGCATATCAAGGAGGTTTTCCGGAAAGTTGCCGACCGAGACCTGACCAAGGATAAGATACGTATGATTCTACGCACAGCGGCGTATAACGGCCATCGAAGGCTGGTGTTGGGTGCATTAGGCTGTGGGGCGTTTTTGAACCCGCGTGAAGATGTTGCGGATTGTTTTGCTGAGGTGTTCAGTGAGGGTGAATTCGGCGGTGGGTGGTGGGAGAGCATTATATTTGCTGTCATGGATGATTTGGAAGAAGGGAAGGATGGGGATGGGAACTACGGTGTCTTTTATAGAAAGCTTCATGGCATGATGGTATGATTGAACGAGCGAGCATAATGATGATATATATATGAGCAAGCCTGCACGTACTCTGTCTGGTTATCTAGCGATGGTAAAAAATCTAGCACAAGACTGGTTTACAAGCCCAAGAGAAAAGAGAGAAAGAAAACATAAGAAAGAAATTGGTATCTCAAGGCCGTTTCGTTTCTGATCAAGAACCGGGAATTGGCCTATACTACCGCCCGCAAACTCCTACATCGCCAACAAATAAACGCAGTAGACAATCGCAAAATAAAAGTATTCCATAGGCAAAAGCAACCGACAAGAGGCAAACAGTTTAGTTCTTCGTTGCGGATCGACCCCTTCTTAACGGTACCTTTGGCGCCTCAGGTTCGGTTTTGGCTTTGGTAGCCCTGGATTTCTTCAATGCCGGCGTAGTTGCCGCACTATCTTCTTCCTTGACAGCTTTTGCCGCAGGTTGCTTACGCTTCTTGCTCGGAGTTGCTGGTGTGGATGCATCGGCGCCATCTTTCTCCTCGGCTTTCACTTTTGGAGTCGCCTTTGCCTTGCCTGCAGCCTTCTTAGGCTTGGTATCTGTTTCTTCCTCGTCATCTTCGCCGCCCTTCTTCTGCACCGATGGGACAACAGCACTTGTTCGGCCACCAACGGTGACGAAGACAATGGGCTCACCGCTGGGAAGTTTGCCCGCTGCGCCTTTCTTTCCCTTATTCCATCGATGATGGAATAGCCAGTCCGTAGGGAAGTCGGAAGACTCTCCTTTGAGATCAACAGATACAGAACACACGTAGTTGATAGATGAGTGTAACTCCTTGATCTGATTGTCCCGGAGTGTATCACTGTATTGCTCAGGATGAATCCGGGCATGATATAAGATCTCATCTCTGCTTCCAGCGTTAGCCTCTTTTGTAGTTGGAAAATATATTAAAAGATGTAAGACATACCCCATCCAATTCCCCAGTCCGCTGATATTGGCCTGATCCAACAACAGAGCCTTTATAGGGACCTTCTTCCGCCGCACGAGAGCCTTCAACCAGTCTTCCGTCAAGATGGCCTTGTCGATGACCGGATCAGGTCCATTCTCCTTTAGAGGTGTATACTTTCGTATATCATCCCCGGGGCAATCTACGAGCCTAACACGGCCCAATCTCCTCGCATCCACAAACGCAGCCTCAGTCTTAGGCTCATTATCCGTCTCAAGCAAGAACTTCCAAAACTTTGGAGGCCAAACGTCTGCCTCAACGTTCTCATCTTTACCGTTGCTGCGGTAGTAAGTGTTTTCACTCCTTATCTTCAGCCAGCCCGTCATTCCAAAATGCATGACAGGGTGCGGAGGCGAAGACATGATCATCCAGAAATATTTGCCCTGCTGCCCAGCTCCTATGACGGTTTTCCCATGCATATGTTTCTTGAACTCGTCGGCACTGGTGCCAACCTTGCCGAACAGGAGGTCGTCATGGTTGGCTACAACTTTGGCAATTGTGTGTCCTACCAGATGCTTTTTGATATAGTTCACTATCCGTGCAACTTCTGCAAGCTCAGGCATTGTTGCTGGGTTGATGAGTTGAGCTCTTGGTGACGACAAGAAAAGCTCTAATGCACAGAATTTTGATGGAAGCTTAAGCTGTATGAATTGGTTGACTTGGCTGCGCCTTCGAGTAAATGGTCGTTACTCTAACGGGCCGTTATATCGCAAACGAAGCAGCTGGAGGTAGACTTTCGTTGTGATTGAGAACTCGACCGGTGTTCCTGGTGAGAGATGAGCGGTGCAGTTCAAGGGTTGTCGCCGGAGATTAATACAGTAATGGAGTACTCATACCAAGAAATAAACGAAAATACCAATAAATGACCAATTTAAGACTTCTCTAGACGAGATACTCAATTCATTTCATATCAAAAAAATGTAGTAAATACAAAAAGGAAGAGGACGGTCTTTGAGCGCCTCGTAGCTAGCTTCGTGTTTCCTTCGCGTGGATATCACCAACCAGCGAGCTCGATTCCCTGCCACCTTGGCGCCCGCCCGTCTAGGGTCTGTCCTTGAACATGGCTCTGGAAGAACCGAAGGTTGTCTAGCAGGATGGCCAAAGAAGAATTCAAGTAGACCAAAAGCTGCGCCAGATATCAATACTAGTTTGCTCGTCTTTCCACTCGTCCTCGTCTCGACGTTGAGAAGCTGAAAAAAGGGCTGAAAAAGAGCCGCGAGTCATGTGACGCTTTTTGATCCGATCTCTCAGTCCATCAATCAGCAAGAAGAGAACAATTACAAACCGAGAGCTGAAGGGACCTGCAAGCCATAGAGCTCTAGATCTTGGATATCTACTTTTAAATTACTTACCCGACAGTTAAACAGGCTGGATTTGCTCTGGGCTCGACAGTCAACCGGTACGTCGGTTGGCTCTGGACCGGGTGAAAGCAAGATGTCAAAGACCTCGACACAGCCGAAGCTATCACCACAGTTTTGTTTCAATGAACGGGCATTGAGAGGTGAGGGACATGTCACTTTTGTCACTTCTGACGTAAGAGAGGGGCCATGCTGATGATGTACGGATAGACTTCCTTCGAATATCTCGGTCGACGGTAGACGACTCGATATCGCAGAGCTTGAATGCACTGGTGACTCCCTCCCGGCAAGGCTTTGACCCTTCCTCAACCACCGCCAGACAGACAGAACTACCTCGCCACGGCCAGGTCGAAGGAGGCAGATGTCAGACTTTCAAAGATGAAGTCCTGTTTCCCTCCTGGCAAGCTAGATCGGACGTCTTGACATACTGCGCCGGAGTTGCCACGAGCCCTGACCCTGACGACCCGGACCTGCTGCTCCGACAGGAAGAGTCAGCGAGAGCTCGGGAGAGAGTGGTTGACGAGCGATTGGACCCTTACTCTGCCAGGTTCTTCCCCAGAGAGCCACGGACAGAGTCTCTTGCCATGCTAATACGGAACGAGCGTGGTGTGGAGAGGATCGTGAGATCTCGTTCTTGGGATATAGTCGGAGAACGCTGCGGGAACTCGTTCGAGAGCTGGGAGGATGCTCTCAACCACTGGCGGGCAACGCGTGAGCAGTCTCGCTGACCCTGGACTTTGCCATCACTCGCCTGCTTTCACCCACTCTCGAACCATTGACGGCCTGGATTACGCCTTGAGTGGAGCTTTAAAAAAACACTGTATCATTTCCAAACGGCGTACCGGCTAGAGACTTTATCTGATCTAAGTGCAGGATGCTGGAGAAAACTAATACTTGTCTGGTTAACTATTATCATTTGCATAAAAAGGCGTCCCTGTACGATATTGAAGCGACTCATGTATATATACTCTCGAATACCCCATTCAACCTGAATACGAAGCCTCAAACGAAGCTATAGACTTCTTATCAACCTCTACGCTAGTATCCTATTCTTCAACCCGCCTCTTCTTATATTGTTCTTGCTTGTCTCTATTGATATCTTTGCTTTGAAAGAAACGCCAGCCTTTGGGGAGAAAACCGGGTCACATGACCCTTCCCGGATAACTAAGCATTTTTTTTTTCTTTTTTTACTTTCTTTTTTTCGACTTGCACAAACAAGTTGAAGATAGAAATAAGATGCGGAATTGAACCCAACGAACAGCGAATTGGTGACGAGTTACGGACGACCGTCGACGAAGATACGAAGGGGTCCTTTGCTGCGACCAACAGGGTTTTCATTTACTATTGTCCCTAGTGCCGGTGCCGGGTCGAAGGGTCCCTTGCCTATTGTTCGTTCATACTTGGTGTCTGTCCCGCCAGTCACCTAGCCAGCCCACCACCAAATCCACGAACCTCCTGTTGGCCCTTGATTGATCGAGATATCCTATTTTCCTCTGTGCGATATACCAGGCAGGGCGCCCCGAACTGTAGAATAGGGCGTCCATCATGCCTCAGCCATTGAGCTCCAAGGATGGCGCATTGTTCCGCCAAGTAGTCCGGAATTGCGAGAATAAACAATATAAAAAAGGTGCGGGCTTGCCTGCTATTCAGGACGGAAATGCTATTGAACCTTCCCCCCATTGTTCTGTTATCTGTGGCTCTGACAAGTCCTATTTGGGCATCTAGGACTCAAGGCGGCGGAGCAGATCCTTAAAAAGAACCCCAACCATGGCGACACACAGGCGATGAAGGGTCTCATGCTAAGCTATCAAGGTCAAGCAGAGGAAGCATTTGCACTGGCTAAGATGGCTCTCAAGAATGATATGAAGTCGCATATCTGCTGGCACGTCTACGGCCTGCTCTACCGTGCCGAGAAGAACTACGATGAAGCTATCAAGGCCTACAGGTTTGCCTTGAAGCTCGAGCCCGAGTCCCAACCCATACAAAGAGACCTGGCCTATCTACAAGCTCAGATTCGAGATTTCCAAGGATACATCCAGAGCAGAGCTACGATGCTTCAGCAACGACCTGGCGTGCGTCAGAACTGGACTGCGCTCGCAATTGCTTACCACCTTGCTGGCAACCTTTCGGAAGCAGAAAACGTGCTCACGACTTTCGAAGAGACTCTCAAGACGCCCCCTCCACGAACAGATATGGAGCACTCTGAAGCTATTTTATATAAGAATATGATTATTGCGGAATCAGGCAACTTAGAAAGGGCTCTTAAGCATCTTGAGTCTGTGGGTAAGCAGTGCTTTGATATACTTGCTGTTATGGAAATGCGCGCGGACTACCTTCAACGACTTGGCCGAACTGCAGAAGCTGCTACTGCCTATGAAGCTCTACTAGAGAGGAACCCGGAAAACTCGCAGTACTATGACCGTCTGATTGAGACGAAGGGAATATCCAAGGATGATCACAAAGCATTGAAATCTGTTTATGATTATTGGGTTGAGAAAAACCCTCGCGGTGACGCACCTCGACGCATTCCTCTGGAATTCCTCGAAGGAGATGACTTCAAAGAGGCTGTTGATGCATATCTTCAGCGGATGCTACGCAAGGGTATACCATCTACATTTGCAAACATTAAGACACTTTACGCCAACCCTGCCAAACTAGCTGTCGTGCAGGAGTTAGTAGAAGGTTACGCTGCCGGAAAGATTGATGACCAATCTAACGGATCTGAAGCAAACGGCGATGACTCTCGGTTCAAGGAATCAGTCCTCTACTTCCTCGCTCAACATTACAACTACCATCTTAGCCGTGATCTCGAAAAGGCAATGTCATACGTGGAGAAAGCCATTGAACTCTCGCCCAAGTCTGTGGAATACTGGATGACAAAGGCCAGAATATGGAAACACTATGGAAACCTCACCAAAGCCGCAGAAACCATGGAAGCTGCTAGATTACTTGATGACAAGGATCGATACATCAACTCAAAGGCAGTCAAGTATCAGCTTCGCCATGATGAGAACGAAAAGGGCCTTGACAATATGAGTAAATTCACCCGAAACGAAACTGTTGGAGGTGCACTTGGTGACTTGCATGAGATGCAATGTGTCTGGTTTTTGACCGAGGATGGAGAGTCATACTTGCGCCAACGAAAGCTAGGTCTTGCTCTGAAACGTTTCCATGCCATCAGCAATATCTTCGATATATGGCAAGAAGACCAGTTTGATTTCCACAACTTCTCATTACGCAAGGGCATGATTCGGGCATACATCGATATGATTCGATGGGAGAACCAATTGCGAGATCATCCATACTATAGCAGGGCTGCTATTGGAGGAATAAAATCATACCTACTGTTACACGATGAGCCGGATCTTGCCCACGGACCAATTCCAATTAACGGAGCTGACGGCGGCGCGGACAGTGTAGAGCGCAAGAAGGCCGTGAAGAAAGCTAAGAAGGAACAACAGCGGCTAAAGGAAGCCGAGGCTGAAAAGCAGAGACTCAAGAAAGCTTCAGGAACAGGCGGCGGCGGTGACGCAAAGAAGGAGGACACCGATCCTCTGGGCTTGAACCTGGTTCATACCTCTGATCCACTGAAGGAAGCGATGAAATTCCTGGGCCCCTTGCTCGAGGCCTGCCCAGGTAACATCGATGCCCAGACCATTGGCTTTGAGGTATATATTCGAAGAAGTATGCATATTTACCTTGATTCTCGTGACATAACCATCTTACTAACTGGACATTAACAGAGAAATACCTACTGGCAATCAAATGCCTGCTCGCCGCTCATGCCATTGACCCAAGCAACCCAACTCTACATGTTCAATTAGTCAAATTCCGCCAACAGTTCGACGCCGGTGCTGCAGGGGAGCTCACTCCACCAGACATCATCGAACTTATCAACGCTGAATTCGACCTCCTGCTACCTAGATCTACTGATCTAACCAAGTGGAATGAAGAGTTCCTATCTGCGCACGCAAAGAGCGCCCTTCATGTCCAGGCAGCACTAACAGTCCGCCAAATGCTTAAACCAGATTCAAAATCCCAGGCCGAGAAGGATCTCATCTCGTCCATTGACCTCGAAACCACCTCATTAGAGCAGGCATTGGCTGGTCTTAGCTTACTCGATGAATGGGGCAGCACAGCGGAGACAAAGGCTTCGTATTCTACTAGTGCTCGCCGCAGGTGGGCTGAGGCATCTGTCTTTCCTC